CTATACTTTCCCCGCCCGAAGCCACCCGAATAACCTACTCAAACTCATCAAGAATTTCCTCGCCCCATCGATTTCGCAGAGGGCCATCCACGTTTCGAGCCTGGTTTCGCCCCCTTTCGCACCTAGCAATCCAGAAAGGACTTCGCCTCGTTCGTAAAGCTGGTCAAGATCGCCGCTGTAGAGGATCCAACGACGCCAAATGAGATTCTGGCCCTGCTTCTATACAGAGGCATGGAGGTGTACGACCCTGCGCTGGTTCCGAACGATCTGGGCGACAACAGGGCTTTATCATGGGATGGCCTCATCGCAATACTCGAAAACTAGCTGCCAGGGCCTCAGAGACGCACATAATGGGTCCTATCGTCATTGATATCCTCCGGCGATTATACATGATAAATCAGTGGTATGAGGGCAGATGCTAATGACGATGGAGTTCAGGAAGGAAGACGAGGAGGGACGATGAGGAAGGAAGACAATGATAGTAGATAAGGAAGACAAGGAAAGGAGAGGCCAGTGACTAAGGTCGAGAACGGCGACCAGACTTGACGTCTGTCTTGTTGCGCGCATACTAAAAAGTAATCGGAATAATACAGTTGTTTCTTTTTGAATGTTGCGCTGTTTTTCAATGTGATGATGCCGCCTAGAGGAATCTAGGCTGCGCTGAGGGACCCACGCAGAATTGTTTCTCACTTGCCATCCGTTCCCCAGCCAGCCAACCCGCCATTTCCTCAGCGACCGAGACATAGGGGCTTAGCGCGCCCATTTTCTACCTATCTTCAACGTCTGCTTGGTTGTATGGTTTGCAACGTAGAGGCTTGGAGCCACAGATGCTATTCGCTACGCTCGCCGCCACTAAACGTTTCCGGCGCCTCCTTTGTTTCGGTCGTTAAGAAGATGGAGGGAGACTACTCGTGGCCTGGGGGCTTCCCTAGGGTTTTAAAACAGTATTATGGTGCTTTAGTACGCGCCTTCAGTAGTATTAACAACAGAGCCTTCCAATAGCTTTCATACCCCGGCAAGTGGTGTTGCTGGGCTTAAGAGGTAGAAAAGAGTGATGGTCGGCAGTCCGCGGCTATTTCACTTCTCCATCTTGTTTTCATCCGGACGGGACTCCGAACGCCCTTCCCCGGATCCAAGCACTATCGACATGTCCAACGACATCCCAACTTTGCAAGACCGAAGATATTTCCCGGCATGGCAGAAAGCCATTAGAAAACATCTCACACCCTCGCAATGGAAAACCGTAACTTGGCCAGACGGCGGACCACCCTCAAACAGATCGGACTGTCTCATATGGGAAAAGGTTCGGGCGCAGGCATACAACACCATCATCCAGTCCATTCCCGACGTCATTCTACTCGGGCTGGGAGCCCACGACGAGCTCACCTCTCTGAGAGACTTTTACCACGCAGATCACGAGGGGTACACGGTCAGCTGTGTTCCAGGCGGCTGCCCCAGGGACTTGTACAACGTCATATGTAAATGGTTCAACCCAACCCGGGCTATGATCGCCGCCCAGATAAGGTGCATCGCGAACACCGACCCGGCAAAGTTCGAGGACGCGGAGCGATATATGGCTCGCATGTGGCTGAGCAAAACATGTATCGACCTTTGCCCCACGGAGAGGAATCCCGTTCTTCTGACGTTGCTGTGCGACGCTATTAAGGAGTCTCAACCAGCGGTGGTGGCGGCATTGGTGGCGGTGGACTATACTTGGTCATTTTCTCAGGTGCTGTGCGCATTATCGCCCGAAGGATTCACATGGGAGCCGTCTTTGTGCCCCGCGGAGAGGAAGCGGGTGGCAGACGACACATCGAGAGAAGCGAAGAGGGTCAAGACGGAACCTGAGGAGGAGGCTTCTGATGTCACGGTGACTTCGCAGACTATCGAGGCATCGAGATAGAAAGTGTCTAGGGGCCTTGAGGACGGGAAGAGACAGACGTTCGGCAAAATTGTTATCACAACAGCGGATATCAATCGAAGTTCAAATCAAATCCTAGGTTGCGCAAAGGGTAATGTGAATGTATCTTAAGCAAGGAATTCAATGTTAACATCATATGCTGTGAAGATACCGTCAGACATACAATCTGAGTTTGATTTGAACCCGAGGAAAACCTTTCATCATGGAATTGTATCAGTCAGGAAGTTTACAAAACCTGACTTGATTTCCCCAACGACGTCAAAATAATTGCTGAAGACCGGCGAGAACAAGCACCCTAATGATGTTGCTTCCGAATGAACGCTAGAAGTACTGCTGCTGAGACCAGAAAATACAAAGTCCAACAATCGACAAAAAGTAAAGGCATGACGCCTCGTATATTGACAAGAAAGGGATTCGAACCCTTGCCTATTTCTAGACTAGCACCTGAAGCTAGCGCCTTAGACCGCTCGGCCATCTTGCCCGTGTTGACGACCGTGAAAGTTGTGCGCTTGAGTGGGCTGGTCCCCGCTTGAGCGGGTTCCCGCAGAGAGACATGGGGTCTATTGAGGGGCGTGAGAGGGTCAAGTGGAGGCCGATTCCCACGGATGGTCGAAGATCCTATGGTGGATGTTGATTTAGTATCTAAAGTGACGTGCGAGCAAATCACGTCGTGGTTGGAGGTGTGAGAAGTGCCTTGGCCTGGGTCGAATATGATATTAAGGATGGCTGAAGATGCGATTGCCTTATATCTCGAAGGTTGGCCTGTCTTTCAGGATTGAAACGGCTGAGGTAGAGTTACTCTAGAGAAAATGTTCTCTCTCGACACGTTGAAAAGGAGACATTATCACTGTATCCTGGAGGATAGACTGCAGAAGCAGAATGCATAGGCGGCAGACTCGCGAATGGTGGTCCCGGCCGGCTTGCTAATTATTGCCAGCCTTACTGGGCTTCTGGTCATGAACAAAAGTTTCATCAGTCTCGCCGTCGCTCCCATCACCTTAAGGATCGAAATGGAAAAGAAGTGGCTATCAAGTTCTGGAATGATATGTTGGGTTCCATCGACAGGTTCTCTACAAGGGGCATCACTTGACATTCAAGTGCAACAGACATTGAAGCTCCTTTCATTCAGCTATTCTGTCATCTCCTTTAATGTGTTGCAATGTTCCAACTGGACTCTTTCCAGTCAACAAAGCCATCTTGACTGACTATTTTCCAGCCCTTTAGACCACGCCTTCTGGTGAGCTCCACTCAAGTTGAACTTCCCAAGTTCACTCACAGCTCCCGCTCTCTACTACAACACCACCACGATGGCATCAAGCCGCGTTCCAATATCCACAACCATAATGGCACAGCCGCACCACCACTTGAGAGCGTGGTCTTCCCATGGCGGCTGGGGCGTCATGTGACACCTCTCGCCCTGTCCCTCAAAAACTAATTTCGAATATTCTCCTCTCTTCCCTCTTTCCAACTTCAAGCCTCAAAATCTCACAGAGAGCTTTTCTTGACTCTCGTTGCCACTTATCAAAGAACATCGCAGGTTTGAAGGAACTTCGAAAACCTTCCATCGAGGCATTGTTCCCACTCCCTCGCATTGTCTCAACACATACGTTAGTGTGACGCCCCTTTGACCCCGTCGCGGACTGTCTGCCAGGGAAGCTCACAAAGCATTGTTCGCAGCAGGCCGATCAAAGGAGACCAAGCCTACAAAATGGCCGACAGCCAAGAGTCCCCGTAAGTTGCTCCATCAGTACCATCAGTGCCCCCTTCTCCCAGCGAATTCAACCTTCTCTGATTTTTCGAACGACGTAACTGACAACCCCTAGAAAGCCACAGGCCGCCATCGACATGGCCGCCAACCCTCAAGATGCCCCAGTCGAGGCCGCCAAGGACTTGGGAGTCAAGACCGACGACGCGCCCACTGCTCCAAAGATCACAGACCCGAACAAGGCCACCGGCTCTGAGGTCCCTCCGACTCCCACCAAAGTCAACGCCGGCATAATCAGACTCGCAGAGCGAATGATGAAGCTCGAGAACCGTCGTCCCAAGCCCAACCCCTTCCCACCCTGCGAGCCCCTCAACATCCCCCGCCGCAACCGCACTTCCTACGCGAACAACTCTCCCTTTCAACTCACTGCCGAAGACTGGCCCCTCCCGGAACCAGCCGTTGCAACCGACAGCATCGTCTCGACAGACCCCAACATCCCCTCCATCCGAGTTAAGAACACGGACCCGGAGGCGGGCCCCAGCAGCAACGTCCCCACCGCCAAGACCGTCAACATCCAGTCCCCTCACCACCTGCAAGTTGTCGACACTCGGACTAGACCAGCCCCGAAGGCTACCGACGCCACCAACACCACGCCTGCCAAGAAAGAGAAGAAGAGGACGACCTTCTGGGACAAGCTCGACCGCATCCTCGGTCTGCACCGGGTTAGAGCCTTCGGTGACGAGACGGGTAACGGCCGGCTCGTGGCGAAGAAGTCGACCTACCGCACGATCCTGCTCGTCGGCATCGCCCTGATGGTCAGCTTCCTCGCGTCCATCATCGTGGTCGTCGCGGACGGCGGCCGCGGCGGGGAGCCGGAGATGGGCGCGGGGTGGTGGGCGTGGATGGCCTGCAGCGCGGTGGGCTTTGTGGGCGCGATCGTGATGTTTGTGTGGGCTGTGCAGCACAAGAAAAAGGTGCTCTTTCACATCAATATCCGCGCGCAGGTTTTGAGGCAGCTGGAGCGGGCGGACGTGGAGATGAATTTGGTCAGTGGACGGCCGAGTAACAATGAGCAGCAGGCGCAGCGGGCTCAGGCTGCGGCTGAAGGAAAGGGTACGAAGTGTTTGAAGACTGGCGGCGTTTACAAGAAGGGGGAGTGGGCGGAGAAGAAGTGAGGTGACGAATGGGGGGGTTGGAGTTTTGGAGTCTGGGTACTGGGTATGTGTGAGTACAAGCATCAGAGTTTGGGCGTCGATAGTTGGCATGGGATCAGAATTGAATGGCATGAAAATCAAACGACGTGATCCGAGTGACGCCGCACGTTGGTCCATTAGAAATCTGTCCATCAAGGAGGCTCTGGCGGCCTGGCAAAGTTTACAGATGAATACCAATCCTCTTCCGATAGCCGATGAAGCCATCGCCACCGAGTCCCCATCCCTGTTTCCAACCTTCGCCAGAGCGCCTTTTCTCTCGAATGTCCCAGAACAACGATCCCTGAAGAAGCACGAAGTCAGAAGTGGATGAGAACAACTCAATCGGAGACTTACGTCGTATACCCTCCGCAGATCTTCCTTGTGAACCTTTCCGTCGTCGGCCAGCAGCATCCATGTTGTGACCCATTCGAAGAAGGAAGCGAGCCACTAATCACAGAGTTAGTCGCGAAGCTTTGACTGATGGGCATCTCGGGATGACCTACCCCAAACGGGTCAACGGCACAGCGATTCCTGCTCATCAAGTCAAAGACCTCTCTGAAGGTTAAGGTGTTATCTTTCCTCGCACTGCAGTTTGCGAAAATGTCTTCGAATCTTTGGGGGACGAAGCGACCTTCGCTATCGTAGACGCCCGAGTCGGAGCCATGCTGTGTCCAAGTCAGACATACCCTCTTTGCGGCAGAGAGGAAGGCCTACCTTCGCCTTGTGCATGCCATCAACGTATAGCCGGAAGAACGGGTCGGGAAAGTACGAGTGCTGCATCACGGTCCCGTACGAAAATGCGAATGGGATCACGGTACACGCCAGAAGACAAGTCGGTATGTTGAAGCCCAGGTCGCGGAAGCCGACCCAGACATCGATGGGGGTGATGATGCCGTCGTTGTTGCGATCCCAGAAGAGGACATGTTGTTGCAGAACGGTCTGATACGAGTTAGCTCAATCCTACAGCTGATTTCGAAGCCTTACATAGTCACTTAAGTTCTCGGAGTAGTCCTCGCTTCCTCGCGGCTTTCCATCCGACGGCGCGAAGTTGGCATGCGCCACACCAGCCGCCTCGATTGTTCTGCCCGCGTTGACCGCCGGGGGTCGGCGGTATGTGGCTGGGCAATTGGGAACGGCAGTCGCGAAGGCGGGGCCGTAGCCGTCCGCACCTTCCTTCTCGTGAATGATCGTTGTAGACTTCGGTCCATGCATGGTGCGAGATGTCGATTGCGGGAAATTTGTAAAAAACGACAAGAACATGGCTTTGCATGGCCATTGCGAAGTATTTAATATCCAGGCGCACTTTCACAAGCATTCCTCGATGAACGCGGCGTCAGATTGTTGAGTGACATCACGGCATCGGTGTTGGATGATGTCATTGACTCATCATTTGGCTTGGAGGAAGCCTCCCTAAAAGGCTGGGCTTCATTGCAATGACATGAATCAAACTCCCAGGCTTGGTATTCTTTCGAGGAAGTGTGAACTTTTGATACCAATTTTCCAGGAAAACTTGGGGGGAAGCATTTCGGGCCGCGTTTTGGGCACCCGGTGACGGGATCTGCACCGGTGTTTCCGTTGAAGTGGGGTTCCGCCGGCAGAGTGCGGGACATCTCCGCTCGGCCTCTGCATCACGCATGGATCCACGATGTTCTTCATCAAGCGGTCTTGATGCCACTTCTCCTGTTCGACTTTACTTCATCACGGAAAAGCGAAAATCTGGCTACGAAAACTTGCTCAACTGGCAGCCCGGCAGGTTGGTGACTTTCAAGCTCCACATTTTGCTAGGTAATGCTCTTAGAGCTAGAAAGCACTATCACTAGTGCGAAGAAATACTTTACGTATAGTTTATAAAGAATTCTTTTATAAACTTTTATATAACTAGAGATATATAAAAGGTTCCCCTTATTCTAACTACTCCCTATATATTTTACTATTTTTATTCACTACTACTCTATTAAACTATAATACTATTTTAAGTTCTACTAATAAACTCTTTTATTTTGAATAGTTTAGTTAGTTTATTTTATAATACTAATTATTAATTATTTTATTAATTTTAAATATTTAATATCATCTTTAAATTTATTAAATATTTTAAGAAAAATAAACTATTCTAGCTATATTAGTAGAAGATAATATATATTTATAAGTAATAAAAGAATAATATGTTTTTAAATTTATTATAATTCTAAAGAAAATAAACTTATAAATATTATTTTCTTTTTCTCTAATAAATTAAATAAAGTTATTATTATTCTTAAAGTAGTAGTTATAGAAGTAATAAAAATAATATTATTTTAGTATTTTAAAATAATAAATTATAATAATATAAAAAAAGAGATATTTACTTTTTATAATTAAAGTAATTTATATTTTCTTTATATACCTCTATAAGTAATTATAGAGGTTTCTCTATAAACTATTCTAGTTCTTAAATATTTCCCTATAAGAGTTATATAGTAGTTAGTAAGGTACGCCTCTAAGTGGTAAACTACGAAGAAGAAAAGTTAGAAGGGAAGAAAGAATACCTTACGTATAGGATATTACACACGTGAAGATTTGATGGCCTCGATTTTAAAGTCTTGTCCAACGCCTCAATCTGAATCTGGGCGGTACTTCTTGCCGAAACAGACTCGGTTTCCTCCGACCTGCGCCGCCTGGGCTCGGCAATTCCTCTTCATCTCGGCCCGCTCTGTTGACGAGATCCCGACTCAACCGATAACATGCCTCAGACCACCAGACGTTCCACCACCGCCGCAATCTCGTAAACAAAGAACCAACCCAAGGCCGCATGCGTCTGTTCAAAAATCCGGGGTCGACCCATTATTCAATGATCTGTGTCGATCACCGGCCCCCACCACGTGGGGTGCACCTCTGGAAACCATGTAGCCGAAGTTGACCGTCAAGGCTTGACCCAATCTGGAGGAAAATATCTGAGACACGACAACAAAACTTACACCGTTTTTACCTGTTGCGGTGGCATGGAACGTAGGATAATTGCTGTGGGCAACGAAACATTCCAGGGTTGGTTTGGAATTGGGTCAATGGACTGCAATATTAATCGGGGGGCGTCCGGGCTGGCGCCCTGTTCCTTTCTTTCCTCGCGATAACCTCACTTCACCCGCTTCTGTGGTTGGGGGCCGTGTCTCTTGCTTGTGTCAAGACGGTGGCTTCAAGAGCAACTGCCGGAATCTTCTGTTGGATGTATTATACGCCAATTCACTCATTTTTCTACATGATGGTGATGTAAAAAACACAAGTTGCATCATGGAATAATTCTGCTGGGCTGCACCTGCCTCAGCACCTGGGCCTCGCTCCTTCCTCCATCCTGGCCTTTGTACCAACGTCGCGTCGCCATCAGCCTCACGTCAAGTCGCTCCTTCCTCTGAACAACTCCAGAGAACACAATCCTTCCTCACTTCTTTTGTTTACCCACACAGGGCAAAAGAGTTTTCACCACCCGCCTTCTTTTTTGACTTTGCCTTCCGCACGCTCTTTCTTCTTCTCCCTCACCACTCTCAATCTCTCACAACACACTCTTTTGGTGATCGCCAGTATCTTCAGTCTTTCGCTTTTGCGCAGCTGCAATCACACGGCGCGCACGTCAATCCTTACATTCTTTTGGTATCACGATAATATCATCTTAATCATGTCCCCCCTTCCAGGCCAAGCCTCCTTCAGCACGGCCACAACCGCTGTTGCTAGCCAGGGCGTGGCCTACCCCTCGGTTGAGGAGTTCACGTCTTTCAAGCTTCCTGCGACCCCGAAAATCGTTGAGCCCAACTGCGACAGCGTCTCTGAGGAGTCCAACAAGGAGGACAAGCTTGAGCCTCGTCCTGCGACCCCTACGCCTCCTTCGCCCGTTTCGACCGAGTCCTCGGATCTGCAGATCAATGACGATACTCCCACCAACGTCCGCGGAGAGTCGATGATCTTCCCAAGGCAGCCTCTCTCGGTCCCCAGATCTTCGAACGCGACCCTGGGAACTCCTCGTTGGCCTTTCCAGAATGCGACCCCGCGCCCCTCCGTCATGGTCCCCATGACCCGCAGCGTGACGGCATCGACAACGCAGTGGCTGGATGTCAGACGCAGCCATCCTCCTGAAGTCAGCATGACCGAGTCGCTTGATGAGTTTCAGATCAACCATCCCCACGCTCGCATGCTCGCTCTTCATCCCGCGAACCTCAGCCTTCACTTGCCTCATACTCCTCACCAGATCCGCCACTTCCCCCAGCTGGTCGAGACCCCTTTCCGCCCCGCTGGGCCGGCACCCGATGCTCCTCAGCCTCGCAAGAATCGCAGCGGCAACTTCTTCGACTGGAGCCGCCGACTCCTCAAGTTTGGCCTCCGCAGCAGCCATGGCAAGCGAAACAGTGCTATCAAGCCCAAGACTTGGTGGTACCAACGCATCAGCACTCAGAAGGACATGTTCTATGGATGCACCCTCTTCGCTTTGTTCTTCCTCATCAACTTTACCATCGCCACGACCATGTTCGCTACTATTCAGCACTTCACCAAGAGAACACCTTTCTGGCTTGCCATCTGGGAAATTGTCAGCCTTTGCCTTTTCGCATTCACCTCCGTCATCTGGATTCTCATGTTCCGTTTTCGCAGGTCCGTTCACGTCGACGAAGAGAGCAGAGGCCGATCCATTATGCCCAGGGCCTGCAACGAGACTCACATCCCGGCTAGCCCCCGCGAGATTGAGCACCGACGCACCCTCGGCGCTGCCTCCCAACGCGAACAGCGGATTCAGAGCATGCAGCAGTCGGATAAGGTTGACTCTGCACCTCACGCAGTTCAAATCACCGAGATCCCCGAGGAGGCGACAGTTGCACAGGCCGTCGATCATCCCGACAACTACGTTGTCACCGAGGAGAACATCATGGCTACTATTCCCCGCAACAACACCAACGAGCAAATCGAGAACTACTGGACTGACGTCTCTCTCCTCCCCACCTCGCAGTCGCAGGTCAGCTCCATCACTGCCGTCATTGACACGGCCCCTGCAGTCCCCACCAACACTCCTCGATCCGAGCGCTAGGAGCGTGAGCATCGTCGTCGCTCTGGCCCCATCACCTCATACGACTCCGTTGAGATCATGTCCGGCAGAGCTACTGCTATGATTTGAGAAGGCTGTTTTGTGCTATTGGAGAGGTAATACTTGGCTTTTGGACGGTGTATTGGCATTGCATGGATGGCATTCTGGACAGGACGTTGGTTGACATGATACCCAGTGGAATGGAGAGGCGTACTGGGTTGGATCAGAACTTTTAATGTTTGTTTAAGCTTGGCTTGGCTTTGTACTGAGTATTTTGGACCCGATGATTGGGCAGTCAGACGCGAATTGCTATTGGACCTTTGAACGTTCTTGCTGTCAGACGTGATGACAAGAATAGACATGCAGGAAGCAGGCTGTGACCCATCATGCAACCAATCGCGCAGCCGTTCCTTCTTCCAGCTAGGCTACTGTCAACAGCGCGGAGTTCGCGGTCGCCTGAGAAAAATGGTCCGCCACTTCCAACCTCCCTCATCATAAGCTTCTGCGTCTAGCTTAAGTCGAAGCGTGTCAACAACACCATCAGCAAGGAGACTTTGACACCCTGATGCTATCTCTTTACGACGTCTTCCTCAAAGCGGCAGCGCTACTGGGGTAGAATCACCGGAAAAGACGAGAACAACAGCTCCGATCGGATTAATACCCCCGCACCAGATCAGGCACCGAGCCAGCCGAGGAGCTCAAGAACCGTAAAATGACGGTCGGATCCGGCAAGCACGCGGTTGAGGTTGAACCACACTTCAACAACGTGGCCAAACATATCATCACGGCGAAGGACCTCATCAACAGCGCTGCCAGAGCTGACCCCCATGCCTCAGTAGCTTGCGCCGGTGTGATTGTGATTTTAACCGTAAGTTCGCAAGCCATCAAGTGCCACACGTTAGCGTACTAACTGACCACTGGACAGTTTCTCATCCGACAGATCGAGCAGCGAGAGCAGCTTTTCAAAGGCCTTGACCTAGTTTCTTCGATCATCTGCAGATATCTCGTGATGGAAACCGTCTTTCGACCGAGAATACAGGTGGACTCTGTTTCCAAGGCCACCGCTAGGGATCTGGAGCGTGACTTCGAAAATAATTTGGTCAATCTATGCGCCAAGATTCTTGAGTTCCAAGCTCGAGCTTTGTCCTACGTTCAGAGGAGCAGGCCTAGCCAATTCTTTCGGGACACCTTCAGAGGAGACACCTGGAAGACACTCATGGCTGATATCAAGGATCTCGATGGCAAGTGTCGGGCTTTTGCCGACTTGGTCACCGACGAAAAGCTTCACTCATTTCTCGACAACCAGCTACAGCCTTCAACCCACAGTGAACCTAAGGCCCATGCCGAAATCGTCGAATCGGAACAGTTGCAAAGGCAGAGAGCTGAGTGTCTGCGACTGCTAGACATCTGTCCCTACCGTGATCGAAAGGATATCAACCCGGAAAGAGGAGTGGGAACATGCGAATGGTTTATTGACCATGATCTCTTTCGTGCGTGGATGAACTCAACTCGACCTAGCATTCTCTGGGTATCCGCAGATCCTGGTTGCGGAAAGTCTGTGCTGGCAAAATTCCTAGTGGATGAAGTTCTTCCGAACAAGATCAGAGACAGCGTTCTTTGCTATTTCTTCTTCAAAGAGGATTTTGCCGACCAAAGGACAGTGCCAGTCGCCCTCTGTTCTATCCTCAGGCAGCTGTTTCTAAATCGACCTTCCCTCTTGACCCCAAAACGTATGACACAGTTCATCAATGAGGGAAAGCGATTAACGGAATCCACGTCAAGCTTGTTTGAGATGCTTTTTGCCCTTGCAGGGGAGAATGACGTCCATATTTGTTGCTTGATTGACGCTTTGGACGAGTGCGAGGAGAGCGACCGACGAAAACTCATTTCGGCGCTCGACAAGTTTTACATGAACCCAGACGACCGTCAGCGTTTGAAAGTCATTTTCACCTCGAGACCAGACATGATGATTCAAAGACAGTTTAGACGGCTCGAGAAAAGCTGGCCGAAGATCCACCTCCGCGGGGAGGATGACGAGCAACTGGCAAAGATATCACAAGAGATCGACGTCTTCGCCCGGAGTCGAATACAATGCATTACCGAATCTATTCCTTTAGAACCATTAGAGACACAATTTCTCCAGCAAGAGATTTCCAAAACCAAGAACAGGACATACCTGTGGGTAAAGATGGTGTTAGATGTTATTGAGAACGTCCTCGCATTCACGACCGATAAGGCAGCTGAGGTCTTAGCCGGTCTGCCCAAAGGGTTGGACATGCTCTACGAGAAGATCCTCAACCGCTGTCAGGACATCGAGAAGGCTCGCAATGTGCTTCAAATAGTCATTGCTGCTGTGAGACCTCTGACACTGGAGGAGATGGCTGTTGCCCTAGCCATGTCGACGAACGAGCACCTCAGTTCACGCATCAAGCTCGAGCCTCCGGGCCGATTTAGAGAGACGCTGCGAGCCATTTGTGGGCTTTTTGTAACGATCATCGACGACAAAATATACTTCATCCATCAGACGGCCAAAGAGTTCCTGGCACGCGACTTGGCAGACTCGAATGTTCCCCGACTAATCAGAACGCCTAATGAGTCTGTGGGTCCCTTTTCTTGGAAGCATACCTTCGCGCGTGCCGAATCGAATATAGTCCTCGCCAAAGCATGCATGCGTTATTTGGGTTCACGCATGGGAAGCTTGGCAATGCAAGGCCTCCCGCTCAGCAAAGTGGAGCCTGATCCTCACCATGTCTTCTTCGAATATTCTGCCCTCTTTTGGCCGACACATGTTTTGAACTCCGGTGATGTAGTTGAGGATGAGATAAAGGTCCTTGCCACAGCCCTGTGTGAGGCGTGCTGCAGCGAAACTTCTGATTCTTGGTTCTCCAAACGGCTTCTCATGAAGGGATACAGACAGATGCCTCCCGATGCCCCTGCCATGTCGTCTCCTTCGTTAGATGTTTATTATATGGAAGAGAATTGGATTGTTCCCCTGAAACCTACACCGCTCATTGTTGCAGTCATTTGTGGCCTTGAGCTAGCTGTCAGGACTGTTCATGCCAAGAACGAACACATTATTCTCGAGCGCGACGAACGAGGAAGGACTGCCTTGTGGTGGGCTGCGAGACAAGGACAGACCGACTTGGTTCGCTTACTGTTATCCTTGGATGTATCCGATGACGCACAACGAGACTTTCGGGATTCGGTTATCAAGAGCACTGCGTGTCGACTGACGCCGCTAATGGTTGCGTCAGCCTTCGAGCATTTGCAAACAGTCCGTGCTTTGTTACAAGATCCGAGGGTAGACCCTCACACCAGAGATTGGAAAATGAGAACTGTTGTGGATCATGCCTTTGATCATGAAGATGTCGTCAATGTCTTATTTGACTACAGCAGTACTTTTGTAGGCCTTGAGGATGATCGGTTGTGGGACTACTTGTTGAAGGCGATTAGGAGAGCATATATCAGACTAGCAACTTCATTAGCGCAAGCTATGAGTTCTGACTTCTAGACTAAATGGGGGTCTCAAAGGATGTCCGTCCCCATTCACGGCCATCATAGTCTCTTGGGGTGTACTCAGCGACCCACATTCGCCACAACCACGCCAAACCAAGTTAGACGTCTTGAAGGCGATTCACAAACTGAACAAATTCGACCCTCCGTCTCTCGACGCTCAACTAAGATCTCTGGTTTGGTGGGCAGCAGAAAGTGCGGGAAATCTGGACGTTCTTGAGTGGCTTGTTTCGGAGATCAAACTTGAACCAGATCAACGAAGCAATAGCAAGCAGACGCCATTCTCTCGAGCTGCCAAGCACTTGTCGAAGGATAAGCTCGAAGTTCTGTGGAACACTGGCAAAGCAAACGTTAATGCGTCTGATTTGAACAGACGAACACCTCTCTTCCATGTCATTTTAAGGGGCTTGGACAGACAGACAGCTCTACAGCAATGTCTCATATTTGGCTATTCATTGGGCGATCGAAAGGAGGATGCAAGCACCAAGATGGTTGAGACAGTGAACTTGCTCATTTCCATGGGAGCGAATGTGGATCATAAGGATATGGATCTTCGTACTCCTCTAATGCATGCCGCCAAAGCCGGGTTTGAACGTGTTGTTGAGACACTTGTTGGGCATGGCGCTTCGTTGGACACGGAAGACCTTGATGGTCACACTGCGTTGATGCTTGCTCGAAAAGCAAAGGAACCAGTTGACTTGAAAGAGAGACTTGCTCTTTGGCTAGGTCCAAGGCCTGAAGATGATGGTCATGAGGCAATCATTGAGTTGCTGCTGACAGCGGGAGCGAATGATTCTACAAAAAGAAAATCGCCTGGTATTCTCACAAAATACGACGAATACTCCTACATAAGGTAGTTGGGCTTACTGTAGTCTTCTGAGGTCTTCCCACTCGGTAAGAAGTACGAGGCCGCTGGAATAACTTTCAAATCGATGGCGCCAGGACTTCGGTGCATAGTGTACCTACACCACGAATGATTCAATTTGACATCATCCTCGGCGCATAGTCGCTTCGCTTGGCGTAGCTTTCAATCATTCGCAAATTCCCATTGACAGAATTCAAAGGTTTCGTAAATAATAGATCAAGGCCCGATTCCCAGGTGGCGTTCGATTTGAAGTATAATCAAATGAGGACCCCACCCCCTTGCACCATCCATGGGCCGGCGTTCGTCGCCCATCAGCCGGGTACTGTGCGGAGTCGAGGTCATATCAGTCTTGGATCCAAATTTTAGCATCGATTTCACAGCCCCCGACATTATAGACAAAGCCACCAAAGGCTGTTTATCCGATATGACGGTCTCGGAGACTACGGTTTCCGAGACCCATGCGGTCCCAATATCATGGTCAGCGGTATTGGTTTGCCTGGAGCCAAGCCGCAAGTAACACCATGATAGACCAGGGGATCTGTATGAACCTACTCTCAAAGTAATGGCTTCAGGGTCTACTCAGTGAAAGTCTTCGCGACAACCGTATATTTACGTGAGGATTACAATGAATGGCATGTTGATACCCGTTCTCAAGCTAATGCAACGAGTGTTTTTTCTCTCGACTTGGCGACAGATAGTACTGGAATTTTCACGGAAACTGGGGAGACGGGAGCTTTCACGCCCCCGCATTAGCGAGGCAATCTCACAATAGACACGGTAAATCTCAGACTGGGTTATTACAAATACCGTGCCTTGGCAAGTAGTAAATATCAATTCGGGTGAACAGATGCATCATTGCTTCGGCTTAAACTTTCGGGTTGGCACCTTTTACAGTAGTTTACCACCGAGTAGACGCACCGACTGCCGACTCTACGACCAGATGCCTGAACTGTGCTAATATCGCCTGTAAAGATCCTTGCCGATCACTAAGACGTAGTGCTATCTTAATTTGCGTTGAGGCGTATGACCCGTTCCACCAGTCTGAAATGAGTTTGCAGTGACATGTCAGTATGCATTTATCAGTTGCCGTACAAGCCGACTCGTACGCTTCTTGACATTGCCGGTGGGCCACTGAAGCCGGTAAGGCGACCTGGCGGGCGTAGCGTCCTCCATTGTACTCACCTGCGAGGACCTGGAGGGGTGGGGGGTCCTTCGATCGCAGGCTACCTGGCGTCCCCCCGCCCTCGTCTCAAGGCATTAGTATGCAGTTCCATACCGATTACCTCCGTTGGACGCCGGGCGGATATTCCGGGAACCGGACAAAACGATTGATCAATTTCTTGAGTCATGGTTCATGTTTTCTCGGACACGACGGTGCGATTTGGCCGACAGAGGTTTGCGGGTCCGATCAAAGAAAAAGCGACTGCCAATGGTCGATGTCACCGTCCTGACCGGTATCTACGAGAGTGATGCCGAAGTAAGTCCAGCACCTGTTTTGCATAGGTTGTCTACCTTGAGATTAGTCTACCGATGCCCGTGCCGGGGAAAAAGGACCTTCTGATACAGCATGTAGAACAAAATGAGACCATAGTTAAGTCGGAAATGCAAACCAAGACCGAAAGGCTATCGTCAACGATGCATGACGTGGCTTCATACAATTCCTCGTCTTGGAAATCAAAGTCCTTGCGCGAAACATGATCGTCATTGAGCCATATCTTAACAAGGCTTAATCTTAATCGCCTTTGTGGAGGCTGGGAGTGTGAGTTGGAAGCTGCGACCAGCATGATTGGCAGTACTAGTGCAAATGACTACGAGCTTCCAGAACTTAGTTATACTCCTGCTTAATCTTGAAAAAATTCAAATCCGAGATGGTCGTAGTCAACTCCTGAACCTGTGTGTTCAATCATCATACACAGTACCATAGAATGCACGAATCGAGTTGAGCCGAAGAAGCCGAAGCAATAAACATAAAAGGGGCCAACTAAATCATCTGGCGTTTGAAGGAAGCCATCCACCCCATTCAATTCATCCCTTCACTGCCCCAAAGTTCAATCTTACAACCAAACTTTATCTACACCAGCCTCTAAAGTTCACAATGCAGTTCAAGATTGCCATCGTTACTCTCTTTGCTGCTATGGCCATGGCCAACCCGGCCATCAGGCAGTCCAATGCCCTAGAGCACCCGAAGCTCGTTGGCCGCCCCAGGGGCGGCGACACCCCCTCCCAACCCAGCTGCTGTTCATATATTCCTGGCGAATGTCAGGCGTCATGCGTAAGGAACCGGGCTCATAGGATGAATTTGGATCCAAGCTAATCACTCGCCAAGTGCCCCTCTGGATGCCCCACTGATTAAGCGATGCAAGAATCTTGCAGGGCCATGTCAGATTGCTTTGGTCGGAAGGTTGATTGGAGCTTGATTTAAGGTATCTAGGTACAAGAGCTTTCCGCAGTTCCGACAATTGCACTGTCCTCAACGCAACTGCATAGAATCATAGGTAGAAAGCCGATACAAGACAATTTTACAAAATGATGAGGCCATACAAATTGTGATCGAGACCACCCAACCAGACCAGAGACCCATCACCACCACCAGGCTAGAAAGGCTGTCTCTACATGGTTTCCAAATGTAGTTGACTAGACCGCTTCACACCCATCTCAGCATCGGTCACGAAAGGGGGTTTCAATTTGCCAAGCTGTCTTCGTCACTTCAAAGTCTATAGCAAACACCAACAGGCTATCAGTTGGAAAATGGAATTATTGAAATTGTAGTCAGTGCCGAGCCTTGAGTTTCGTAATCACAGCAGCCAGTGTCTATGACGACGATCAAAGCTATTCAATCAACAACTGATAGTCTTTGCATCGTGCACTGCCAATGTGGAAAGGTCAGAAAGCCTTCTAGAAGGAAGAGGTTGTAGCCTGGCTGAGTCTTCGTAAGGATGCAATTTGCCCTTGACAAAATCCTACAGCTTGCTCCTTGGTGCTCGTTTCATGCTCTGGTGGAAGCTCCGTAGCTCCTGATACCCATGTGACTTCGGTCTTCTTTCCCCCTATGTCGTGCAGTTGAACCGCCGCAAGCACGCCCTTCGCAGGACTTGGATTTGGTTGAAGCACTTCGTACTTCAACTTGTACAAAGCATGGTCGCAGACAAGTATGCGCTCATCGAAGAAGGTTTCGCCAAAGTAGACACGCCGAATAGCACCCTTTCCGTAACCCTCCAACACTGCTGATCGGGTGCAGCCCGGTATCAGGATTCTCTCAGCTCCGATTGCTGACAAAAACGGCCATATCTCATTGGCTGGGGCCTGGATAATTTCTGTGACCGATGCGAGGACTATCCTCTCGTCAAGGTCCTCAAGGGACATTGTGATTGCTGGAAGACATCATTAGGAACATCCAAAGCTCAAACAGACTGCTCGCACTGACATTTCGTGTAAGTCTTTTGACAAAGATGGATGGGTTACTTGGGCTCTGGTTGGTGCCTGATGCAGTTGTGATTCCCCCTAAGCTGAGAGCTTTCAAGGTTCTCCAAAGAGAACACTCACTCAATATGTATGCGCATGCTTCGTTGCGATGTGGCAGATTCGTCCGCCGGGCGGACCAAAAAGAGCCATTTGTAAGCTCTCAGAGCGCTAGGAGTGTTTGACGTGGGGAAGTTAGTGCTTCGGCATCCTTGAGGGGCCCCGAAAGCGAAAGCGAACATCCATGCCGACATAGAGATACGAGACGGTAGCAGTCATTTGTGTGGCGGTAATAGTAGCAGGCTCGAGAAAACTTCAATAATCGTCGAGGCGTTACAGTTGGTCACCTTCTCATCTAAGAATGCTATCTATAAAAGGGGATGATTCCTAATGACATTGAACAGCTTCGGGTTGACACGACACTACCGCAGTGACGAATAACAAGCCACGATGGAATTCAAAAAGACCAAGGGCAATGTTGCTTTAGTATTCGGGGCTTCCCCATTGTAAGTGTTTCCGGCTACGTTGAAAATCTGTTTTCGGCTGACGCTCTTGACTCATCTCTTAGTCCGGTTGGGCCTTGATGCGCGAATGCCTCAACTACCCATCTACCAAGACGTTTAGGCGAGTCATTGGCTTGTGTAAACGACCTTTGACTAAAACGACAGCCAGGTTGCCGGAAGACTCAAGATTGAAAATGCACACCGGACTGGATCTTACCAACGCAGAGTCAACTCTTCGGAGACTCGGAACCATTTCGGACATTGCAGCGGTCACGCATGTCTACTTTGTCGGTGTGTTTTTATCATTCGAGCATTCGCAACTCTGTCGTATTCTTCATAAAGTAACAATTTTGCAGCTTACACGGGTCATGGCACTACTCCAGAGAATCTTGTGGAGCATAACTCGGCAATCGTTGACAACGCGTTGATGGCTGTCAATGTCCTTTGCCCTAACGTCAATTTCGTTTCCCTGCAGACAGGTGGCAAGGTAGAGACAATTCCCATCCATGGATCGCAAAAGTGCACCAGACCTTTGCTGACTGTACCTTCATCAGGGCTATGGCATGGTCGGGCATGGATGGCCTCCCGCACCATGGAAGGAAACACTGCCCCGCATACCGGAGCCGTATGCGTCAAAGATCTTCTACTACGCGCAGCACGATGTGGTGGCAAGACATGCTGCAGCTAGTTCGTGGAAATGGGCCGAGATCAGGCCATCATTTCTAGTAAGTTTCCTAAACAGATCCCTAGCCGCCTTCTATCGATCTGGTCGACTGACAAGCCCTGTCGATAGCCTTGTTTTGTCCCACACTTCAATGCCATGAATGTTGCGCAGTCGCTGGGATTATATCTTTCCTTCTATCGGTCCGCCAAAGGCGACCGGGCGATATGCCCGTTCCCAGGGAGCCAAGAGTCTTGGGTCGCACTGCACACTGATTCTTTCCAGGATCTAGTTGCTCGTTTTCATATTCACGTCTCCCTCCACCCCGAAGACACCAATGGGCGCGCCTTCAACGTTGGAGACGGTGAGCCGGTGTCATGGCAGATGAAATGGCCGTTGGTGTGCAACTACTTTGGTCTTGAAGGGGTTGGGCCGCAAGAGCAGGCCACAGGCCAGGCCTATGGTATTGACTGGTTGATGGCTCAGAAGGACTCATGGCCAGTCTGGGTTGCAGCACATGGTCTTCAACCGAATGCCATGGATGATGTCCAATGGGACATACTCGTGACCACCCTGGCCACACCCATCCGAATTGACTATGATCTCACGGCGTCTCGAGAGATCGAGTTTTGTGAGACATTGGATCCTGGAAAAGGCTATACTTTGGCTTTTGGTCGTCTTCAAGAGGCGAATTTCTTGCCTGATGGTCGAGGCAATTGAAGTTGTGAAGTCTACTGGTTCGTAGGCCTCTGTTCAGATAGCGGGGGATGCCTAGAAGGTTGTGTAGAAAGAAAGGAAAACAGGTCCATGACCAAATACTCGGACTTTTGGGTTCACTGACGGCATCCCAAAGAAATCCCCCAACCGCCAAGTGAATGATGCTGTTTTCCTTTTTACTGGCTACAGCCAGTGAAGCAAGGGGCGCTCGCAACAGCCCCACATGGAAATTTGGCTTTTTGAACCGTTCTCCTCCGCTGAACAGGCCGGCATGCTCTTTCAATGACTTGAGCTGATCATCCAGGGGAAGTTGATACAGTTCGCAGTGAGATGGGAGTAGTGCAGGGTGATCATCTGTAGCATGCTGACATGCGGGGCCGGATGCTTCCGCCATGGAGATCTCGGAGTTAGATACGAACCCAGCTGACAGTGGATCCCCGGCGTGTGGCTGTCAGGGTACCTCAACCCGATAAGATTGACGTCAATGAATGCATTTGCCGCTGAGACAGGTGCCCAGATGTGCTGATGCCCTCAGAGAGACCTTACGATAGTTCAATTGCCCTGCCCACGTAACAACAAGTATTTTGGTTGGCATCATCTGCAGTCGAGCAAGGTAAAAGATAGCGGACTCTAGACCGACAGACGCCCGTCTTCTAGCTTAACGGCGCTTATGAAATCAGGTTGCAATCGATGCTGGAGGTCGCGCACATAAATAACAACATTCGTTTTCTTTACCCCAAATCTCCACAGGCCACACCAGCATCTTATCTTTTCCTGCGCCTCGTATTTGAGGACATACTGCAGCCATGCTGGGCAGTTCTTTCTTGCCCGCCTTTCTGTCTCACCAGATTCACAGGAACAATGAAATCAGTCTTTCCAGTTCCAGCTGTGAGCAAGCAGTAAGTGATTCTAATTTTAGTGCAATTACCAAGGAAAATAACCTTGCAACAGTGTCGCCAATTGAGCTTGGAGTTTGGTTCGGCGGTCCACATGGGAGGAAACGACCCCGACTTCTCAGTCTGGGACGCGAAGCAGCAAGAAGTCGTTCCAGCTTGTCGCGTGGAGCCCACATCTGCCAGTGATGTCGCAAGGGCCCTTGAGATTATTGTCGACAACTGGTGTCGGTTCGCCGTCAAGGGAGGCGGCCATTCGACAAATGTTGACGCCTCCAACTCGGTTGGCGGGGTAACGATCGACTTGAACCGAATGGATCATATTGAGCTGGCAGATGACAGATCCTGGGCCAATCTAGGCCCCGGATTGGTTTTGGGAGAGGCGTACGCGGCGTTGGAGCAGCACGAATTGTCAAGCATCGCGGGACGAGTTGCCGATGTTGGTGTGCCCGGCTACACTCTGGGGGGAGGAATTTCGAACCTGTCCCCGCAGTATGGACTGGCAGTGGACAATGTCTATGAGTATCAGGTCAGTTACACAGGCAGTGAATGGTCTCGATAATCAGTGTTGATACTAACATCTTCAGGTCGTGCTGCCCAATTCCACTATCGTTAACGCCAGCGAGACGGTGAACCCAGACTTGTACTTCGCGCTACGGGGAGGCGGCAACAACTTCGGCATTGTCACAAACTTCCGTTCTCGACTTGTACCTCAGGGAAAGTTGTTATCGGGAGACAAGACCTTTCATGCCAACTACACGGCGCCATTGCTCGACGAGGTCTTCGATCTTACCACAACGAAATCCAACGACACCTCCATGTGTTACTCGACTCGATACTTCTGGGACTCTTCGGAGAGTCGTTTCCAAATGTCCGTCACTCAAGCATATTACGAGCCGATCCTCGAGCCCGCCGTGTTTGATAGCCTCAACCAAATACCGTTTGAATCCAGCACCGTGCGGGTAGACTGGATGAGTAATTTTGCGCTGGAGAACGTCGGCCCTCGTGTGCTGAGGTAAGTAATTGTTCAAACCACAGTTCGATAATGATTCCACGAACTGACACGGACTAAGACGATTGTACGCCACCGTCACATTCCGTCCATCTCGAGAGCTATATGAACAGGTACAAGATATATTTGCGGAAGAGGCCGAGGCCGTTAAGGATACGCCGGGATTTGCGTCTTCAATTGTACTCCAGGCGCTGCACATCAATGCCATCAAGGCGATGAAAGTACGCGGCGGCAACGCATTGGGGATTGAGTCCGACGAACCATTGAACAGTAAGTCCGCTTCTAAAAACGCTGGAACAGCCCTAACAATGACAGTCGCTCTATTCACTCTGGGCTGGCGAGATCGCGAAGACGACGAGGCGATGAATGCCTACGCTGACAGGTGGCTGACGCGATCCAAGCAGCGGGCATCTGAAATGAATCTTTTGCATCCATGGCTGTACATCAACTATGCGAAGCATGACCAAGATCCATTTTCGGGGTATGGGGAGACGAACAAGTTGCGTCTTCAGAGGATTCAGAAAGCCGTTGATCCGCGAGGTATCATCACGTCTCAGGGCTTGTGTCGTGGCTCATTCAAGCTCAACTAGTCACAATTTCGAAATGCTTCGTGTTACTTTCGCAATTAACATGAATTATACTTCATTTATGGACAGGGGGTGGGCGGCCGTAACAGTTCAACGTAGAATGTTGTTCCTTTTGCAACTGCAGGCGATTGCGAGCGTCTTTCTGTACTCATGCTGATCTAAACATGAACTCTTTAAATCTGATCACGGTAGAGACATACAGTTAGCATATTGTTTGAATGACAACAGTTGAATGGCCGTTGTAAGAAAGCCATGTTTGATGACGAAGAGATACCCAATCGAAGCAATTCGCAAGGTTGACTTGTAGTGATCGCCATCGATAGGCATCTTCCATAACGCAGGCTGTGTCCTTGTCACCAACAGTCTTGGAGGACATGTAACAAGTAGAAATGTTGTATTCTTAGAGGGTATTATGCTTCTACAACGAATAGGATCTGGACGATAGATGGCTGTGATATTGTCCAGTAGCATCACGGGCCTACGTCCAGTATCCCACGCATCCCAACGCTGAAAGATGTACTTCCGACCTCATCCAAATCGATTCGATTTCGGGTTCACCGGAAATGAATTTAGGCGCAGGGGACGACAATGGTCTTGTCGGCGGGGATGGAGTCGGGGTTGGCAATGCCGTTGAGCTCGGCGAGGTGGGCAGCGGTGGTGCTGAAGTCGGCCGCGATGTCGTTGAGGGTGTCTCCGCTGACGATGTAGTACCAGCCCATTCCGGGGTTGGCCGTGTCGTGTCTGCAACCACGCTTGGCCTCGGACAGACCAGCGAGGGCAGCGACGGCGTAGAGGACGATGGAAGAGGTCTTCATTATGACGGTATTTGAAAGAGTGAATTAGGTGGGTAGTTGATTAGACTGTGGGTTCAATGATAGAACTGATGGAGATGAGATGAACTACCATGGCATAGGCGGCGATGGGCTTTAAATATTCTTGGGAGTTCATGATGGTGTGTCAGGCGGATGACGGGCGCGGCAATGCGGCCATTAATGCGTTACGACTCAAGTGCCTTGCAACACGGAGGCGGTGATAAAGTTTATTTGACAAGCACCCCGTCATTTGCTGTTCGATCGCAATCAGAATATAGTAAAGAGGGTAGTTCCGACATGCCGAAAGTCCATATGCAGAACGAGCAACTCGCATGCTCGCACTTCCATCAACTCAAAGCAGAGTCTAACAAGACGATGGCTTTGTCACTCCGACTGTCTCTTCAACTTGGCTGCCGCGGCTTGTAGATATGACCAACGCGAAAGATCGGAGACAGCATAGGGGAGTCTCGGCATACCCAGTTACTCAGTGTTGACTTGCTGATGCCCCCTTCTACCCTACTCATCAAGGGTAACCTTATTTCTGCAACAATTCTTCGTTACTTCGGACGGATTAGCCCGGATTAGAACCTCTGCGCCATCTTCGCATCAAGCGTTGGTTATTGAAACCTGCGAGGGACTATGAGTTTCACTCCAAGCTGAGGGTAGGATGTCGGCATGCCCGTGACTGCTGCGCATCAACAGCAGCCGGCTTTCATTGAAAACTCCGACCGTTGGCTCAAGAAACCGAACCGGAATTGCGCGTGTTCTCTCCAGGACAGCGGTCATCTTCAAGTCTTTGAGGTAGGTTCATCGTTGACCGTTGACCCATCATTCAATTGGGATCAGCCAAAATGCTGCACAAAATCAGTCGCATGTTGCAGATCACAGCTCCTGATTGAGTCAGTGCGTCTCCGCTTGGCATCAGATATAGCCACCTCGTTACATAAATAACTCCGAAGCAAATGATGTCAGGGGTCGAAGCGAGGTCTCTGGAGACGGATCCCGCCAAGGGGCTTCCTTGCCGGTTAGCCGCGGCACCGCGCCAAGCCCAAATTGAGGCTTCCCACTTCGCGCTTGAACGAGCAGAAAGTTGCCCCCCTGGCGATATCCACAGCTCCTTCATCCTCCGAGGAAAACACAGCCACGCCGACACCGAAAACACGGCGTTTGAGGCCCCGACGACCACCGCGAACGGCCACGGAGGCGATAAACTTTCAGGAAACATGGATCTCCGCCTCGCCCCGTGACCGGAACAACATGATGGAGGCAAACGCAACCGGAACGCCCGATGGCCACGTGCCACAAGAATGTCGTAACGCCGAGTCTCACTGTTTGCCCTCAATGAGGGTCCGGTCCCTCTCAGCATCCCCACCGGTCTCCAGACCATAAGGCTTGTGCAACCCATACGGCCCCCAGAGCCGTACATAATCGAGCCAGTCACATCGCCATAGCGTGCCGAGAAGCCTTGGACCTTCTCTCGGCACCGCAGTGAGATTCGCCAAGATGCAATGACGCGGCTCTTGAGATCCGTCTTGGTGTTCCCCCAACCTGCAGCTCTGGCTCCCTTGGCGATGGAATGACCAGAACATATTACCAAATGGCACCCCCGGCTTCGAGGGAGGGGGTCCCGCTCTAAGGCTGTTCTGTCTTTTCTTGTCGTCAATTCTTGCCAGTTTTGACTTTCACCGACACTCCACGGCCGGTTCGAATTTCTCTGGGCAGCCACACGTACGATGACCGACGAGATCACTGCTGCACCACGACAGCAGGACTCCGGCCCAGCTGGGTCAAGCTCGTACAACCACCAGTTTTCAAAACAACAAATGGGCGACGACGAGAAAGAGCTGGACCTCCGCGATGATTCCAACATCCAAAACAACAAGTTTGCGTTTACGCCGACGCAGCTGCATAAGCTGATCACCGCCCGAAGCCTATCAGCTCTCCACGCGTTCGGAGGTCTCCCTGGATTGGCCGCGGGTCTCCGGACAGATCTCGCCGCTGGCCTCAGTGTCGACGAGACCGATCTCGATGGAGCGATATCCTTTCAAGAGGCCGTAGCCGCCGGCGAGGCACACCGATCTGCCGAAATCACTCCCCTGCCGACAGCTCCAACGCACGAACATGGTTTCAAGATCGATCTGGACATCGGCCAACATGAAGAGAAGGGATTCACCGACCGCAGACGCATATTTGGCGAGAACCGGCTACCCAAGCGGAAGCAAAAATCATTCATGAGGTTAGCATGGATCGCGTTCAATGACAAGCTCATGTTCCTCCTCACACTATCGGCCACGATTTCATTAGCCCTCGGTATCTATGAGTCGGTCGATGCAGCGGAGAGCGAGAACAAGATCCAATGGGTCGACGGCGTGACTGTGGTCGTCGCCATCTTTGTCATCGTCTTCGCCAGTGCAGCTACGGACTGGCAGAAGAACCACAGGTTCGCGAAGCTCAACGAGAGAAAGGAACAACGAGACGTCAAGGTCATCCGGTCGGGAAAGACACAAAATCTATCGGTATACGAGGTGCTGGTGGGTGACATCATGCACATAGAGACCGGTGATGTTGTCGCTGTTGATGGTGTTCTGGTCCAAGGCTCTGGTATTCAGATCGACGAGTCGACCATCTCTGGCGAGTCGGAACTGGTGCACAAGAACGTCCCTAGCGAGAGTGACATTCGCAACAAGAAGGCTCACAGATCATCGGCGACTGACCCATTTATTCTCAGCGGCACGACGGTGTCTGGTGGCGTCGGCGCGTACTTGGTCACCTCGGTTGGCACCAATTCGACCTACGGTAGGACTCTGATGTCGCTAAGAGAGGACGTGGATGAAACTCCGCTGCAGCAGAAGTTGGGTAAGCTCGCCAAGCAGCTCATCACCTTTGGCGCTATCGCCGGCATCATCTTCTTCCTCATCCTCTTCATTCGCTTCCTGGTGGGACTTCGATCGATGTCTGGTAGTTCCTCGGAAAAGGCTGAGACCTTCTTCAAGCTACTCATCCTTGCCGTCACTGTTGTCGTGATCACCGTGCCGGAAGGTCTTGCTCTTGCGGTGACGCTTGCCCTTGCCTTTGCCACCACCAGAATGCTGAAGGATAAGAACCTTGTTCGCCTCATTCGTTCATGTGAGATTATGGGCAACGCGACATGTATCTGCTCTGACAAGACGGGAACGTTGACCCAGAACAACATGACTGTCGTTGCCGGCCGCATAGGCATCTCTGAGCGCTTTGGTGACATCGCAAAAGTGCCGTCAACCACGACAGACGAAGCTGATAAGGGTGCTGTGAGCGATTCTGGGGCCAGTGACGACAACCCTCGAGGGCTCCTGGACTCGCTTAGCGACGATGTGAAAACGTTGATGAAGAATAGTGTCTCCCTCAACTCGACCGCATTCGAGAGCGATGACCCGAAAGATCCCGGCTTCGTCGGCACAAGCACCGAGACGGCCCTGCTTAGATTTGGCCGTGACTTCCTGGCCATGGGCCCTCTGAATGAAGAGCGCGCGAACAACGAGGTCGCCGACATGTTCCCCTTCGACGCCTCCCGCAAGTGGATGGCGGTCATGGCCAAGGTCTCTGAAGGGAAGTACAGGCTGCTTGTCAAGGGCGCGGCTGAGGTGGTCTTCGATCAGTGCTCCTTCATCCTCAAGAACCCCAAGACAGGACTCGGTGTCCAAGTCATCACCGCCGACGCCCGCGAAGACATGCGTTCTACGATCCGAGACTACGCCTCGCAGATGCTGCGGCCCATTGTCGTCGCCTACAAAGACGTGGATGCCGCCGAAGCATTCGAGAAACCCGATGACCCCGACTCAATCAAGTTCGAGAAGCACTTCAGCGATATGACGTTTGTCGGAGTATTTGGCATTCGCGACCCTCTCCGACCGGAAGTCCCCGACTCTGTGCGCCAGTGTCAAGAGGCAGGCGTCTTCGTCCGCATGGTCACCGGCGACAACTTCCTGACGGCGAGAGCCATCGCGAAAGAATGTGGGATCTACAGTCCGGGAGGTCTGGCTATGGACGGACCGACGTTCCGAAAGCTGACCCCTGCTCAATTGGACTTGGTCATCCCCCGCCTTCAGGTTCTGGCTCGATCTAGCCCGGAAGACAAGCTGCTTTTAGTCACACACCTGAAGGGAATGGGTGAGACTGTCGCCGTCACTGGTGATGGAACTAACGACGCGTTGGCTCTCAAGGCGGCTGATGTTGGCTTCGCTATGGGAATCCAGGGCACGGAGGTGTCCAAGGAGGCTGCATCCATCATCCTGCTTGATGATAACTTTGCGTCCATCGTCAAAGCCTTGATCTGGGGCCGAACGGTGAACATCGCAGTGAAGAAGTTCCTGCAGGTGAGTGACACCAAATACTACGAAAGATACAGGGTCGTTGCTAACAAAGCGCACAGTTCCAATTCACTATCAACATCACTGCCGGTACTCTCACTGTCGTCTCAGAGCTGGTTGGTGACTCCCTCTTCACCATCGTCCAGCTTCTCTGGATCAACCTCATCATGGACATCTTCGCGTCACTTGGATTAGCTACCGACTACCCCTCGCACGACTTCGTTCGGCAGCGCCCAGAGCCCCGTAAGGCGCCCATCGTTACCATCACCATGTGGAAGATGATTCTGTGCCAGGCCGTCTACCAGCTCGCCGTGATGTTCACGCTGCACTACGCCGGCGAGTCTCTCTGGGGAATCGATACCAGCGACCAAAACCAAGTGCGGTCCTTCCAAACAATGGTCTTCAACATCTACGTGTTCATGCAGTTCTTCAACCAGCACAACTGCCGTCGTGTCGACAACCGACTTAATATCTGGTACCAAGGCGTCCTCCGCAACCCGTGGTTCATCGGCGTCCAGTGCGCCACTCTCGCAGGTCAGATGATCATCATCTGGAAGGGTGGTCAGGCCTTCGACACCCGCCCTCTGGACGGCCCGCAATGGGGTTGGTCCATGCTGTTCGGCGTACTGGTCATCCCCCTCGGAGCAATTATCCGCCAGATCCCTGATGAGTGGGTGTATGCTTTCTTCCAGATGATCAAAAGAGCCTTCATTGGCACTCTCTACGGCATGTCCAAGCTCCTACCATCCAGATGGCGGAAGAAGGCGGAAGAGGAAGCGGAAGACTTGGGAGCGATGGAGAGTTGGGTCCTGCAGACCGGCGCCGCCCTCTTACGGCCAATGAACTATGAATGGGGTAGCACGACACCACCGCCCGGCGGCGGACTCGCCGGTCGTGTTTCCAGCATCCCTGCCGCTCAAAGAGAGGCCTTGGCGCGCGCGGCCCGGGCTGGAACGGGCGACAACGAGATTGATATCCCGCAGCTCATCGAGAACGCGCGGTACGCCAAGGTGGAGCTATCCTATGGCCTTGAAGTGCACCCTGGGACTCCCAAAGAGGACCCGATCTTGCTTACGTCCATCGGGATTGATGGCAAGAAGTGCCCTCCGAGTCAAGATCCCGAGATCTTGAGATATTTGCAACGTCCCCACTCCAATTAATCAGGGGGCGGTGTGTTGTTCTTTACGGTGTTGGTAGGATGTCTGCTTTTCGCATGAGACACGCTCACGCGTGATGACGCATATCTACACAGACTTATCATGTAATAACATGTCGGGAATCAGGCCTTGGCAGAGATTATGTCTTAATGCTTACAACGTCACATCATGTTAGATAGATTTAATGAATTCATGGGTTGCTTTATTTCTCGGTGCTCGTCCTGCTGAACCACAAGTCGGGACATTTGATAATTGTCGCAAGTTTAGGTAGCAGGTGATTTGTTTCAACGCAGTACTATTAGCCCTCTGTACAGAAAACCAATATCTGCCGGTACCCATCGCTTTGGTTCCATCCGGAACTTACCTCGCCGGCGACTTCTGCCGGTCTACAGGCTATTTCAACCGGACATATTGCCAAGGCTTCTCAACCAGAAAAGGACACATTCACTAACTATATTAGTATACCGTATTTTCTCTCCTAATCTAAAAGCTACCATTTGACGATTCCCAAAATCTGTCGAGAGATGTGCCGTGATGGCTGCCGGGAACGTCTGCCCGCTGTAACCCTACATTCTGATACAGAAGGACCGAAAATTCATAAGGCCAAGCTGACAATGGACGGCTTGCTCCTCACTCCAAGCGATTGCCACTCAAGCTCCATACGCAAGAATGCAGTGATACGTTGACTGCATGGTAGCCATATCCGAAATGCGTATAAAGAAGCATAGGCCCAACGTCTGCTGGTTGGATGTGCCTCTGGGCAAAGTAAGACGATCAGAGTAATTGCAAAGTATTCCCAACAGGTTGGCTTAGTTAATCATCATGAAGTCGATCGTTATCGTCGCAGCGGCGCTTCTTGCGCAAGGCGCTGTGGGACATTCCATCTTTCAACAATTATGGGTTGATGGATCTGACATGATAAGTCCACATCTCACTTCAAGTATCATAGACCTGCTTGACTGACTCTTGTTCACGGATCGCAATGCGCCAGAGTACCTCCGAGCAATTCGCCAGTAACCAACGTCGCTGGGTCTGACATCCGGTGTAACGTCGGTGGAACGCAAGGCGTCGGTGCCAAATGCCCTGTCAAGGCCGGCGGCACAGTAACTATTGAGATGCACGCGGTATGAAAGCCCCTCTTACTTGAGTTTTCTCATAGTGCGAGACTGATCCGGCATCTGATCTAGCAACCCGGCGACCGAAACTGCAAGAACGAAGCGATCGGCGGCTCCCACTACGGCCCCGTAATCGTCTACCTCAGCAAAGTCGATAACGCCGCCTCTGCCGACGGGTCCTCAGCCTGGTTCAAGATATTCGAAGACGGCTGGTCCGCCAAGTCCGGCGCGGGCTCCGGCGACGATGACAACTGGGGCGTCAAAGACCTCAACGCCTGCTGCGGCAAGATGGACGTGCCCATCAGCAAGGACCTCGCCGACGGCGACTATCTCCTACGAGCCGAGGTCATTGCCTTACACACTGCCGGGTCTTCTGGCGGTGCACAATTCTACATGACATGCTATCAGATCTCGATCTCTGGAGGTACTGGCACGGCCAAACCTTCGACCGTCAGCTTTCCTGGAGCGTACAAGGCGAGTGATCCCGGTATTCTGGTGAATATTCACAGCAAGCTGTCTGGGTATGTCGTACCGGGAGGTTCGGTGGCTTCGATTGGAACGACGAAGGCGGCAGGCTCCGGTTGTGGCAGTGGATGTGCCTCGACTTGCGATGCTAGCAAGGGCCCAATTGGGACGGCGATTCCGGTCACAGGCGGTGGTGGCGCTGGGACTTCGCCTGGTACCGGAAGTCCGCCGTCGTGTACGGTTGCCAAGTACGGGCAGTGTGGTGGGCAAGGATGGACCGGATGTACTACTTGCGCGGTAAGTTTGGTCCCTTCCAATTTTGATGAAAAAGCTGCTAACATCTGCTTGTTAGTCTGGATCAACCTGCCAGGGAGTGTCGGTACCTTACTACTATCAATGTGCCTGAGGTTTGTGGTCATGCGTTCCTGAAAACACAATACAGTTTAGTCAATTATAGCATGTATTTCGAGAAGAACACGGAACAAGACTCGTGGCTCTGCGAGTCTTTGATCAATGCTTTGGAGACCCACTCATCGTCATGTTCGAGAGCGCTGGTGGGAGGCAAATACACAAGCCTGATGCCTTGAATACACAAGAACATTGGCTTTATGAATCAAAATGTTGATCATGTTCATTTCATGCCACCCACCAAAGACGCAGTCCAAGATGTTAGGACCTGCCTGATTGGCTAGGCGTCTCTTGAGTGATGACCGTACTTGATACGACCCCTGAACCCTTCAATGCCGTGCGGGGAAAGCCCTACAGAGTGGGGGAGGGGATCATCTGGCAGGGACCGCTTGACTCGGTGCAACTTCGGGTCTCACAGAGCAACAGTCTCCTCTCAAAAGAAGTGATATTCTCGCGTAAGGCCCACGAGGAATGCAAGGGAGCCTCAGACACCTTTGTTTATCCTCTGCGCTTTGAAGGCCGATAACCAGTAGCCAACAAAGAGCTATCTCGTTGTGTTCAAGCATCAACACCACCATGGGCAAACGCGTTGTCTTCACCGGTGGCTCCGGCGTCGCGGGCCGCTGGGTGATTCAGGAACTCCTCCGCTACGGTCACGAGGTGATCAACCTCGACATCGTCCCTCTCGACAACCCTGCCGTCCACACGATGAGATGCGACGTGAGCGACGCCGGTCAGGTCTACAGCGCGCTTCACACTCAAATCCAACTCACCCAGCCTCTCGAGAAGTCCTCAATCCCTGACGCCGTCATCCACTTCGCCGGTTACGCACGCCCGCTTCTCGCTCCAGATAATGAGATCTTCAAGACAAACGTCAACAGCATCCACAACGTCGTCGAGGCAGCGTGCAAATTGGGCATTAAGAAGGTCATCCTGGCGAGCAGTGTCTGTGTCTACGGTGTCACCTTTGCCGAGGAGCGGCGCCAGTTCACTTCATTCCCCATCGACGAAGAGACCGACTGCAACCCCACGGACCCTTACGCGCTTTCCAAGATCGTGGGAGAGACGATTGCCAGGAGCCTCGCAAGCCGCTTCGGTGTGGATATTTACTGTCTTCGCATTGGTGCTGTCATTGAGCCTGAGAAGTACGCCGAGAGCTTTTCTGGGTACATCAACCAGCCAGAGGCCTGGGATGTCCACGGATGGTCTTACATAGACGCGAGAGACCTCGGTCAGATGTGTCATCTCGGACTTGAGAGGAACGGGTTGGGCTGGCAAGTGTTTAATGCCACGAACGATGAGATCACGAATACGGAGAACACGACTGCGTTCTTGAGCCGCGTGAGCCCATCAACCCCATTCACGCGGGAGATGGGAGACCGCGAGGCACCGATGTCGAACAGGAAGATCCAAGCCATGTTGGGATTCAGGGAAGAGCATCCGTGGATGAGGTACATTCCCATCACCAAGAAGACAGTATGATAGACACATTGTTGTCAAGATATCCAAGTACGCAAGAACATGATGAACACAAGATCAAATGAGATCCTAGCTCTTCGGCAAAGGGCAGCGCGCATCCATCCGCATTCATCAAATCAAATCCGTCGGATTTCAAAACCCGTGATCCCAGCCGCATCGACTCACTACCCCACGTTCTCGCAATATCTATTCACTCCCCCACGTTCCCCGTGAAGCCTCCAAACAGCTCGGCAGAAGTCCGTCTTTCGGGATCCAGAACCCGCAAGGCGTGCCGGACTGTTCCCCGGGTCTGGTGCGGGGTTCTCCCCCAACACAAGACTCGTCAGCAATGGGCTTGCTCCACCGGCACCGCGCCAACAAATCGTAACCGGCCTATTTCGATTAGTCGTCAGTCATCCCGTCGCGCGGCTCCATTAAAAATTCCCAGTTTTCTCCTCACGAACCGGTATTCACTGTTATGTGATTGGAGACGCCGTGTATCGTGAGAAGCTCGGTTGGTTTCTACCCCGCACCCCCGTGTTCACTGTGGACTTGTGTTAGCAGGTGAATGGGGTCTGGGGCCGGTGCAGTGAATCTGCGTGTGTTTATTATAAAATCATCGTCGGCCCCGATTGTTCTCCGACTTCGATGCACTTTTCTTTGGCTTCATTCCATCGTTTCTTTACTTTGCCAAGACTTCTAAAGGATACAGGATGGTCTCGAATTTCAGTGCGGTCCATCCCGCCGCTGGCGAGGAACAGGGACAACATGAGCCGAGATACGTCGACTTCCCCATTGCCCCGAATGACGCCACCTGGGAAAATGGAGAGCCCGTTCTCAACAAGTATTCAACCTTCCTCACTCGCGAGCATGATTTTCCTGGTGCCAAGGTAAGAAGTGTCAAAATATCCCTTCAATGGATACAGACTAACATGTTCAACAGGCCATGCTCTACGCTGCTGGTGTTCCCAACGAGGAGATGATGCAGCGGGCCCCCCAAGTTGGCGTTGCTTCAGTATGGTGGGAGGGCAACCCATGCAACATGCATCTCCTGGACCTGGGAAAGACAGTTAAAGAGGCCATCAAGAAGAAGGGCTACATCGCCTGGCAGTACAGCACGCTGGGGGTTTCTGACGGTATTGCCCAGGGCAACGAGGGCATGAGATTCTCTCTGCAGTCGCGAGAGCTCATCGCGGACAACATCGAAACGATCACTTGCGCACAAGCTCACGACGCCACTGTCGCCATTCCCGGATGCGACAAGAACATGCCAGGCTGCGTCATGGCAGTCGCCAGACACAACCGTCCATCAGTAATCGTCTACGGTGGCACTGTTGCTGGAGGCTACTGCGAGGTGTTGAAGAAGCCTATCGACATTGTCACTTGCTACGAAGCTCAGGGTGCTTATCTGTTCGGTACGCTGGGTTCCTGGTCCGACGACAAGAATGTCACGCCCGAGGAGATTCTGTCGTCCATTGAGAAGGGCGCCGTTCCAGGTCCCGGTGCTTGCGGTGGCATGTACACTGCGAACAGTCTGGCCACCATCATCGAGACTCTTGGTCTATCCGTCACAGGCTCGTCAAGTACTCCCGCGGCGTCCCCAACCAAGATGAGGGAAGCGGAAAAGGTTGCCGATGCCATTGAGGTCTGCCTGCGCCGCAACATTCGACCTAGGGATATTCTCACCAGGGAGTCTTTCGAGAACGCACTCGTCATCACGATGGCTTTGGGCGGATCCACCAACTCCGTCCTGCACACCCTCGCCATGGCTAGAGCAGCTGAAGTCCCCCTCGACCTCGAAGACTTCCAGCGCGTCTCTCGAAAGACCCCCTTTATCGCCAATCTGAAGCCTAGCGGCAAGTACGTCATCGAAGACCTCTTCCACATCGGCGGCGTTCCATCAGTCACCAAGCTCCTCATCGCCGGAGGCCTGCTCAACGGAAAGACTCTCACAGTCACCGGCAAGACGCTCGAGGAGAACGTCGCCGACTGGCCATCTCTGCCCCCTCAACAGGACATCATCAGACCCCTATCCAACCCCATCAAGCCCGCCGGACATCTTGTTGTGCTACACGGTAACATCGCCCCCGGCGGCGCAGTGGCCAAGATCACCGGCAAGGAGGGTCTGCGCTTCGAAGGCGAGGCGCGCTGCTTCAACAAGGAATCCGAGCTCGTTACGGAGCTCAACGCCGGCAACATCCCCCGCGACAGGAACATCGTCCTCGTTGTCCGCTACGAAGGCCCTAAGGGCGGCCCTGGTATGCCGGAACAGCTGAAGGCGTCTGCGACCTTGATTGGTGCCAACCTCAAGAACGTCGCCCTGATCACGGATGGAAGGTATTCTGGCGCTTCCCACGGATTCATCGTGGGACACATTGTCCCTGAGGCGGCGGTCGGCGGACCCATTGCTGCCATCAAGGACGGAGACATGATTAGCATCGACGCCGAGACGTGTACGATTAGCATGAACGTGGGCGACGAGGATATCAAGGAGAGACTGCGCTTGTGGAAGCCGCCCAGGCCTCCCGTGACGAGAGGCACTCTCGCCAAGTACGCGAAGCTGGTGGCTAGCGCCTCAGACGGTGCAGTCACGGACTTGTTCTAGAATAGCTAAGATACCTGGGGTAGATTGTAATGATATGAGCAGTGAAAGTGATACGATAGGCATCTATATCAACTAACCCCTTTTCTGTGAATTCCTCGATTTTGCCTCATCATCGTTGGAGCCGCCTATCCGGAAATGCCGGGGGAAAGGTAGCTGTTGGGTCGTCACTCCTGCAGCCATGGATCCGTCACGGACTTCTTCCCGAGATTTGACCCCCACAAAGTCCCCCGCAAGGAGGGGTAACACCATGCCACCGGCAGACCCAGGGCACATGAACTCTGCAGAATGATGCTAGTCCGTGTTGCTGAAATCCGAATCTAATTATCTTTGGCGGGAAAGAATCATACACACGGAAGAAGGCGAAGCTGGTGAAATAGAGCCCCAGGGCAACTAACAGTGTTGCCGATGCTGGTCAGTTCAAAGTTGCTCAAAGCAACCTCCTAACGGCCAAAGTACTTCAACTCCAGGTAACGAGCCGGCAAATATGCCAAAGCAGACACCACGAGAGTCAGCTCGTTGGCAATGTCACCCCCAGATTCGCCAATCAGCCCGCCAAGAGGTCCCACAAACCAGGTCTCAACCATGCCCATGCACCACGCGACCACGCCGACCAGGAAGGCAACGCTAGCCCCGATGCCAAGAGGCAAGCGGCTCGGGTCGTTCCAACCTTCGAGATCGTAATTAGCAAAGTCTCCACGTCGGAAGATGGTGTGTTCCATCAGCAGGATCACGAAGTAGCTTGTGCACCAGTAGCCCAGCAGGCTGAGGAAGTTTTGCAGGTACGTGTTCAATTGGCTGCGGCCGCCGACGGCCAGCCCAACGACAACAGCGAAGCAGAGGAAAGTCCAGAGGAACCGGGGGATTTTGGCGAGGGGGCGGGCCATTTGCTGGAAGGAGATGGCGGCGGAGTAGAGGGAGATGATGTTGGTGTTGATGCCGCTGAAGGAGAAGATTACGAGAAGGAACTTGGCGAAGCCGCGCGGGTGCAGCATGTCTCGGATCAGAAAGCCAAGGCCTTCGTTTTCGTAGGCGTCTTTCCAGGCCGTCTGGTTGTTCAGAGAGCTGGCCAGCACGGCACCAGCGGTCATACCGATGGACGTCGGGATAGCGATGCCGAGCGTCGTGAGGGTGAACACCTTGAGCCTGGAAACGTTGGTCGGGTATTGGACGTAGTAGTCGGAGACCATAGTGGCCCACGATGCGGAGCTTCCGTAGACGACCGCGAGAAGTGAGAGAGCGCTGGCGGAGAGGTCGGCGCCAGTGACCTGGGCCGGAGTGACATCGTCGGCGTACGGACCAACCATGCTGAAGATAATGATGAAGATGATGAGGTAGATGAGCCATGCGTAACGCTCATAGATCAGGATGTAGCGCAGACCGAGAAAGCTGACCAGGAGAGACACAACGGCGATGATGACAACGCCGACGACCAGGGAGATGCGGCCATCGGCGACTGCAGTCAGCGCCAATCCGCCACTGATGGATGCGACAGAGGCCCAACCGAGCTGCTCGAGACCATTCAAAAACGCGATAAGCTTGTTCGGCCACCAGCCAAAGCTGTACCGGGAGATCGAGATCTGACGAAGACCCGTCGCCGCGCCGAATGTGGCACAGTACCCGGATACGGCACCGCCGAGGATGGAGCCAAAGATGAAGATGGGAATCGCCCGCTTCAGGTCAAGGCCGAACTCCCATCCAAGAAAACCTGTCGCAAAGCAGCTGATACCCATCGTACCGGACGCCCACAGAAGAGCCATGGTCAGCTCCTCATGCCACTTGACGGGGCGCTTGTCGGCCTCCGTCTTGCGATCGATGGCGTGCGACTCGACACCCAAAGCTCTGTCCATTCTACCCTCGAAGCGGCGCAGAGTGGCCAGGATGCCAGTCTCCCTCGGAGAGTCATCGCTGCCGGCCTCCAGGGAGCCCTGGGGCGACGACGTCTTCTCGCCCATGCCTTTCTCGTCGTAGCGATCCATCGCAGCAGCGGCCGTCGTCGGGACCGAGTTTAGTCGGGCTCGGCGATGACTTGGTGTAAGTGACGTTGAACGAAAGTGTGCAGAACCTAGTCAAAGCGACACAAACTCTCTTGGCGTAGGAAGGCTGCCAAGACGGGGCATCTTATTCTACAAATGCGGCCTGCCGGAGCGCCTTTTTTAATTTTTCACCTTTACCTATCACGGTGGGTTCCTCTTCGATGCTACCCACCTACCCGGGTGGAGGCCCTAACGCGGAAGTGATTTGCGGGCTTCCAGATTGTCGCGTGCGCACTACACGCCACCCTAGAGTCGTTCATGCTAGGGATGCCGGTTGATGTCACGGCATCGAGTTGACTTATTCTCTTTCTGATTTCCCAGTGTTGTCTTGTTGGCTCACCTTTGTGCGGGCCTCAGGGGTGCCGTAGTACTATGAATCTTAAGAAACATAATGGCACGATCCCTCACGGAACACTTACTTCAGATACCCAACATCACAACGAGACATGTTCAACGACGAGGCACTATCAGCGACCCTTCAACATGAACGCGAGCTCTCGGAATACCCTTGCCATCCCCAGTCGCGTTGCAGATTGCATAGCAAGCCAGGCAAATCGGAGAATTTATCAACGAATGACACGGGGCAAAACGGAGGGCTACCGTGCATGGCCGTCTTTGTCCACCGATGACCGAGATTCCAGCAGCTTCAGCAAAGTCATTCGCGGTGTACAAAAGTGCGCTTATCTTTGAGGTGCCGCGCGGACAACGCCGGTTGTGGGGGCTTTCCGGGTCTTATCTCGGCTATCTCGGCAAGTTTGCGGGCCCAGACCACGGAACTTTTGCGGCGTGTCCTGCCAATCATATCGGGAGGCCTGCTGCTCCGCTCCGTAATGCTGGAGTCTGCCGGGCTTGAGCTGTCGAATCATCGACGCAGACTGCTTGCAGAGCGGCTGCTCCTTTTCTCGAGTCGTCCCATTCTTCATGGACAATGATGGACTTCCAACGTCTTGCTCCTTAAACCCTTTCGTCTCCTAGGTGCCTTGGTGGAGTACCCAACATCCATCTCGGCCCCGACACCGCGGCTGCTCTTGGAAAGATCTGAGTCGTCTGCTTAATTCCTTTCTCTTCCTCGTCCCGGGTTCTCAATCCACAATCCATTGACGTATCTGGGTCTTATGTTTAGCTGGGGAGCTCTGGGTCTAGGCCCGGTGGCTTGTTCGTGGGGAAGGTCTCCGCGGGGTAATCAACAGTGGTGGAGATGCTCAACTTCTAATATCTCGGGGCAGAAGGGACCGAAACTGCGCTTGTTATGCCCCTCTGATAGACGATGCATTATTTCATTCGGATGCTTGACTTGTCGTCAATCAAGATTTCTGACTGGACACATCGCTAACAGGTCGTGAGCAAAGAAGAATGCAACCTTTGAAAACTAATTCATGGATGTGAGCGTCATAAGTATTGACTACAACTGGCAAGAAGCGCCGATCGTCCAGATCGTGACTTTTCTCGTCGAATAACATTGTCATGCGATGTCATACCACGTACCTTATTTCGAGTGGTCAATTCATGAAGACCTACCACATTAGATTCAGTTAAGAGTGCCAGCATTCTCGGCGGACCATATGAAATACAATGTCCACTTTCGTTTGACCCTTATTATCCGTATTTTGCTTATCCTCATTGTCATTATCACCATCACCATCGTCCTCATTGTTCTCGTTGTCGCTGTCGTCGCTGTCGTCGCTGTCGTCGTCGTCGTTGCTATCGTTGTCGCTGTCTTCACCGTCTCTATGTCAGTGGCTACTCTAATTCTGTGATCACTATCTATCCGAAAAGCCAAAGTCTTCATCAGACCAAGACATGTGTGTGTCCCATCTTCGGTTGAACCACCGTTCAGCGACAACAAAATGCACACAACCCAGCCCTACTTCTATTCATAAACATTAGATTAGATCGAAGCCTCAAAGTGGCTGTTCGGCGAGACTAAAAAGAAAATGTCCGAATGAAACGGTAAGTGCCTGCCGGCGCAACACTAAGCCCAGAGTCCGCCATGGCATCCCGCCGGGAGCAACTGTGCTTTGGTTCCACAAGCTGATCTATGACAGCAGGAGGATGCACAATAGCCCACTGATTGGACGAACACGGGCATTCAATATGCTGTGTTTCACGTTCTTGGTGGAATCTGGCCTAACCTGGATACAGCCGGTGGGATGAAATAGCGGGATGCGGGCGCAACCTGCTACAAGATTGTAGCTTCGACAGGGCGCTGCCTTTGATCTGCGGGGGAAATTGACGATCAAAGGCCCAAGGCCTGGTATGTGCAGAAATAAGCAGTACAATCCCTGGAGGAATGCAGCCGGAATGCCAGCGTTTGAGTGACCTGGGTATATTCGCACTTTCTTGATTTCCGACGCCGAGCTTGAGTCTTCACGTTGGAGCTCACGATGGTGACATGGGTTTTATGTCTCTACATGAGCTCCATTGATATCTTATAAATATCAAATACTGTTCTAAATTGAATAATGCCGCGGTGGTCATCCTCATCCGCTTCTTGAATTACTGAACAACAACATGGGTCTCGTCAGCAGACCTATAGCTGTGCTCTTGGCTGGCATTGTCATAATATCAACCCTTCGAGTAAGTGTCATCACACCTTCTGCCAGTCGTGGCAATTGTATGTCTAATGCTGACGTTGCTCGTATAGATCGCTCTCCGTTCCTTGCTCTCACCGTTGAAGTACATACCCGGGCCCTGGTACTCTCATTTCACCCACTATGTCCTCAAGTACCATGTTGTCATGGGGAGAAGAATCTTCTACGTCGACGACCTACATCGTAAGTACGGCGACATCGTGCGACTCAGCCCTGGCGAGGTTTCAGTGGTATCCGTCGATGGCCATCGAAAGATCTACTCCGTCAGTTCCCGATGTACCAAGCACGAGTGGTATCTGAAGTTCGGCGGACACCCCTACCCAGGCCTGTTCACCATGACAGATCATCAAGAGCATGCGCAACGCCGAAAGATATTCGCCAGAGCCTTCAGCAAGTCTCAGCTCAGAGTCCAATGGGAAGACACCATCAGAGCGATCGCAAAGAAGGCCGTGCAGAGGATGGCGGATGATCTGAAGGAGAATGGGAAGGCCGATGTGCTCAAATGGTGGACGTTCATGACATCAGATATTTCGGGGGAATTGATGTTCGGCGAGTCTTGGGACATGCTCGGAAAGGGACAGGTGAGACGTTGTCCATCCAGATGATGGTTTGGGCATGTCGCGGCTGATATATTGAACTAACCTTTATCAGAAAAATGAGTTCATTCGGTCAGTGGCAATCTACATTCAGAGTTCTGGCTTGATGGCAGAACTGCCACTGATCAAGACTGTGGGTCGTTTGATCCCGCACCCGTGGTGTCGAACGGCCTTCCGAGGATGGGATTACGTCCTCGACTACGCCTCTCGCGCTGTAGAGAACAGCAAAAAGCGAACGCAGATGGGGGAGCGAAACATCTTTGGTACGATTCTGGCTGGCGCCGAAAAGGGAGAGATCCTGACCGAGTTCGACATCAAGAACGAGGCCGGAAACTTTACGGTCGCTGCAACGGACACAACAGCTGTGACCCTTTCCTATCTCATATATGCCGTTTTGTCCCGTCCGAAACTTCGGGCAGCAATTGAGGCGGAAGTATCAACTTTGCCAGACAACTTCACAGATGCGGACGTGGAGACATTGCCTTTGCTGAATGCCACGATCAGCGAGACGAGTCGTCTTTTCGCTGCAGCGCAGGGCGCTTTCCCAAGGAGAGCACCGCCTGGCGGCTTGGACCTGGAAGGATACATGATCCCCGAGAACACAACCGTCAGCGCCCAAAGTTATACGATGCATAGAAAGGAGGACTTGTTCCCGAACGCGTTGGAGTAGGTGACTTGGCTATATTTTCGACCGATATTCCAATGCTAACATTATATGTCTAGATTCAATCCGGAGAGATGGTTCGCAGAGTCAAACATGTCCAGCGACGCCAAAGCCGTCGTCTCGCCGTTTGGGTCTGGATCTCGCATCTGTATCGGCATTCACGTGGCGTACATGGAGATACGACTGGCTGCGGCTGGTTTTTTCAGGGAGTGTCGTGAAGCTGTTCTGTCGGAGGAAACAACGCCTGAGTCAATGAGCTTCATGAATTATTTTGCCACATTTCCCAAATCTGGTCAATGTATTGTCAAGTCGAAGAGCACATAGTTGTATCGTGAAGGCCAAAAAGGGGCTGGTGAGTGCCAGCTGGTGCCATCTGGAGCTACCGGATAGTGTGCCCCAAGAATTCTATCGCGGCCGGCGAAAAATCTCCTTTTGACCGGATTCAAGTCTTCTCCGACATCAATGAGTTGATATGGATAGCGCCTCGAAATCGAGCCGATATCACCTAGAATCTACGCTTTAATGAGATTGACATGTCAACACATATAAAATTTCATTTGACACCGGCCTGGCTCAGTTTTCTATGCCTTATCACGTACCAACGCGTCTACGATGTCCAGCAACATCACCCAACCGCGTCGTTACATGAGCAAACGCCAGCGGCCATGTGATTTCTGTCGGGCACGAAAAACGGCATGTCGTATCGATCAGGCGCCACCGTGTCGTCTCTGTGTCTTGCATGGCCGTGAGTGCACCTTCATCGAGGCTGCAGCGCCCCGAAAGAGAACGGTGCCAGCCGACGGGCCACAAGCGGACCAGGTAAACGCCAGTGTTGACGCACCAAGTCGAAGACAAACAGTCGCACCAAGCCCAAGTCAGGTCCCCGGTGGCTTCACTGATGGGCAGTTTCCCGAGGGTGGGCCCATGCACTTTGGCGAAGCGTTCAACTTCGACACCACGCAATCCGAATTTGAGGCCATGTTCCGTAGTCCGCGGCCGCCTGACTCGCCGGCCGTCTCTGCTCTTGAGACAGAATCACTCAACATGAGCATGGCGTCTGCGCCGAATACTGGCTATTCCGCAGGTGCAAATCCGCAGTTCATGGGTCTCAGCAGCGACATGGACCCTTTCCTGGTCCGCCACTACCGATTCAACGATATGGACATGTATGGATTCAAAGAGCTGGCCATCCATTCAGTACAGGAGAGCCCAATTCCTTGTCAGTTCCTAATTTCGCAACAGTCTCTGTTCTCTAGAAGGCGAGAGGAGGCTGGCCTCAGCAAAGGCCAGGAGGACTCTCTGAGAGAGGAGTTACACAAGGTCATCCCTTTGGATGTTGGACGACGCCTAGTTCGGCTATTTTACCAATTCATCTATCCGAAATGGCCAATATTCTCAGCGTCCCACCCCTTAGACCCCGAATCAGAGCCTTTGTGTCTTGTCGCCGCGACATATGCCATCTCACTACCTTTCGCTGTCCACGACGACAAGCTCAGTGTCGATGTAGCTTACGACAGGCCTCCATATGCCGAACTCTCTCGGATTATTGAGAATAGCCTGGCGTACGAAATGCACTCACCAACCCTCGCCATCGTGCAAGCGCTACTGTTGCTAGTCCTCCGGCCTTCGTCTGACCCAATGGTCGCGGATGCAGCTTCCAGATGGGACCTACTGGGAAGGCTGGTATCGTGTGCTACTACTTTGGGTCTTCATCTCGACCCTTCAAGATGGTCCATGGCATCATGGCAAATATCACATCGTCGTAGGCTATCTTTCATCGTCTATGCGACTGATAAGTGGTTAGCTTGCGGCCTTGGTCGGCCACCGATGATTCACGAGGACGATTGGCTTGTCACGACCTTGGGTTACGATGACTTTTCTGATTCTAGCCTCGACGCCCCTGCACAAAACCACCTGATGAACTTCTCAGCTATCACACGAACGCTTGCATTAACGTTGTCGAAGCTTTAGTAAGTGTCAAATATTTGGCAATGGGTTTCACAGCTGACATGCCCAAGCTCTACGCGAAGTGTCGGGATCTTATCTGGGGATCACGAGAGAACCCTTGACATAGCACAGCCACTACTCCACGAGTTGCGCAACATCTCCAGCGATGACAACTCAACCTCTTTCACTGAAAATGGCCTTGGTCAGCTTTATGTGCAACTGATCATCGGCCGAGCTAAGCTCAGGCCATGGCTGGCAGAGACTACGGCAACGGAGTATCACTCGCATGATCCGTCGCGATCTTTGCGAGCGATAAGAGAAGATATGAAAACATGCATCGTCGGAATGTCTGCAATCATCCGGAGTTTAAGCCCGGATACGGCCGGCGGCTTCTGGGCTCCTTGGAACCAATTCATGTTCTCCTCGGTCTGCTTCACGTTGATGACGATGGCCGTTACGTCTGCTGACTTTGAAGAAGCATCAGGCTGGATTGCTGATTTAGAGTCCACCCGAAAGCTATTAAGACTCAAAGTGGTTTCATTCCCATTTCTACGACTCGGGCTTCTGAGGATAGATGCACTTTTCTGGCGGGGTATTGAAAATGTTCTTCAACTGAAACCTCATGTTGCGGATGCGTTCAAAGCTGCGGAGTCAGAACGACCCTAAACTGGGTCCTATTTTGTTTGTCTCCTTGTAGGGTAGCCGTAATGCTACCATGTACTACTTGCTCAAGAAAATCATCGACTGCCTCGACGGCGTCCAACGCCATCCCATACCCTGAACGCCGCCGCCCCGATACCACTGGGCCAAATCGGCATAGCGGAGTGATTGGCCAAATTGCGTGGACTTCACCTAAAACTTTCATGTTACGCGGTCGAACCATATCTTACCTAGACGATTAGGCCAAACAATCCAAGAAGCGAATCAATCTCAGCCCCTGCGGGAGTTATCACATGAATGTAAACTTGGAGTCGAATTGATTGTTTGATCTGCTACGACACCGACGAGAGTGAAGTCCAATAAGGGTCCCACACCTGCGAGCAAGACACGCTCAGGCTCCAGCCACATCTAGATCAAAACAACTCCTCGGTCCTTTGGCCACCGCATAGTTCAGCCACTCCGGGTCCTCGAGCAACTTCTGCATCGCGCTGTCTTCCAAACACACCACCATCTCAACACCCTCGTCCGGGTCACCCGTATTTCTGGAAGGGTAGTAAAACACGAATCCATCGAGATCAGGCTTAGGCCAGCGAATCGCTTTTGACGTCCCGAACCCGAATTCCCACGTCTGATGAGCCGACAAGCCCTGCCAACTACTGCCCACCACGTCCGGACCCAAGAATGCGTTCATGTTAAACGCGACACGTCGCTTGTCAGGGACACCGGCGACCCACTCCACGATTGATTTGTAAACATCGTCGTCGACCTCGACGTTTGCTGCACGCAACAATGCAGACAGGCGAGGAAAGGCACCGGGGGCCACAACCTCATCGAAAGTTAGCTCCGACCAGCTCAGCGTGGCGACGTTGCCAACGTAATGCTTCGAAAGCGGCGGTTTGAGACGACCGCGCCCGTTGACAGCGAACATCAGTGTAGTGGTTGTGTCTCCAGCGACCGAAGACTGACGAGCGCGGGAGACGCATCGCCAGCAGAATGCCATGATGGCATCGTAAGATGATATCCAAGTGTTTGGGTCTGTCCGAGATGCATTGGCTTTAAGTTGATTAATCTTGGACCTTGGGAAATGAAAAAGAACTTCCGAAGTGGCGGGCATTTTGAATTCGGGAGGAGGAGGCTGAGGAGCCGTATCAAGCAGTTTGACGGTCTTCAACCTTTGGTCCAGTTCCGTCCACCGTTTCACATCTGGCACAGGGCCAGAGTGCGTGAGAAGTGCGCGATCCATGATAGAGTGGTCAAAGGGAGCCAGAGGTAAGCCAGCGACCAACCTTTTCGTGTTTGCTGCCCAGGACTCGAGAAAGCCGTCAAGTCCTGAAACGTCGGTGGCTAAGTGATGCAGGCCAACGCCAATGACCAAGCCGCCTCAAATAAAGGTAACCATAAACATTATGACGGGGGCGTCATCCTCATGAAAGTCTCCGTGCTGGGTGAGGTTCTGCTTTTCGGTCATGATTCTTGGCAAAAGCTTTTTGCTGTCTAACAACATGGGTGGAAATGCGTCTTTCTCGAGGGCGGCGTAGGATGGTACATAATCATCATCCGGTCCATCGTGATATTGGACACTCAGTTCCACGACGTCATTGTCGGTAGTCTTGATGGTGTGCTGGCCTGTCTCGTCGTTGATCTGCAATCTGCCACCGAATTGTCTGTATTGGCCGAGTGTTTCAGCAAGGCCTACTCTCAAATCCTTAATGACTGATGGTCCGTTTGCATCAGAAGGAAGGGCGTATATTGCAACAAGGGGAATGTTGATTGCAGGCTGAATGTAATCGAAGTCCGAAATAGGCCATACTTGATCTCCTGAACTGCCTTGAGGCTGACATGGGCGAACCCAGTGCGTCTGAACGTCCCTGGTAACCCTTGACATTGCAAGGCTCATGGACAAGACAAACTGATGTATATTCCAAGTTCTGAAGGTGGTGGAGTTGAAACCGTTAGACGATGGCTTTTATATGGCGTGGGTATCGATTGATCAGGACAGTCTCAAGTAATTGATCCCCACTCCCCTCGCCCCTAACATCTGACCTATATAGTAAGATCCGTGATGTCTACGGTACGACCCGAGATGTCCCAAATCCAATTGAAGTCAACTTTCCGGTACTAGTCATGCGTTCCGCAGGTGAATTGTGGAGTCTTGTTGCAACAACCCCTCATGATCATCTTTGGTGCCTTCCATCTTAGTCTTACTAGTGATGATCTTGCCAAATAAGGTGGTGTGATGGCTTGAAGGATATCGAACGGATAATTGAAAATCACTGCATGCCGTAGAACATTGAGGTCCACACAAGCTGAGGCATGCAGGATTATTTGGTTCCGAATGTGTCTTCATGTTCGACAGCCACACAGCTAGGTATATACCTGTATTCCGCTGTGAATCACGACTCATCCTCGTCGCCCGACCACATTCACGAGGATGGAAATGAGTGCCGGTTGCTTCCCCTTCATATGTCGCTGCTTGACGTTCAGCTCACGCCATTGGTTCCAAGCTGTTGCGCAATCATGTTCTGTCCCAAAACTCCTTTTGATTTAGTCAGAACATTCGTGGCGGACGATGACCGTAACAATGGTGAGAATAGTAGAGACCACGACAACGACGACAGCAGAGATGACGATGGCAGCTGCTGCAATAGTAATTATAGTATATAATATTGCGTTTGACTCTTTCTGACGATCAAGAGAAACATTCATGAGGTAGACAACGTGAGAATTTCTTTTGCCGGGATGGCACAACTCTTCTTATTCAGCCCCGGTAGTGCGTTGATCTAAGCAAAGACGCGGTGTCCGTGATGAACTCAAAACTTTTGCCAAGACCTCTTTCTGGATGGTTGTAGTGTGCGAAAGCGTGAGGGACACCTTCATACCTCTTCATCGAAACTTGATTGCCACCATCTGTGAGTAGCCTCCCATAATACTCCCCCTCATCTCGCTCGAGATCGAACTCTGCTGTTACGATATGAGCTGGCGGTAGATCGCTGAAGTTTGGTGCCAAGACGGGCGTCAAGATCCACTCATTCAAACATCTTTCTTGTTCATCTAGCTCAATGTGTCAATAAATGGTCTTGTTTCAGGGCTGGCTTTCATCCTACCATCATCGTCTCCAAGCCAATATTTCAAGAACCATTGTTCTCTCCCCAGTGGTCCCCAAGGGAGACTGTGAAACTGTCGAGCACTTTCATACGGACAGTTGATTTCATTGAGCCCTTTGATCTTGCGGCTGCAATACCGCATGTCGGTCGCTGGAACGATCATGAGATGCAACTTGATTGGAATCTTCTCATCTGTTGCCAAATGGGCAAGAACGGCAGACATTTGACCGCCGGCCGACAGCCCGCCAAACGAGACGCTGGTCGGGTCGATGTTTAGAACTTGAGCGTTGCTGATGGTCTGGAGGATGGAGATGTTAGCCAAGAGCTTGGGACTTTCTTATTGGTGGTTAAAGTCTTACCCATTTGACAGCATCCCAGCAGTCGTAAATTGCGGTGGGAAATTTATGCTCAGGTCCCATACGGTAGTCGACATCGATGATTTTTATGTTCGCTTTGTTACACATGTGTCGGCACCATGCAGCCTCGCTCTGTAGCCCACCAAGAACCCAACCGCCTGTAACGTCAATTACTGGTTCTCATATTTGCTGGGATTTCAAACGAGGTGCTCGCTTACCTCCATGAAAGTTGAGATGTACGGGAAACGGACCAGGGCCTTCAGGCGAGTAGACACGAACGGTGATCTTTCCAAAGGGCCTGGTTACAGGGATCTTACGATCTTCAACATGGAATACTTCAGGTCCTACACTGTTGTTAATACGCATTCTGAGACAAAATCTGGCTTCTAACTTGGCTAACCAGCACATGTCGGATAAGTGAAGCTGTATTTCCCCGGGCTTTTCCGATACTCTTCGATACTGACTTCATCGGCTCTCACCATGGAGCCGCCATGATCATTCCAAAGCCGAACCCACTCTGGATCTATACCTGGATAGTCTTGCGCCGAAATAGCAAGTCGTCCGGGGTACGCCTCAGCTTCCAGCTGTCCGCAGGCTGTTCGTGAAACTGTCATTTTCGATGTATGCGCATGTGGTTGAAATCGATCAAACTGCGATGTCGAGCCACGAGTCTCAATTCATCCCGCAGTTCGTCTCATCATCTAAGCCGCAATCGCCGGGCCGGACGTTTCCATGACCAACGCATCGAATTCGGCGGCCGGCATTGTGTCTGATTGGCGGCGTTCAAATGGCCGATCTTGGTGGGCCAAGAGCGGATGAACCACCAAAAGATGACGGTATTAGATCTGATTGGTGGCGTTCTCAATCGCTATCTTAGTGATAGGCCAGTGGACGCCACCTATGAGAGTTGCGCAAAATCCCCAGCGTTATCTCCCGTATCAGGCGTTCACGCGCCTGTCCGGGGGACCCCGCTTTACCCGCTGCGCCGGGTCGAGTCAGAGGATCAGGGATTTGAACAAAGGCCGGAGCCAAGCATTTTGTTCGTCATCTATATGACTATGAGATGTTCCAGCATTTAGCCTCCGAAGGGCATCGTTCGATTTTCGGCACATGAATACTTCTTGATCGTGCTAGAGTGACGATGGGCGACACCAAAGACAACATCGCCGGCGCAGAAGAGGCCCAGGTGCATCCTGATGCCCCGGTCAAGTTGGCTGCGGAGCAATGGGCGGGTCTAAGGAGAGTTCCAGACAAACTCCCAACTGTCGCACTTCTGATCTTGGTTGTTGAGGTATGTCGATCATGAGATTCGTTCAAACCAGTTGGAGCTCGTGTTTAACAGTCAAAATAAAAGCTCGGAGAGCGCTTCACTTACTTTGGTCTGAGCGGGCCGATTCAGAATTACATCAAGTAAGTTCTAATGGACTACCTCTGTTCCATATGTTAGAGCGACTAGGTTCTGTTTGGGTTCACATGCCCTCCATATTGAGGTACCGTCGTCGTCGTCGTCGTCGTCGTCGTCGTTGTTGTTGTTATTGCTGCTGTTATTGCTGTTGTCGTTTCTATTGTTATCTCTACTACTGTCATCCTGATTGAAGTCGCCATTTACGCCGGGGAATCAGGCGGTTTCAAATCTAATACTATGCAACTCCGACTAGACTTACTACAAATTGCTAACTAGTTCCATTATAGTAACCCGTATGATCCAAGTTCTGATCTTCCGGGAGCCCTCGGGCGAGGCCAAGCTGTGGCCACTGCGTTGGGCAACTTCTTCAAATTCTGGGCATATGCATCGACAGTCATCGGCGCCGTTATAGCAGGTAAGTTGGTTAAAAACCCTCCATATAGTGCTGTGCTGACAAGCCTTTATCAGACCAGTATCTTGGAAAGTTCAAGGCAATCCTTGCTGCTTGCTCTGTCTACACCATCGGTCTCATTATCCTCGTTGCAACTTCAACACCGCAAGCGATCACCAGCGGGGCTGGCTTTGGTGGCCTCATCGCCGCAATGATCACCATCGGTCTTGGTACAGGTGGGATCAAAGCGAACGTCACGCCCATGTGCGCCGAACAATACCAGAACTCCCATCCTGTCGTGAAGACTCTGAAGTCTGGCGAAGAGGTTCTTGTGGATCCTGAGCTGACTGTACAACGCTTGTTCATGTGGTAAGATGATGCATAGGTAGTGATACAACATCGCGGACACTAGCTAATGACTATCAAGGTTCTACTGGGTTGTCAACATTGGCGCTCTGTCACCTCTGATCACTGTCAACGTCGAGGCTCATCACTCTTTCTGGTTGGCGTACCTGATTCCACTCATGTGAGTTGCCCAACCTTTTGACCTGGCTTGGTGTCTAACCTGCCCAGTGCAATTCTCATATCCGCAGCCGTCTTCATCTCCGGCCAGAAGAAATATGTGAAGGTTCCACCCGAAGGATCTGCGATTGTGGATGCTTTCCGAGTAACCAGCATTGCTATCAAAGAGAAGGGCTTTGAGAATGCCACCCCCTCGGCGCTCAGAGAGTCTGGTCACGAAAGCAAGTATGCGATTGCAAGAGAAGCCAAGTATACTGACGAATATGTCATGGACGTGATGAGGGGACTGAACAGTTGCAAGGTAGGAAGATCTCGATTATTTACAATGATGTGAAGCTGACGTTTTCATGTCTAGATGTTCTTGTTCTTCCCCCTTTACTTCATCTGTTGGATCCAGATTTGGAACAATTTGATTTCCCAGGCAGGCGAGATGGCTCTACATGGCACACCGAACGATTTACTGCAGAATCTGGACCCCATCGCCCTGTGCATCTTCATTCCATTTCTTGACAGTAAGCAGCCATCTACGCTAGACACCTTAGGAAATGATCTAACCCGAGAACTCCATAGTCGTTGTGTATCCCCTCTTCCGGAAGTATCGCATCAACTTCGATCCGGTAACTCGAATTTTCGTCGGATTCCTTTTCGCATCCGTCTCAATGGTTTATGCTAGTGTTCTGCAACACTACATATACAATTCACCCCCGAAAAGCATTCACGTCTGGGTTCAGGCACCGGCGTACATCCTGGTGGCGTTTTCAGAGGCGTTCATCATCGTTACTGGGCTGGAGCTAGCATTCACCCATGCACCGAAAAAGTGAGTGCCCCTGAGTCGGCTCAGTGGTTCGATGACGCCAAGATGAAACCTAACGCTCAAATTTCCCTAGTCTTCGATCGGTTGTATCCGCCCTTTTTTGGCTGACAATTGGTGTCGCTGCGGCTATTTGCATCGCTCTGGCTCCTGTTTCTCAGGACCCGTACTTGGTTTGGATGTACGCTTCCCTTGGGATTGTGGGATTTGTGGCTGGCTGTGCATTCTATGCCTGTTTCTACCCTGAGAGGAATAAAGCAACGCCTGGACAAGAGGTGATCATTGAAGGAAGATCTCCTGATTCATGAATATCGGGCAGGTTAACGCCTTTGTACGGTTCAATAGTACGCAAAAACAGTGTTCGTCACAATCCATGTTTGTGAGGAGTTGAAGTGCATGAATTATCTCTTCTGATGGTCAAATTTGGTATTTTTTGAGCTACAAATACTAACTATGCTATGACACCGGAGCAATGCAACGACGGACAGCCAGCGCCTCCACAAGGGCAATCAAAGCAATTTTGACCCCCATACTTGTTAACTGGGCTCTTTTTTTTGGTGTTTTTGATTACTTGGCTAACTTGCAAATAAAACAAATCAATCACTATACAAAATGACGTCATATAGACTACTTAATCGGGTAATTTTGAGGATATCTAAAGCCCTCTCATAGGCCCTCATAGCCCCCCTTAGAGGGCCCCTTAGAGGGCCCTTTAGAGAGGGGCCCTTAGAGGGCTCTTTAGAGGAACCCTCAAGCCCCCCCCTAAGGGGGCCCCTCACGTATGCCCTCACGTATCCATTTCCTATAGGCTGGGCATACCTATAAGTGGGGCGATAGCCTATATAAGGCCTCCTATTGGCTAGAGTATGAGACATCAAATATTTCAATTCAATCGAGGGATGTCGGATTGATCGATTGGGTAGTGGCGATGGCCTCACTTTGCTTGGTTGGGTTATATGCTTTGTCAATTTACTTGTCCTTATGGAGGCGCTGCGAACAGCTCGTATTTTAGAGCCGTTTCCGAACAGACGTCATTAATTACATGAATTTACAGTTATTGGAAACTTTGTACACGGCTTCCAGACGGCTCTACAAAGGTTTCGCCGTTACTGCTCTCTCTTTTCAACTGAAGAGGCATGGGTAAATATCGCAGAGCCTCCAAGGCATCTGGGTCGATCATGGGTGGCGCGCCTTCGGCCGGCGGAGGCCAAGAAAGGAGCGTGGGAGAGAAGACACCGCTGCTGGCAATGCTTCCTACTTCTGAGAGAGAGCTCTCGGAACTGGCGATACTTTTTCTGTGGTTGAACTCCGGGTCGCCATTTTCGGATTGGTTTCCACGTATCCAGTTTAGCCAGTCCAGGATCGGCGTGTGTAGACCCTCTGGCATCGGGCTGTCTGGTGTACTGGCGGCTAGGAAGCCGTTCTTTGTTGACACCGGAGTTTGGTTCATTGTCCTCCTGGCGATGACGTCTCTCCTTCCGTGCCAGAGCATAGAAGACATGGTGCTGCGAGATGCTCTAGACTGTGCACGAGACTGTGCATGTGAAGGAGTCTTCGATGTTCGCCAAGCAGACCAGACACTTCGGGCGGAGGAGCCGGAGCGAGATGACCGGGTTGGCCATCTGAAGATACGAATAGGGGAAGGTTCTGGAATTGGTGGTGGAACTGGGAATGAGAACCCATGGGATTGTGCGTATTGTTGAGCTTGAGCGTAAGTGAATGGCGTTCCCGAGTAGGGGTTGGTTCGTTCGGACACTGAGGATAGGCCTTGCAGTGTAAGTTGAGGTGGAGCTGCGGATGATCTTTCAGGTTTGGGATGCTCGACTGTCAGTTGGTCAATGCCGCTGACTGCGCGACTATCGGTCATGACTTCAGTCATCGGGACGACGCTTGTATCGATGGTATCTCGATATCGAGGTTCGGGGCCGTATTCGTTGGAGGGGCTTTCGGGAGGCAGAGCGGCGTGGTGATGTTTATTTGCCCTTCTTCTTCGACGGTAGCACCAGTAAAGCAGCAGGGAAATTCCCATCAAGACAACGATACCCACTGTGAATGAGGTTAGCATTTAGAGGAATGGAGTTATGGAGTTGACATTATCACTTACATACGACACCAGTCGCTACCAAAGGAGTCTGACTGGGAGTTCCACCACTGGATTGTGTATCGAGATTTGGTGAGATTGGTGTCTGACTCGCAGCCGGTCCTCCAGAGCTCGTTGCATCTGCACCGCTGAGACCAGAGACTTTTGTAGTCGGGGATATCGAAGAGGATGCTGCGACATGGGAGGACGCAGCAACAACGGGGTTTGTGGGAGCTGCTGCCGCTGCCGCTGCATTGGCAACGGATGTTGTTCCACCACCAGCCGCTGCAGCTGCAGCACTACTACTTGCTGAGGGACTAGGTACAGCGGCCGCTGGAGATGATTGTTGAGGTTGAGCTGCTGCTGCTGCTTTTGTTGTTGCTGGAACTTGGGCAGCTGGTGTTGTCACAGGCTGCTGCTGTTGTTGTTCTTGTTTTGTTGATGATGCAGGAGCCGCCGCCGCAGGCTGCTGTGTCGTTGCAGGTGCTGCTACTGCTGCTTGCGTTGTTGGCTGCGCGGCTGCTGCTTGTGTTGTTGCTGCCGCTGCTGGAGTCCCCTCTGCCTTCACACTTTCCTGCGTTGTCGCCGCCGGCGGTGACAGCACCTGACTGATTATGTTACCGGGAGCGTTGAGAAGATCCCCGATGAGGCCTCGACGATAGAGTTTGTGCGAGACCTCATGCCATCTCCCGTGGATGCCCTCACCGACCATTGTTCATTATATCCTGGCGCTGCCGTGTGATTGTCGTGTGTGTATCGAGACTGTTGTTGCTGTTGTTTTCTGTTCCAACACGTTTCCATGGAACGCCCGCTTGGAACACCGTCATGCAACAAAACAAGTGCAAACCGAAAAGACCGTCAACTGCGAGCGAAATAATCCCGACCGTGCGAACGAATGACTGGAGGTGAGAAGACACAAAGAATCAAAGATCAAAGTTCCCTCTCCCAAGCCCGCGGCATGGATTGCGAGAGAGAGGGTATTAGAGAGAGCCACCCCCTTCATCCAATGGAGCGATTCCAAGGTCAATGCGGATATTGGGATGCACTAGCTGTGATGAAGAGGTCCGAGCCTTGTCGTTCAGTTGCCCCCTCTAGGCTCAAATCGGGCGGTCCACTGTCATAGCTGCGGGCTCTTAACCCGTCATCCAGGAACTCAAGGGAGTATCGCCGGTTCTCTTCGCTGCGGCTGGCGGATAGACGGGCTCTGTTAGCGCCATCTGCTACGAGACATGGCGCCTCTAATGATACAGTTAGCGGTTACATCGGAAGCGTGGCGTTTGTTGTTGGTCTAGGAGAGGGCCGCTAAGCGACGCCATCGTCAAAGCGACTGTGGTGCCTAACCACCATGGATTCGACAAAAGGTCTCCAATTTGAAAAGGACTGTTGGATATCCGCTGCCTCAGTCGAAAGAGTCGAAAGGGGGAGATTGTGTCTTAAACTGGACAATAGGAAAAGGAACGGCTTGATCGAAAGATGGCACTGCCATACGCCGCTGAAGAAGACGCGATGTAGCCGATCTGGCAATGATCTTCCCCTTTTGTCAACAACTAAGCCTTATGCATAAGACAATAGACTGCATTTGACGGAACATGTATGCGAGGTTATCTGCAATTCATCCCGCACCACGCACCACTCGGAGGCCCCTGGCGCACGGATGCATCACCAGCTTCATCTGATCCGCGCTTGAACATCGTCTCTCCTTTCACCCCCGGAATGATCCACTTGGGCCCTGGCCTGTTTCCACTGTCAGAGTAAGACTTCGCGTACTTGTCGCGGTGACACAATTTCAACTACGACCTGACAGTGTCCTGACAAACTGTCATGGGCGGTAGGCGTGGCGCGCGGTGGCTATGGAGCTAGGATCGTATTCTGCCCCTAGAACTTGATGAGGGTTCTCCGTGGCGGATTATCATTCCTCATAATGCATGTATTGCCTTCGTATCTTTTGCGGCTTGATCTTCTCGGGCTCCGATAACCGAAGAACGGAGATCTGAAGAATGATAATTGATAAGATAGGCAAGCTTAGGGTACATCACTGAAATCAGTAAGACTGTATGCTCACCGGAGCACAGGCGCAGGTAGATCAAGTCAAAGATCTCTAAGCCTGAGGGATGATATTCATTGAGATATCCAGTCGGGAATGATTCCTGGCCAATGACGATGAGGGCTGACCGTGGATCGCTATCCGACAGTCTCGCCCGAGTCCGTCCTAGGGACTCTCGGACTTCCCTTCAGCAACTCTAAGCCTTCTGGAAAATCCCCGATCCTCCCGTCATCGTCCCAGAGTGCAGCCAGGACTTGGCGCTCCCCCTTCCAAGGCTTCCTCGAATGCATGACCGCGTAATTCTGGGGACGCCTTTCGTGTCAGCCACCACACACGATGTCACTCGCACGGGGATCTTCCAGAGGTAAAGTACTCACGTCCAGTAAAACCAAGTCTCCTTGCTCCCACTCAACATCTACGGCACCCTCTTCCGCGAGTTTCAGCAGCAAGTCCAAGTCCTCGACGTCAATCGGCGTGCCGTCACCGAATGTCGGCGGCGGATGATAGGACCCGTCATCGCCGCGGAACGGTGGCCTCGTCGCACCATGATGTCTACTCCGCCCCCAGGCGGAAGTGACATTCCCGAAGAATACCGTAGACTCAGTTGGGTTATGGATACGAATGGCTTCATTGTGGTGTCAGCTCTGGCCAAATTCCATGGCGAATGATGGGGATGAACACCAACCAGGGACGATATGTGTCACGCTAAGGCTCCCATCATCATGCCATTCAAAGCGGTCACTGTGACGGCGAACCTCAGCCTCGATCTTCCTCCGGGCCGTTTCTTCGTCGTCTCCGTCGGCGACCTCTTGTCCGTATGCGCCCCGAACGCTCGTTCCAGTGTTGGAAACAAGCGGGTTTACCGTATAGCGGTACACGTACTTGACGCCCTTGTTGAGAAGGTCCGAGAGAAACTTTGGTGATTGGCGTTGCAGCTCATGGGCAATGTAGATTGCTGATGTGATGGGAGTTGCGCCGCCTGTTTCTATTTAGCACGCACATCGTAAACTTGTTTCAACAATCAAGCCATTCATGGCGATATCACAAAGTTAAACTATGATCACTCACCAGACTCAGGGATCTGAAGGGCACTAAACGTAAGCCAAGCTGGGTTGATCGTCGACCAACCGTATCTGCCCTGATCAGCACACTATGATAACAAGGGTTCCACTATGCTTACTCGCTATGCGGCCAAATCGGGAGCTCGGGTGGCCTACGGACTATCAGCTCGTGCTATGTGGTCGGACTGTTGAGCATCGCGGAGCCTACCCCTCGTTTGCCGTTTTAACATTTGGTGCCAAGACAGTCCTCAAAGGAGGTCTTCCAACCTCAACATGAGGGCGACATCCAAATGCGTGTGCTACTTTGCTGTAGTCGTCCGGCGTTTTGATGGGCAATCCGCGGATCAACACTGCACCGCCATGCTGCCCGATCAGCTTAACCAAGTCACCTGACCGGGTGAATCTTTCAACGGCTTCGATGCTCTCGGTCAAAGTCAATGTTTTGGTTGGTCTGAGACCCAGAGGGAAAGACGAAGACCAGGGAAGGCCGAATTTGACGGTGTCTTGCTGACCGGGCACTTTGAATGCTTCAAAGAGGGGCAGACCTTTGTCAATGTCCCCCCAGTTTTCCAGTGCCGATGATGGTAAACCGCTCTGGGGCGCTGCTGCGGATTCAACATCTGCCATTTTTGTTTCGATTATTCTCGAAAGTTTGTGTTGGAAGTTGTGAAGGCTGTCTGATACTTGAAATGATGATTGGCGTTGCTTGAGGCATTACACGCGCTCTTGTTGCTCTTATTGTTCCAAGACATTCGCGATTACTGATGACTAAAATCACTGATAAGATCCTGCTAGGCTCTGAATCCTTCAGGTCTTGGGGTGCCTTGGCCTCGCTTGTGTGAATTGCGTGATCGCCCATCTTGATGGTGCATGCTACGCCAGGTAGACGCATTGTCGGGGAAAGCCCGACGTAAATGCAGCATAAGTAGCATCGGTATGTAAGGCAGGATATTGTTTTGCGATGGATAAAGGATCTTAAATGTGTTTTGGCAGGCTTCGACGAAAAGCGTAGTTCAGCCAGTTCTTTTACGTTTTTATTGTATTATTAATTTCGTCAATATGGTTCCAAAAGATTTATAACCTGCCAGTGACCTAATATACGAATAGATTTCACAAAAATTTCTCAAAGGCTGCTCAGCAGCTTTTATTGGCAGTTTTTACGCGCATAGGAAGCGGAAAAAAACATCCATGGAGCTTCGCAATTGCATGTCGGCATGTCGTGATCGTGAGAACATCCAACCAGCCGCGTACGTTATGTGGGGACGCTCTTTGACGACCTCTAACCACACTAATAATTGCCGACCTGATCAATGAAGGATAGCCTGCGGCTTCGGCAAGTCTCCGATATCATGCAATATTGGATTTCAAAATCCTTCCGCTATCATAGGTCATGGAATCGAAGGCTCAATCTTGTGCTTCTTAGCTTAAGTACGTCGCAGCTGCCAAAACTCCTCCAAGCGGAGAAATGTGCATAGTAACGTTGACGAATCAGTTACTGAGAATATGACTTCAGCCAGCAATTCCCACGGTCCGGGTACCTTTCCGGCTAATGCTGTGACTGGAGCAGCATCTTCACCAAAGTACCATTGGTATCGTGGAGTCTTCTTCCAGACCACTGTCGTCGGCATTGCCGCATTCACGGCCCCTGGACTATGGAATGCTATGAATTCTGTTGGTGCCGGCGGCCAACAATCGCCGTATTTAGTTATGTAAGTTGACATGCACCTCACAGCAGCATATGGATATCCAGATCTAACCCAGAAGCAGGGCTGGAAACGCTGTACTATTCTCTCTGATGACAATAACCTGTCTCACGGGAAGTATCATTGCGAACCGCTTCGGGTTGAAGGCAACCTTTGCTTTCGGAACTATGGGCTATGCGGTGTACTCCGCTGCTCTTTACACCAACAACCGTTATGGGACTGAGTGGTTTATCTACGTTGGTTCCGCTGCTTGTGGTATCACAGCTGGCTTATTTTGGGCGGCGGAAGGCGCTATCATGCTCAGCTATCCGGAGCCAGAAAACCGAGGCAAATATCTTGCGTACTGGTTATGGTAGGTAACATCGCAAGTTGCTGACGTCGCGGGATTCATCAGAAATGCTAAATCTTACGTAGCTACAGGAACAGTGGCAGCATCCTAGGCGGTGTTATTAACCTCGCCTTCAACTACGAAGGCAAGAGAACAGGGAAGCTGGATTGGCGAACGTATATCGTGTTTGTGGTCTTGCGTAAGTACTGGCCCGAGCTTTGGCCCCCATTGACGTGATTCCGCAACCCAACTCTATCCCTTCTTGTGATTTAAACTCCGCCGGGTACAATATGAGACGGGGCTGACTCAACCTTGGTCTAGAATGTCTCGGGCCCCTTGTTGCCCTGCTCCTCTCCCCACCCGATAAAGTCGTCCGACGGAACGGCACCCGGGTCCAGATCGTTGAGCGTATTTCTGACTCGGCTGAACTCAAAGAGCTGGGACGTCTCATGCTACGAAAGGAGTTCCTCCTGGTGTAAGTCTGACAGCCTCGATGCTTATGCCAGGGACGCTTCTCAGTGAAACTAATACTTCTTTGTGTGACAGCACGCCATTCTTCATCTACGTCAACTGGTTGCTACCTTACAGCAGCTCCTACCTGTCACTCTACTTCACCATCCGCGCGCGAGCGCTGGCATCCCTCGTATCTGCGCTTGCCCAGATCGCCGGTACCGCTGCGCTGGGAAGCTTCTTGGACTGGAAGCGTCTCTCGCTGACCACGCGCGCACGGGTTTCGTATGCGTTTCTGATGGCGCTTATCGGTGTTTGCTGGATTTGGGGCACTGTTGTCCAGGCCGATTACGCCAGGCACAAGCCCTCCCTTGACTGGGATGATGCAGGTTTCGGTCGGGGATGGGCGCTGTACATCATGTGGCAGGTCAACTTTGCACTGACTTACAACTTCGGATACTGGCTGGTCGGATGGATGTCGCGTCATCCTAGCGACATCGTCAGATACACGAGCGCTGCAAGAGCTCTCGAAAGCGCAGGCCAGTGCATCAGCTCCGGCATCAGCTCGACGAGTGCGCCTGTGAGTGCCTTTGACTTGCCTTTTGAACTCGTGAGAACTGACATTATCCGCAGCTGACAGCAGCTTTGGGTGTCAACTTTGCTCTCTGGGCTATTGCTGTTGTGCCAGCCTATCTCGTTGTTCGACAAGTTGGGGTTCGACACGTTGGCGCGCATTCGACACAGGAGAGGCCATCAGAAGCAGTTGGTTCACATAAAGGGCAGCAGGATCATGATGGTAGCGACGAAATTTAGTAATTCATCTAACTCAATAAAACCTCGCGGTCCATCTTTTAAACACTTTCTCTTTATTCAGAAGCGAATATCTGGGCCATCGTAAAGTCAACTCCACAATGCCCCCAATTTTAATAAAGAGAAATATCTCTCATTCCAAAGTCCATCTCTTTTTCGTTATTTAAGGAGACAGGGAGATGCAGCCGGTGGAGCTGTCCTCCTGGAAGATGCCGCCGTAGATGATGCCCTCGTTGATGTTGGCGGGCTGGTCACCGCTCTTGGTGATGTCGCTGCCACCGTTGACGGGCTTCTTAAGCATACCGAAGTGGAACTGACCTTGGCCAGCAATGTTGTTGGTGACAGCAGTGCCCTGAGACTTCAGAGCGGAGTTGCCCTGGGAGTAGAAGACCTCAGTGGTGTTCTTGGTGAAGTCGAGCTTGACGGCGAAGTTATGGAAGACACCCTCGGTGAACTTGGTCTTGAAGAGCTCGGGGACGGGGCTGGAGTTGACGTTGCCGAAGAGCTGGAGGGTGTCGGGGTCGGCGGTGTTCTGGCCGAGGATGGTACCGGTCTTAAGGACGACCTGGTTGGTGCTGAAGTCGGCGCTCTCGAGGAAGACAAGCTGGTACTCGTGGGACAGGTTCAGGGGGCGCTGGGCATCCTTCATCAAGCTGAAGTGGAGGGTCTTGACGCCCTGGGTGGAGGCATCCTTTCCGTCGTTGCTGAGGGGCAGCATCTCAGCGCGGCGGAAGCCGACCTGAACGTTGGTCTCGCTGGGAGCGAAGATGGACTTGTCGTTGATGGTAACCTCGAACGGCTTGGTGGAGTTGACGTCGAACTGGAAGAGCATCGGTGTTAGTCTCGCGCATGTTCGGAGTACGGGCCGGGGAGAGGCCAGGCTCGGCTCGGGGTGGGTCACTTACCAGGGAAGAGGCACCCTGGGGGAGCTGGATGAGCTCGCTGAACTTCAGGCCCTTGCCGAAGACGTTGGCAGTGTTGAAGGGGCTGGTCTTTCCATCGAAGTCGGCGGCGGTGAAAGCCTTGGGGATGCGGCCATCGAATTGGAGAGTGCACTGGGCCTTGGAACCGGGGGCGGTGGCGCCAGTGTTGTTCTTGGTGGCGCAGTCGGCCGCGACCGAGGCGATGAGCGAGAGAATGAGAGTAGAAACGAACATTTTGTTGATCCTAGACCGGCTACGAGCGGATTTGTTAAAAAGAGTGTGGTTGGTTGGAAAATAGGCGTCAGATGAGACGAACAAAAAAGAATGAAAGAAACGTAAAAGATGATCTACAGAGGCTTTAGTCCAGGCACGAACGGATCAGACGAGGGCGGTCATTGACATTTTGTACTGGCATCGTCTGATCTGATCTGAGCCTTGTCTAGCGAACATGGAACCGCTGCAACTCCATCTCACCCCAGTCTCCAATTCCGCGGGGTCCTCGCCCAGCGCGCGACCGTCCGCTGAGCCCCTTACTCTCCAGAAGCTTTCTGCTGCCGTCTGGGATTGAATGGGGTTCGCCGGATTTTCGTGTCATGCACCCTTGGCATCTGTAACTCGGCGCGCCTCGTCACCGCTGAACCGTGCTGTTGGGTACCGGCGAAGTTGGCTGTTCTCCTGATGAGAGGCAGGGTTACACCCTGGCAAAATCCAAAGAAACTTTCCGCTGATTCAGTTTCGGAACCAGTGTTCCATTCGGGGGCAGCACGCACGGAGCCGCATGCGGCCGGGTCTCATTATCAACACTGCCGCAAAGACAAAGTCGTGAGTCGTGGCAGATTATCTCATCCGTAGAAAGTCGAATTCTTACTCCGGAGTGCCCGGCAACAACTGGAGTCTGCTTCCCTGCACCACGTGGAAGACTGGTGAGAGATTCAATATCGAGCGGCCCCTGATATTAAGGGGAGATGATACCAAGACCTACCTTCGAGCCCAGATTCGCTCAGAGATCCATGGAAAAGCATCATCGCTGCTCCATAGATCACTGCTTGCGCAATCTGGTGATGGCTTCACAATAAAGTTGATGAACGCGAGTTCCGTGTGGTGGAAAGTTGCCATCCAGGGGTGTTGACAATTTGGAACTCATGGCGATGTTTCCGTCGGAACCCCTTGATGACGGGCGTTGCCGAAACCTCACTCTCGGTTTCGGTTGACAACTCCGAGACAGAAGAAGTCCTAACTTGGCTGATGGGCTTGACACGTAGATCATGGCACGGAGCAGTTTATTGAGTTCGGATTGTCTACCTGCTTTGAAAGAGAAAAGAGGAATGCAGTGGTGGAAACATTACCTCGCCGGGTTCCCTCCCTTGCTTTTCTTTTCCAGGAAAAAGGAAAATGGCCGATTAAAGTCGGCGCATGCCGACCGAGTGGGCGGCCGGCTGGTTTGCGTGTCTAGTGTTTCCAATAACTGCCCCCAAATATCGCATTCTGAACTCTATTCCCGCCAAGCCGGTTTGAGACGCCCTAATGCAGGACGCGATATCACCTTTCTGGCGAGACGTCAACCCAAAAGGGTTCTAGAACGGAGGCACTAGCCCGTAGGGCGCTGCGAGAGCTCGGGAATCGGGTTGCCAAATCCATTTCGATGGGAAACAGATAAAGATATCCTCAGCCCGCAACCCAGGTTTGGAATGCGGCGCAATTTGAGACCTCGCACTTCACATGAGACGACCTTGCAAGCTGCGGTTGATGAAGTGGACTTGGCAGGGAGCAAAAATCCGCTTAGTCAACTGATCCATGTCCATTGCCTCCGCCGTCCAGTATTCTACCGGCGGGATAACTCATCTAGAAATCGAACTGCTCAAAGAGAGTTTTCGGACTTGAGCCGATCCAATGTGTTGCGTAATCTTCAATGAAACTTACATCTCCGCGACTCCTCCAGGTCTTGGCAAAGACACACGGTCGGGAAAGCTGCCTACTTGAGAATATTGACCATATTACGAGCTACTCGCATTGGCGGCAAGTCCTCGAGACCATTCATCCTGTCGTCCTGAAGAAAGCGTTTTTGTGTACTTACATCCCTCGCCGACATCCCTCGCCGAAAACATTTCCGATCAGTTCGGGCGGACAAATTTGCGATTTGTCCGTGTTCCCACTTTCCGTTTCTTCATGTCCCGGCTCAATGTTGGGGGATTGCGGTTGATTGTGGGGACGTATGGGTTCGCTCCCCTGCAATTTACCGCGAAATATGATCGTCGGAACTGTCAATTCGAGAAATGTTTCGATGGTTGATTCGCCCTTGTAAGAATTTTCTCTTTCTAGAACACTAAAAAACTGGGTAACAAAACCAAAAAGTTGCCGCCACTGTGAGGAAAAAGGCCCAAATGGTGCGTCGGAAGTCTGAAAAGCCAACTTTTTGACGACAAAACCACTTCAGCTCATTATCTGAACAGCAAAAGCCAACTGCACTTTATTGAGCGCGGCCTGGTGATTTTCAGGATATGATCTAGTTTCTGCTCCAACATTGACGTGTGGCAGTCCTCGACGGTCTGAGACCGACGCATGATGAGATCCCCGAACCAACGTTCTCCGGGGCCACTTCTTCGCCATCGACGAATCTCAGGAGATCAGCATTCAGGGCGACGCACTCACCGGATGCCGATGCGGTCCCTCGTAAACCCATGAGCCACGGACGCGGTGCTTCCGTCATTGCGTCTCCCAGAACAAATATGATACTAGCAGTTTTGGTGCGCGGTATGTGTGGAATAGCTAATTGCCTATAATGGCATCTGCTAGGACCACTGATCAACTGTCTGGACGTCGCCCGCATATCCCTCATACTCTGAGCATACGATGGCAAGAAAGGCTGTTTTGAAAGATATGAACACTGCTGCGAAGAACATCTATCTGGCAGTCGATTCTCGGAGAATGAGGAACCTAGCCTTTCAGAACAGCACTTCGAAAGCGGTTTGTCATATCCAGCCGTGAATTACCGGCACATCTCGAAGTCATACCTATACATAGGGATCAAGGTGAAGTGGGCGTAGCGCAAGTCTCGTTGGAGTCGTGTGACATCCAAGACCAGCCACTCAACCGCCATCGTGAGCATTTCATCATACTTGAGCCATCTGATAGTAGCTAGACAGACAACTTTCACAAAACATCCTATGACTAACTGCGGTAGCATATCATCAATCTACCTATACTGAGAGATTACGCCGCCTATCCACATCCTTCAATGCAACATCAACTATATTCCGTGTCTACAAGGTTAAAAGATGAGTTGGTGTATTTCACAAAATAATTTCAGAGATCTAGAAACATCGTTCGCATCCGTCAAAGTCCCGGGATCGATTCTCTTAGTTGACCATTCGAATCTTCGATCAGCATGTCGGCTTGCTGCTTTCTGCCATGCTTCAATCACTGTCTCTGACAGGTTCTCAAGCGGCCAAGTAACAGCCACCGTGAGTTTGACTTGGCTTTTCTCAACCTCGTAGCTGAAGAAGAAACCATCGACTTGATCGCGACGCCATACTTCCATAATACTAAGACACGGCATATATGTGGCAGCTTGACTCGCGGCTGTAAGTATGCGATTGAGCTCTGTTCGTTCGGCAGTACAAGTAAGAGCGAGACGCTCCAGCAACACTGTCTCTGGGCTCGATGAGACCGTAGAGTTGAAGTGTTGAAAGAAGTCTCCTGCCTCGAAAGCTTGCGAAATGTACATTTCTTTGAGGGAAAAGCTGGCTGAGACTGCAGCCTTGCTCAGAATCGTGGACGTTGATTCTTCATCGGTGATGAATGGACGGTAACGAGGTACCCATAATGAAACCCTCCGGATCGAACTTCGCGTGAAATCTCTGCTTAGAATGTTTCTCGGACTGTGTGCCGGGTTTGCACTTCTTCAAGTCTTTCGATCGGATATGGTCGCTCGCAATCGACTTGCTGAAGACCGGGCAAACTGTCCAAGATGTCGCCCAATGCCCACCCTAAGACCTCAGCAGAAAAGGATCGTCCGATCCTAAGTGAAGTTACAACAGAAACACTCTTTAAGGGCAGACCAGCTTCAGGATCCAATCTGCTCCTAACATCGACTGTTGGGCCCCTTGGACAACGGCAGCGAATGTCTGGAAAGCCAGAACCAAGAAAGGTCGCGCCGATTTCAAGCGCAATGCCTCTTGTCGTATTCATGACGCTCCATTTCGCAAGCATGGAAAAAAGGCTACCCAGACCCGCTGAAACTCTTCTCTGGCACTCCCCGAACATGACGTCTTCGAAAGTGGGATTTTCGCATTGGGAGCAATTTCCGTTGCCCAAATCGATGAGAACTGCAACCTTTTTGACCAAGGCTCTACGATAAATCGGGCCATCAATGAGCTTCTGAAGGCCTTCAAAGACTGAGCCCGAAACTGAAGCCCGCAGCGTCAATGTCCGCCGCAGTAATGGTTCGAAAAAGTCCTGCCATTCTTTGGAAACACAGGCCAGATTTGCTAGGGGATGGTTTGCCTGACGGAAAACGAGGCCCTTCAAGATTTTCAGTATCATAAGTCGTAGCTCTTGTGGAAGGCCTGCCCATGGAAAATTGGAACCTGCGACTTCGATTTTAGAACGTATTTCCATGATGATCGATGAGAGAACGTTATGAAAGGGATAGTGGAAGCTTAGGAGGATGTTGGTGAGATTCGATTCTACGTGAATTAGTTGTAGTTCTGAAGTCGCTAGGGGCCTGTGGGTGGTTCACCCTTTTCTTCTGTTCTCGTGCCCCATCAAGGGACATTAGGGCTCAAAGGCACTCTCAAGGTTCTTCTGACTTATGAAGCCTTGTGGACCTTTGTCTTCTGCGTACGAATATGGCAGAGAGAATCACTTGTGTTAGTTAGGTTTGAATATTATTGGCGGCACGTTTTGGGGTTGTTGGCGCGACTGAATCTTTACGAAGAGGGTTGTTTTCTAAGTTGAGAGCTTCAGCTGTCCTTTGATCCCCCCTTAACCCCCCCTCCTTTCAAATATTCATTTTTAATACCGGCCTTTACCGCCTGTAGTGACCAGTTTTAGTCTGACAGACTCTGGCAGCCGCGCTTAAGAGCTTCAGCTATCCGTGTGGATAGTAAGATAAAAGGGATATCTACGACAGATGACGATGAAAACGGCCGGCAAAGAGGACGACGACAGGAACGACGACAGGGACGATGCCAATTACAAAAACAACAACAACGATATGCCCAGAAAGAGTGAGAAGGGTGATGATGACGTGGCTTGGTGCTCCACCTTATGAAAGTGTCTGCCCGAATAGAAAAACTCTCCAATGACTTCTTCCACCATGTGATCCTCAAACCTTTCTCACTCATCACACGCCAAGCGAGCCACAATTTTCAATGTTCATTTCAATCTTCAACGTTCATTTTCTACACGTATTGGTCGATGCTGAAGCGATCTCTGCCACAGGAACTGGGCCACTAAGGCTGCTGTTGCCGCTGTTGCAACACTACCCGCAATCGCGCCCTCCATTCTTACCCGCGCTTCCCTCACTTCTGCTGCTTTTCTTGCCCGTACCGAACTATTTAAACTATCGCCAAACTTTCTTTGAGAGCATAGATGTGCACGGATTCTTGCTTTAGCACTTCTATCCCTTACTGATTAGAAGTCTCACTTTATCTACATTGGCGCTACGCGCCAGTGACCTTGATGCTCAAAAGACCAGTTGTATTTCAACGCCCATATGTGTGACAGGGGAGATCGAACATCACCATGCAAAGGACTCCTCAATCAAGTCGACGGTGAAGCCATCTTTCACTCCGTTCACGACATGTTTTGTGACCTCGTCTGCCATCCTACCAGGACCGCACACCAAGACAGCGGTCCGGCACTCTTTCTCCAGGCAAGACTTTACCAGAGTCTCAACATGCATTCTACCAAGAATGACTCCCGTCGTAGTCATATCCACCTCATATCTGCCATCCTTCTTGAATGGTAGCTTCGAGACAGTTGCATCCGTACACCAGAATGAGCTTTCTATGCCGGCCGCCCCGTCAAGATACTTCTGTCTTACGTATTCAATGAGTGATATCTCCCGTGCAGACCATGCCAATATGAACCGTTTTGTTCTGTTCATTATACCAGCGCCTCTCTGGGATATTTCATCGGCATTGTGCAATGCAGTGGCGTATTCTTGGATGTACCCAAGGACGCCAGTTATCCCAATTCCACCAACGATGCAGAGTACTGTGTCAGCGTTGAGCAGAGGTAGGTGCTTTGCTCGGTGGCCTGCGTATGGCCCCTCGGTGTATACCGTGATATCCATGGTAGGATTGCTGGAGGACGCAAGGCGTTGCTGAAGTCGCGCGGTGATTCCGTTGTGGGGGTGAATCAAGAACGAAACGGACATTGGACCCTGGTCCACAACCCCATTAGAAAGCACCACAACATCGGAGTTGTTCTTGGTCTCTGTCTTATTTGCGTCTGTAGGCGGGACCCCAGCAATGACTTTGAACGAAGGGCTGGTCCTGGTCTTCCAGCCCGAGACGCTGAAAGGATGACTTTGCCAGAACATTCCCAACCCTGGAAAGTAGAGGAAAGTGTGCTGACCAGGGCCAAACCCTCTCATACTCCGAGGGTACACTGTCAGCTGCATGAACTTCGATTCCGGAATTGCCTCAAGTGTTGCCTGTGAGCCGCCAATATGATTGAACATAGCAATGCGAAGTAATCTCGCTGTCCGGTCGAAGGCCCAGAATGCGAAGCAGATGTAAAGCCAGGTTTGGTAGCCGAAAGCCAGGGTGAAATGGGGCACTATATGGTACCAACATGCAGCCAACGCGGCAGCTACGAGGACATTGTGGAGAGCTAGGAAAGTCTCGTAGAAGTTGATCCGCATCGGAAGAATAGCAACCCCCATGGCCAGGCTGAAGCATATGGTGGCGATAATTCCCCAGTACTGCCGATAATGTTAGACAATGTGGCCAAACACTTAAAGAAACGACAGCTTACGTAAAAAGGTTCCGCAACTTTGGCAACATACGCTGAGAACCCGTCATAGCCAGGTTGCCAATATGCCAGTGTATACACAACCGAGTGCGCGATAGCTTGCACGGTAGCGATCCGTGCAACCCATCTATGAAGTGTTATGAAAGTCGTGAGGCTCCATCCTGTCAGAGCGATCAAGACGTTGTTGCGGCCAGCGAATAAGATAGCGAGCCCCGCGTTGACCAGGCTCAGAATTCCAGTGCGATTACCTACATACTCGCAAAGCTCAAAACCCTTGGACTTGAAGTTGATGTTCGGCTGAAAGCTGCCAAACCCGATGGCAGAGAAGACAACGTTCAGAGTGATGTAGATGGCAATGAAGATGCTGATAGTTCGGCGAGGAACATAGCCTACCTGGCCAGGCAAAGGTTCTAATCGTCGAGATCCTACTAAACCTGGCAGGAAGATGTACTCTCGCAGCTTTGGCCAGAATCTGGATGCTTGAAGCCGTCTGTGAATTGAAGGGAAAGCAGCCGCGAGTTGCGTCAAGACTCCACAAGCGAGACATCCTCCAATAACCACGAGGTACAAAGTGAGGCTGGGTAAGGTCAGTATGATTTCAATGGAAAGCACGAGGGAAAATGTTGTGCTACGTACGCGTATGTTGAGTGGAGATACTCGGACCTACGGAACTCGCCTTCGCTGCCGTAAGTCGAAGAGTACACCTCGCTGTTCACCAAGCTTGTGATGTTGAGCCAGGTGGCATTGGCCGCAAGCTCGATGGTGGGTGCTATGAAGGGCATGCTTTGCTCGAATGTCGGCGATCGTGCTCCGCCGACCGCTTGATTACTGAAGCATTCAGCCTGCTTATCGGCGGGGTAGCCATCGGCGGTGCAATGCTGCTGAATGCAGAATGCCATTGTCTGAAGCCAGGGAGTGTTCGAGGCATAACACTCTGGCGATGTCATAGCCATCGGCATGCTCATTCCAGGCATGTTCGACATACCAGACATGCCCGGCATGCTGCTAGCTGTCGCATTGCTGAAAGTGGTGCAGGTCAACCATAACGAAGAGAGTGAGTCGTGGCACGCCTGGCAGCATAGATCTTGATAGAGCGAAATACCGAAGCCAATGACACCGCTTCCGACCTGAGCAGATACACCGAGAGCCAGAACCAAAAGAGCGACGACGACTGAAGTTGCCATGGCGGGCATGTCGACTCACAGACTCGTCGAAAGTCGCGCTGAAGAAGAGATGAGGGCAGATGGGTGAACAGGAACGAGCATCCGAACTGTATGATCAGTGGCCTGAGCCCGAGCTTTGGCATACGTGACGGTACCTACGTGCCTGGACGGAGAAAGCTGCCTGACTGGCTGTATCGGGTGCCGGTTCAGGCCTCGGTGGCAGGGCTCTGATTCGAGAAAGCTTGCCCAGATCAATGATGACAAAGGTGTGGTCTCCTTCAAAAACTTGGCAACAAGGAGGAGAAGGTTCAAGAGGCTAACTTTAAGATTAGACCACAAGCACTTAGTCAATCACGTATAAAACAACGGGGAGCGCAACATCCCTAACTCAATCGTATCCCCGTCTCAATACGCCCTACGGCGTCGCGTCTTGTGTTTTAGGAGTCTAAACTCGCCGTGTGAACTCGAGCTGGCTATTCATGGCCTTCTTCCTCGACACGGCTTTCCGAGTTCCTCGTTAATGGCGTTTGCGGTTACTGAAACCCAATACCCCGCCAACAGCAGCGTGTCGCTCTGGGAACCTTACCCGGGAGCCCGCTTGGTACCTTGAAACCCCCCCGGACTGGAGTCTTACTGCCCGAGGCCACTTTAGGAAAGCAATCGTCTGTGATCGCCCGCTTGTGCTGAGTCGAGGCGTAGGACTCACACGTGGGCCTCGCGGGGAAGCGGCGGGAGGTATGCAGTCATGCAAGCCACCCAACATCAGATCGCCATTAGTCTCTAGATTGTTTACTTCCATATTTCCTGAGGTGGTATCTTCAGGAAGCCTTCATTATGGACGTCGAGAATTGGCTTTTCGTCATTACCACCCAGCTGGGTTCATGCCGATCACTCACTAAGCAGGACTCGGGTTCTGTAAATCCACCGCCAAGTGCTAGGGTGTGCACGTCCAAAGGATATGGTGGGACGCCCACAGCTTTGGCAACTCTTGACCATGAAGAGGGGAATCGAGCCACCAACGGCCGTGCGGCTGAAACAGAAAGCCAATTATCCGGGCTATCCTCGCCACTCCGTCCCGTCTGGGCGGCAAATTGACTTAACCTATGTAACACTGTATAGGGTTGCCTGCCTTGAGCAGGTAGCATACCAAACCCAAGTCCAGGGCTGGGGTGTCTTTCAGAACTACATGCATCAATGTCTAAAGATCTCACGGACATGAGTCTTGCACAGCGGTATATCAAAGTTGTTGGTTTTCTTATGAAGAGACGCATGTCATACCACCTTTGCTGATCTTTCCTTCCGGTTCTTGGCATTATCTCTGTCATTCTTGCTGTCCGCGTATTCTTTCCCTCACTCATTTTCGTCCCCTCCCACCGTCATTAGTGTCAAGAGATACTCTGAAATATGGCATCCCGGATTTCTATCGTAGGCGCTGGGCCAGCTGGTTTTGCCCTTGCTGCCGATCTCCAGAATAATGGAAAGAGTACACTGTTGTACTCTCACGAGACTCATTTGCGGCATGCCAATGATGTGATGAGCAAAGGCCGGCTTATGCTCAGCGGCATGATGGAGGGCTTTTCGCACCTGCGCTTGACGACCGACATGAGCCAAGCTGTAGCATTCTCCAAGATTCTCATTCTCACTGTCCCCTCGACTGGGCAGCAGACAATCTTGGAGGAACTGAAACAGTACGATCTTAGACGCCATATAATCATCGCCATTCCCGGAAATTTGGTGTCTTTGTTGATGGATGCTGAGATCGAGGTGGCCAACATACTAGAGACCAACCTGTCGCCGTACTCATGCAGGATGGATGACAACAACCTTCTCGTCTTCGGGAGAAAGAAAGTTGTTTTCATTACAGCCTTGCGAGCCGATATGCGGCCCGGGTTCTACGAAGACATCCAAAGCATCTTCCCAATGAAGCTGAAGTGGTGCAGTAGCGTCATTGAAGTCAGCCTCTCCAATGTCAACGGGGTCTTCCACCCGGCGATGATGCTGATGAACGCCGGACGCATTGAAAGTACTGCTGGAGACTTCATGTTGTATCGAGACGGTCTTACGCGATCCGTGGCCAACACAATGCAAGCGATTGACCAAGTACGAATGGAGATAGGCAGGAAGTTCGGACTTCGCCTCGGAACTGCCGTCGACATATCCAACGAATGCTACGACCAAAGCTTCACCGATCTGGTTGACCTGGCGCAAAGTTCACCACCACATAATAGGCTGAAGGCCCCAAGCGACATCGATAATAGAAATATCACCGAAGACGTCCCAGATCTACTTGTGTCCTGGCATGGCTTGGCTGAAAAGCTGGGCATAGATGCATCACCTATTGCAGCCATCATTGTTCTCGCCGAGATGGCTATGGGTGCGGAGTATCGGAAAACGGGAAGGAATCTGCGGAAGCTGCATTTGGATGGAGTCGGGCGGAGCGAGCTTGTTGCCATGTTCAGCCCTTTTGAAGCAACACAAAACGAAGCGAGATTGTGAGAAAGAGTCTGCGACCCTTATCCATAGCTCAGCGCGCATTTTATCATGACTATGCATATTTCATACTTCTATGGTCGTATATATGCCATTTGTATTCGTAAATAAAAGAAATACATCACTTTTGTTCAGCTCAGTTCAGTCATTCTATGCATGTCAGTATTGATGTTTTTTGCAGGCCAACAGATTTTCTGCATTTAATCCTCTATGCTATATGTCCCTTCTCCGTCTGATCACGTTCTTATTGCTGCTGAAACTATGCTACAAATTCACTTTGTTGATTGGCAAGCTGCGAATCTTGGCACCATGTACTGCCAAGATCCAGGGGATCGGGGCCAAGGCCAATGCAAGGAATGCCAGAAGACTATTTCCCCAACCCCATCCCAGCCTGTGATACATGCTCAGTCCGCTAAGCGGTAAGAATGCCCCAGAGAGGCATCGCAGTACCGCGTTGGCTCCGACAGCACTGGCCGCGTATCGCTCAAACGTATCAATGAGATACGTCTGGATACCAGTGAAGATCAAGATTGACCCGAAGCCGGTGATGGCTGTGCCTATCTGGGGGACAATCCAATGGACACGATATTCGACGCACCAGCCATAAATGAATAGGCCAGCGGGAAATGTCAGTCCCCCAGGAACCGTGATTATGAAGGAAAGTCGATGCTCGGGCGTTGGAGTCTTCCCTTCAGCGACGCGCTTTCTAATTGTTCTGTCGCTGAGTGTACCGATGTAATAAGCCCCTAATAGTGTGCCGATTCCTCCAGGAAGGAATACAAGGCCATCAGCTACCGTTGAGAAGTTATAGACCTCGGTGAAAACAAAGGAATACGTCGCATAGAGCAGGTAAAGCGTCCCGTAGAGGGTTGCGACGTAGGTGCATATGACCGTGATCATCGGACAAGTAAGGAGCAGCTTTGGCGGCCGAACAATGCTTCGACGGAACAGCTCGCTCGGAGTATAGTCTGGCGCGAGAGACGAACGGAAGTTAGCATTTCCCGTCTCCTTACGCAGTCTGGCAGCCTTCCTCTCTAGTAAGACGGGTGGATATGTTTCCTTCAATATGAGAAACATGAATATGCTGACAACGGCAATCTGCCTTCATGGTTAGCTGCGTCCATTAAAAGGCGTCATCGATCACTTACAACGATGGAGATTGCCCAGAACATCCATCTCCAGCCGGCGACCTCCGTGATATAGCCTCCAATGATGGGTCCTGTTGTTGGTCCGAGGATGGTGCCGACAGACCAAATTGATGCAGCTTTCCCCCTCTTCTCTTTCGGCATCAAGTCAGCAATGCTGCCCGAGCCAATCGTTATTGTAGCCACGCCTGCGAATCCAGATAAGAATCGAAAAAACAATAGCATGCTCTCGTTTTTCGAAAAGCCTGACATCATCGTAGCCAGCATGAAAACTACGTTTGACACGTTGTAGATCAACATCCGGCCGTAGAGCTCACTTAACGGAGACAAGAAAAGTGTTCCACATGCAAAGCCTAATACGAAGATTGATACCACAAAGGTAGCGAACGTGTCAGAGTTGGTTTTGAACTCTGCCATTATGAGGGGAACAGCCGGCGCGAGCATTGCGGACACAAGCGGCCTTTTCATGTTAACGTGTGTCTAAAAAGCGACAGTATTTGAGAAAATGTCACTCACACCAAGAAGCTGATGACCGAGATCGTTAGGATATGAGTCCATTTCACCAGAGATGACCAGGTCATTGGATTTTCGGGATCCTCATCTTCTGGTTCGCTCCAATGCACGGCAAAGTGAGTACTTGACTCATCCTCTTCGGCTTTGACAGAGATATCAGGCTTAGACTGCATGTATGTTTGGCTCATTGCCGGATGGTCGTGATTTACTAGGTGTGGTGAACTAGAAGTTAGCTAGGGCATTTAGCTGGAGCTGTTGGTTATAGTGAGCCACCCGATACTTCAAAAAGTTGAGTTGCGGAAGTGCCAAGCACTAGATTCCGTGAGAGCTGTGGTCTGCAGGTACAGGATCGAACACATCGCTTGGCTCGTTGCCAACGGCGTGGAGGTTCAGGGAAGACCCCTTTCGCAACCGGGCGGAACTCTCGGAAAATGCCGTAATGCCCGAGACCGAATCCTTCTACCATCTGGAACCAGGATGGGTTTGTTCCATGCGTCTGCGGCCGTCTCTTAAGGCGTTGACTTCGTCCTATCTAGTCGAGTTTTCCATTAGCCGACAAATGAGGAAAGATGATCCGCGTGGAGATCTTGACGCAGGAACCTTATTCTAGAAACGCGATGCGACCTGCATACACATCGGACTTTTTAACCTTGTCTCAAACTAAATTTGGTGTGTGGCACGGGTAGAGTGAGCGCCAATGATATGCATGAGTAGCGATACGATGGGAGGTGACGTTTTCTAAAGTTTGTCCAAACAATTCTATCCCCCGGGAGATCAATTTCCGTCGGTCTCGTGTTCCCCAGCCGTCAGATCAATGAATCAAGACAAGATCGTCATACGGGTGGTCATACACAAGCCGCCGCCAAACGCGGCTAAGGCTGTGGACATGTTTACGTGAGAACGGCAACTGAATAGGCTATAGCACGAAGAGACAATCATTGAATTATAGCATTGTCGTCTATCACCGTACACAACTGGGATCTCATGGAGACGTGAACTCATGTTAGCCTTCTATCCTCTAGTGGCTACTGTAACCAACAGCTGCATGTCCATGTGAATACCGTCTTTCGTCGTGAGCTTCTCCCATTCCTGCTTCATCTCTTCCCGCACCTTGGAACGTAACTCGACCGGAACGCCACCATAGGTCTTTCCTGAGGAACTTGAGTCTAACCAATTGATCATGGCTTCGCCGTCTTTCGCTGTCTTAACAATCTTGTTTATGACAAAAGTCGTCTCCTTAAATCCCGCACCAGCTAGGAGCTGGTCCAAGTCTTTCTGTTTGATAAATTTTGGCCCGCTGATGACTGGGTAGTTTCGGTATGGCTCTCTACCAAGGACTTCCTCTTTGATCTTTTCGTGTACTGCCTTGTGATCCCCGGAGCCGCCAGACATCCCAAGTCGGCCGCCGGGTCTCAGCACCCTAGCAAATTCCGCAATTGCCGCAGGCTGGTCCTGTACCCAGTGGAACGTGGAGTTGACGAAAATGATGTCGTAAGTAGCCGTCTTGAATTGCGACAGATCCTCGGCTGTTCCCACGTGGAACGACAAGTTGGGCCTTGCTACTTCGCGGGCAAGGGCAAGGCGCTCTTTGCTGGGATCAACACCGTCAACGTGACCCTCCGAGCCGACTATGTCTGCGATGTGAGCTGTGAGGTTGCCTGGTCCGCAGCCAACATCTAGAACACGCATGCCCGGGCCTACTTTCAGTCTGTCAAGAAGGAACAGGCCTGTGTTGAACTGAGTGTCGTTCACGAGGGTGTAACCTCTCGCCAGTTCGTCTGTATCCGTAGCAGCCATTCTGTCGGGTGGTGTCGTAGATCCGGGCAGCCTGCCTTCGGAAGTCGATCACACACTGACGTCTCATTCCAAATGACTGATGGCTTTATACGCGGTTCAGTCGTCAAAGCGCTAACCACTTTCGAGATTCACAAGCCGTGCGTCTCGGCCAATGCGACGGCTTCGTACGTCAACAGTGTAGTCCGCTGCCAAAAAAGCGCTGGGGCGGCCCGAGGTCCAAGTTGACTTTGTGGGGTTTGAGCTGCGGCCCGGGAATCCCGGACAAGGCAATCAGGGAGTCAAAATGTTTACTCGTCTGAAGCTCCCTCATTCATGCCGTTAAACGTTTCGCATTTGTTTGATTGAAGAGTTAGGCATCCCGTCGCTAGTGTCAACCGGACAAAACCGCACGCTTTTGGAGACTCGGGTAATTGAATCCAGAGGGAATGCAGTTGCTGAATCGTAATTGTTTCATGAAGGCTGGCATATATTCCGAACATCCATAGTCATTGTATACGGTATGGGCAGGTTGAGTTGTCCTCTAGAACCATGTATGAGAGTCAAGGCTCCATTTCAGATGCGCTACATGTAACATCGTCACCTGTGACGCAGTAAGTACTGTCGAATTGAGTACCAGGGCCCTTATTCTTTTACTCCGGACTGGACTCGATGTTCTACCGACTTGTCTTATGTTCTCACCTTTGATCTAATAACTGCAACGGGCCGGACGTGGGTTATAAGGATCGTGTATCTTCACACCCAACAGCATCATCTGGAACCCAAAAGATATACACGTCACATGAAGCTGCGAAAGCCCATCGCATAGTAAGAATAAGGCTCTTGTGAATACTGTCAAACCAAATCACTCTCCAACCTAAATGTTCTTAGTCGTACTATCCACTTCCGTTCCCAACTTCTCTTTGCCTTCTGCAGTTTGGCTCTCTGAATCTGCTTCAACGCCATGGACTATGTCACCAAACCCAGTCACAACGTAGGAGAGAAGTGTAGGCTTGTGAGGAAAGAAAATGTTGGAGAAGTAATAAATGAAAATAGACAAGAAGAATCCATAAAGCCAGTTGAAACTGAATAAGTTCGCCAAACCTTGATCAATATGAACAGATGTTGGCGACACCTTTGCGGCCAGCCCAGGCATGACTGGGATGATCACCAGAACCATCGTCAGGGAAGCTCTCCAGTTAGTGCCGTATTTTCCGTAACTATATATGCCATTTGGATTGTAGAGAGCAGGAACATCGTACTTCTTCCGCTTGATGAGCCAGTAGTCCGTGAACAGGATACCCGCCATTGGAGCCATGAAGATGGCATAGGCACTCATGAAGTTGAGAAAAGCCTTGCCAGAGGCAACGATAATCCATGGGCAAAGGGCCCAGCCGCCAATGAAAGCGACGAATACTGTACCGCGACGGATGTTGAACCACTTCGGTGCTACCGTTGTAATATCGTTGGCGAAAGAGACGGCATTGGCGCTGATGTTGACGCTGATCTGCGCAAGGAGCCAAATGGAGGCACAAATGAAGCCTGCAGCTCTACCACCGGCAGTGTTTTGCCACGTGCTGATGATCTCGAGCGGCGTCCAATACGTAACTCCCCATATTTCTTGAGCGGCAGAGGCGGAGATGACACCGAAGAGAGCGACAATTGTCTTGAAGAAGGGTATAACAGGCAGCTGCCACACCTGGGAACGTCTTTCTTTGCTGAAGCGAGAAAAGTCCGCAATGTTTACAGCGAGAGTGCTGTAACCACCGGTAACGCTTGTCTGCAGGGAGGTAAGTCCCCATGAGCCCAAACGACGATCGAGGTTTGCTTACAAGATTAGACAGCCACAGCCATGCACGCTCTGAGCCATGAACTTGACTGGGCTTGTTGAGGAAGTCACCACCACCACCAGCACGAAGTGAAATCCATATGACCTTGAAGAATTTTGTCAGAACCACAACATGAAAACTAATTTATGAACACTTACCATTGCGAGGGCCATTGGCGGTGTAAGAAATGTCTTCACCCAAAACATCTTCTGCAGCTTATGCGTCGGAATCAGAAGCAGAGGGAATTGAATTAGCCAGTAGATCAGGTATGATATCATTCCCACTGTGGTGAGACCGGCTGAAGCAGGTAGGTGATTGGGGATGTCCTTGAAACTAGGCCAGATGGCAGCGATTACCTAGCAGCACTGTCAGACAAGAACCGCCAACATCTCTCGGCCATACTCACAGAGGTCACGCATGTCGCACCGCCAGCCGTCTGCACGCCAAACCAGAACATAGCCAATATGCCACGGCTTACAACGGCAAAGTAGCTGAACCAATAGCCAAAGCTAGCCCGAGAGGCAATTGGGAATGGAATATGCAGATCAGACCCGATTGCCCCGTTCAAGACTGTTGGAATGGCATTGCAGATGCCGGCAACCAAGACAATCAGGATGGCATCGGTAGCAGAAAGGCCTTTAACGGAAGGTTAGCTTGGTGTTGAAAATTGTGAATAAAACACCATCGCCATCTTACCAGTTGTAACAATAGCCGCGCCAGTGTTCCAGGTCGAGATAGTCACAAGATCCGAGAACCAGTACGTGATGAAGGCCCCTTTGCCCCACGTTCGCCTTTCCGGAGGCACGGGGTCCATGTCCGCGTTCGTCCATACCTCAGGGGGCGCGATGCTGCTCTCCTGCTTCGAAAGTTTCCAGCTTGTGGGCTCGGCAAGCCGAAGCTTGATCTTTTCTTTGGCAGCTTGGCCACGTTCTCGGTAAGTCATGTTTTCCATCGTGACCATCTTACTCGAAGAGCTGACAAGCTCACGAACATTAGCAGCTCTTGTAAGACAGGAAGGCAAACAATTCTGATCAGAGATGAATGACAGTCGAAGACCTAATGGTTAGACGTGAATAAGCCATGCTCATGAGCCTGCAGGTAATATTTCAAGCAAGAAGCTCAACTTGCATGCGGTACACGATTGCAGCCAATTGCGAACCCTTGTAGATAGAGTTGATCTGAATTGGTAGTGGGTGGAGATAAGGACGATTTGAATGCAGACCTCGGCCGGGGTGCTATCGGGGACTCCATCTTTGACGATCCCCGGCCATCGGATAGCGGGGCCGTCACACCCTGGAGCTAGCCAGAACCAATGACGGACTTTGAGATCCTAATCTCTGATGTCGTTGGTTCATCCCCCAAAGATAACGCGGGAGGCAATCAGAGCAAAGGCACCGGGCAAAGGGAATTTGCCAGTGTTGATCCATGAAACTTGAGGATTTGTTCTGCTTGCCCGTATCTTGTCCCCGAGGACTTCTTTTCGGCAACTTTTGACATTCCACCTAATATGTCAGTATCCGCTTCGTTGGCATCGAACAGTCGCAACCGACTGGCCTGCGCGTCCTGTACACGAAGGAAGGTGAAATGCAGCAAGACTGTGCCATGTAGCAACTGTGTCCGAAGGTAGAGTAGCCTACGGGGAAGGCACCGAATGTCTCGGTCGTTGTTCTGGAAAAGTTTTCTGAGCGGGATGCTAACTTGCGCAATCCATACTCTTAGAGGCGAACAGGATGCATGCGTTCTCGGATCAACCGAGACGGACTCATCCACAGTAGTAGATTCCCGAGCCTCCCCTCAACATCGATCACCGTCGGATGCCGCCCGACAACTCCATGTTCTCCACCGCAGGATAGCCGAACTTGAAGCCGAAGTGCAAAGAGCTACTTCCGGCACAGCATTACAGCACAATCCTCCACCTGCAGAAGACGAGGAAACTTCCCATGAAGTGCTGCACCTTGATCCAACTTTGAATCCGCCCGAGTCCATAACACATCGGACGGATGTTCAGAATAATCGACTTGACAGCAGCGATGCCGTTATGAAAGACGCGGCATCTATTCTGGAGTTTCTAGCTTGGGGGCGACATAAGGACCCCGAATATCATTCCACTGTCTCGCCCGAGGCTACGTTGACTGCCGGAACGGCTTCAGGCGATGTTTGGGACAAAGGTTCTCACGTCATAGAGTCTGCGATCGATCCTTTTGGAGATTGCTCTCAACTTTCCGTCATTCAGCTACTGCTCCCAAGTCCGCAACAGGTGTGGCAGCTGGTTCAATACCACGAAGAGTGCTTACTTTGGTATCATGGCTCATTCTTCGCACCGAGTTTCCGCGACCAGCTGGAAGCCTTCTATGCTGACTACGGCGGCATGATTGACAGACCCGGCGTCAATTTGCAATGGGTTGCTCTTCTTTTTTCCATCATGACGGGAAGTCTGGTCTGCTCCCCACCTGCTACCCTGCAATCCTGGGGCTTCCGCGATCCGGAACGGAGAACTCTGTCCAAACGCTGGTTTGGTGCGGTCTTGACGTGCTTGAACAGAGCTGATTATACTGCCAATCTGAGCATCTTATCCTGTCAAGCTATTGCAACAAACACCATATCCGCGCATCTTCTGGGATTCAGCAGTTCTCAAAGCATCCAGCTTGCAGCAGCTGTTCGCATAGCCCAGTCACTTGGTCTTCACCGTCTAGGCAGTGAGACAACTCGCAATACGATCGATAGGGAGATTGGTAGACGGGTCTGGTGTCAGCTGTGCAGCCAGGACTGGTTTGGAATACCATTCTCCGAAAGCTATTTGATCAATCCACTGTATTCGACTTCCGAGCCACCATTGAACTGCCATGATCAAGATTTGCTGCCACTACCAGTGGACACACCGACCATTACGAGCTATTGCCGATTTCTTCGCGAGGTCGCCTCTATTATTCCCCAGCTTCAAGATGATTTGATGGTTCGAAACACTGCTTATACTCGATATGAGCAGGTTTTGGCTTGGGATGCTCGCCTTCGTACTCTTGTGACAACAGAGAGACCGATGTTCCTTTCGCACGTTCCCATCGACCCGAAGTGGCCCTGTTGGATTCCTTGGGCTCGCCGTGCTCTAGCAATCAGCTCCGGCCATAAGATCATTATGATCCACCGATCATTTCTCTCTGACAGTTTCATCAATCCCGCTTTCGCATTCACACGTCGGACGTGCCTTGCAGCGTCAAAGACCATCATCAAAGAGTACAAGTGTGTTGTAGATGAGGATGGACCAACGCTCTGGATACACCAAGCATTCTCGGTTGCCGCGTCGGTCATACTTCTGCTGGACGTCCTTCACAGAGACCCCAACGATAGGGAATCAGCTGCGCACAAGCAGCTTGCCGAGAGCGTCATTGCGATACTACATAATCACCGAAATAGCATGATTGCCGTAAGGGGTATCAAGCTGCTAGGTGCGTTGTTAGCGGAGGTTTCCAAAGTTGCTTCAACAAGTGGAGCCCCAAATCAAGGGCGAAAGCGTAGGAGACATGATGACACTTTCGGCTCATCCAATGCAGACAGCCCCCGAAACAGCAGATCAGGGTATAAGTTCGACCTTCCAGAATTCGTCAAGGCGTTCTCCGTGGGCACGGCCAGCAGTCAGTCGGCTGGTTCATCTCGTTCTGCCGGTCAACATCAATCACAAATGGATGTACAGGTTGAGGATCCTCAAGAGAGCGATGATGTGGGCGAACCTGGCGGGGAAGATGCTGGCCACATCATCGAACCCTCTCTCGGTTACTCATTTAATACGGTGGGACTTGACGGCGCCAACAGTTTCGAGAACCTCTTGTACCTCGTGAACCACGACTGTTTTTCTGTGCCTTGAGACTCTATCGTTGCTTTGGGCTCATTGACTTCCCCCTTCGCAATGTGAGCTAGACTTAATTTACAGACTGCCTATTTTTCGTGTGTTTCCAACTATTCTCTACATAATTATTATCATAGTTGCTATCTATACTATCTTAGTTATCGTAGCTGCCGTCGTCGTCGTCATCGTCGTCGTCGTCGTCGATGTTGTTGTCGTTGTTACCTCCGTTTTTTAATCCCGTCTACTATCGTCCTCGATCGGACTCAGTCAGTACATAGCAAATTCAGTCGCGCAAAACTAAAAGAGATCGGCTATTTTCTAGCGAAGTATCGCACATGCTGTATAGTCCCTATGCTACTCACTCCTATCATCTTTTCTATTGAATCCCGATGATTATCATTAGTATTGTCCTCTTCACCCTCGTTGTCTCTATCCGCCCGTATAGAGAAGGCTTTCGGTAAGCGTCTACAGAACGCCAGCCAACCAACTGTTTCACTATGCGATGTTAAAAGCTTGACCTGTGATTGACAATTTGTAAGTTCCCTTTGCAGGGCGCAACCCCTCTCGGGCGAAACCACCAGAACGAAGTTCATTTAAGTCGAATCTTAGTTCACTTCCCTCACAAGTCTTATCTAGATCACCACCTTCCCAAGAAGCTCTGTGACAGCTTGCTCTACAGCTTTCAAATCCTCGATTATAGGCTGGTGTCCACTCTTCACAACTTCAACCCATCTTTCTCCACTCAACAGCTTGCTAAGCTCCCGAGATCGTTCGACGGGACTAATCATGTCCTTATCTCCGGCAATAAATGCTGCAGGACATTTGATAGCCGAATAGTCAGGGTCCGTATGCTCCAAGTTCACAAGCGCCTCGCACGTCTGAGCATATCCCTCCGGATCCGATGCAGCAACCATTTTACGAATGGCCTCTCGCGCCACAGGATCGGCCGAGCGGTCGGGTGTGTCCTCATAAAAGTTCGACTTGGTCGCCATTTCCGCTCCGCACAGTATTCCTTTCTCCCTCACGTTTGCAGCGAGGTCAAGCATGCGTTGGCGGGCTGCAGGAATATGTCCAATGGCTCGGCCGGGACCGAGGAGGACGAGGCCGGCAACGTTGTCGGGATGCTGGGCTGAGTAGTGCAGCGCGACGATGGCGCCGAGGGAGTGGCCGATGATGATGGCTTTGCTCGCATTTGTTTGCATTTGAGGAGATTCTTGGAGAGATGTGAGGAGATCGTGTAAGTCGGCGACATGGCCCGCGATGGTGAGCTTTCCTGTTTGGTCGGCCAGTGGTGTCTTGCCGAAACCTTGAAAGTCAACCAAGGCAATTTTGTAGGAACTGGGTAAAACTGGCAAGAGTCTTTCAAAAGTTTCAGTCGAGCCTCCCAGACCGTGAAGGCAGACCAGGGGCGGTCCAGAGGGGTCGCCGGCGAGGAGGTAGTGAGTCTTGGTCCCGAAGGAGGTGGTGACGTAGCAAGAAGACGGCGCTGAATTCGTCATTGTGAAGGCTACAATTCTTGCAAAGATCTCTGTTTGTGTCTCGCCTCAGACGTCTTTGTTTGACATAAATCGGATTCGCAAACAAAATAGCTTACATTGCGATCCTCTTGTCGAGGTTTCGTCTTCCCGCAGAACAATCATCTCGACAACACCCCTGTCACTTCGGCCGAGGAAGTTCAGGCTCCACCCTTGGGTTCGGCCGGGCTCAGACTGTCTGGTTTTGACTGATCGATAAGATTGACGTCCGATTCCGATAGAGCCACACCAGTAGGCGAGGATCTCTCACTGGGTTGGCTGCATTTTGGTCGGTGATATTGAGAACACCAGCAGTCTGATACAAGAAGCGGCAGTTAAGGAAAACCCGGTTAGCTTTTAGAATTCGACCCTAAACTCTCTCAATTCAATAGATGAGAACTAGTCATCGTTCCAACCAGAATTCATCATGGTCATCACGTCTGTTGTCACCGAAGAGGCAACCTGCCTAGAGCCTCAGAAAATCCACTTCACTCTCCCACATGCTCAAGCTACAAGCGGCCGCGTAGTCCCCATAGCGCATGCGAAATCCAGCAAAGTCGACTTTGGCGCCGAGATCTATGGCATTGATCTCAACAACTTCACTGATGCGGACTTCGAGCTCATTTCAGATGCGCTGCACGAGTACAAGCTTCTTGTCTTCAAGGAGCAGCCAGAGATGCTGAAGTCGCAGCAGCAGTACAAGTTGACTTCAAAGTGTGTGAACCACTATGTCAATTCCTTTTCGGGCTGCTAACACAAGCCTCAGTTTTGACCCTGATGAGAAGACTGGGGGTTTTGCGCACGGCAAAGATCCCTTTCTCGTCCACCACAACGGCGTTGACTTCTTCGGCATCCCGAAACGCCCCGCGATTCCCGACCAACCCCAAGTGCATATCCTCGGTCGCGGACCATTGCCTGACAACCACTACGGCTTTCCTCCTGGCTTTGAGGTCCAGGGGATAGACCATGAAGAATTTCACCTTCCGCCGCATATCCCTGCAGATGAACGTGAAGCTGGCGCCTCTCGATTCTATCAGTGGCACTTTGACGGGGCTCTCTATGCGATTCCCCCGCCTCGAGTAGGCTGCCTACTAGCGGTTCGGACGCCCAAAGGTCCGGATGTCACTGTCCGGTGGGAGGATGGCAGCGGGACCGAGATGAAAATGGCTCCCGGCGCTACGGCCATGGTGGCTGGCAGCAGAGCCCTGGCCCTTCTCGACGAGGAGACTCGCAAGATTGTCATGAACAGTCGAATCGAGTACGCCCCTCATGCATTCGTCTGGATGTCAGGCGCTCACAGCACACGTCTCGGGCACCTAATCGAGACGGAGGGCCTTGAGAAGCCGCTGGGCCAGCTCCCGAAGTGGAACAAGGAGAAGGTTTGTATTTATCCGATGGTTTGGACAAACCCCAAAACGGGCGAGCAGTCGCTCCAGGTCCATGGGCAGGGTGCCTTCAAGTTGTACTTGAAAGATAGTCCCGATGGCAAGGAGACGATTGTGGATGATTTGACAGAGGTCAGGGCGTTTATGGACAAGTGAGTCTGCCAGCAACCCAATGAAACTTCAGCATGACTGATCGACTATGCATAGGATCATGAAGCCTGCTCTGCAACCGGAGAACATCTACGCCCACCCACACCAGGAGCAAGACGTAATTCTATGGTACAATCGAGCACTTTGGCATAGTATTGTGAGACCTCTGAGCAATCTGAAACCGAGTAATCAGACACTGACCTATTTCAGACCGAGTTCCCTAAGTCTTACGGTCCTCGTGTGATGCATCAGTGCAATGTGGCGGCGAGCGACCACCCTGCCGCCTGAGAGGATTCCCAACATGCAGTGTGATTTTAAGGAGGAAATATCGTTGTAGCTTTAGCAGTAGACCGGAATGAATTGGACTTTCTCACTTGCCTGCATCTTGGACTCTACCACTACAGATGAGCGCAAGCCCCCAATACCGTCCTTCTAGACCCGGTCGCCAATGCATGCTATGGCATTCGGTCATAGCAGCGAACGACTGTTGTGTGCTACCGTTTGCCGAAGTCTCACGCCTCCACAAAGACATTTTCCAATTCACGTTGTAATACGTGTTCTGTAAGCGCTCTCGACCAGCTCGGCCGAAAACATCAGTGGCTGTGATAAGATCGGGAGCTGAGATTGGAGAGGGGTAAACCTTATCGGACGTCACCGAAGCTGACGGCAAAGCATAATACTTGAACGCAGAATTTACATAGTTGACATTTTTAAGGCGGCGGGCGCTTCACACAGCTGGTTAAGTCACATTCTCGGGTGATTCGAATCGTCGGGCCGGATTCATTGCTTTCATCCCTTGGACACGCACACCATCGATTCACGAGTTCCCGGAAAGCGACCTGTCATGGAGAAGCAAACAAGGTACGTCGATCGGGAGATCTCAAAAGTAAGTCCAGTCGCCCCGGCTTTTGAGAACGTGTCAATGACATCCATTAGATTTCTCTACACAATTTCGACAATCGAATCGACGAAATCACAGCCCAGCTGTGCTCAGCCGCCGAAAATGTCGGTTTCTTCGCCATCAAGGACCACGGCTTGGCCGACTCTGACATCCAGGACATGCTGTCCACCGCGGAGTCGTTCTTCCGCCTCCCGGATGATACCAAGGCCACGGTGCCCTGGAACCCACAAAATGTCGGATGGGAGAAGTTGTCGCAAGTACGGCCCTCCACGGGCGCGGCAGACCAGAAGGAGTCGTACCAAATCCAGTTTGGCGAGAACATGAAAGGCCTTTGGCTTGACGACGGCACTCTCCCCGGATTCCAAGCCAAGACTCTGGAGTTCATGCACAGGGTGCAGGATATTTCGGAGAAGCTCATGATCTGCCTCGCTCGTGGACTGGGGTTCGAGGACAAGTACTTCATCAACTGGCACGACATCGCGCGACCGAACTCGCAATCAACGCTGCGTATGCTCCATTACTACGAGACGCCAAAACTGAATGACGGCAAAGTTTACCATCGTGCCGGCGCCCATGCCGATTGGGGCTTCCTCACGCTCCTCTTCCAGAAGCCGGGCTACTCCGGTCTCGAGATCTGCCCCGGCCGCGAGGCCGTTACGGAGCACGCTCTCGGCGACGAATGGACCAAGGTCGATCTCGAGCCTGGGGTCATCGTGTGCAACATCGGAGACTTGCTCATGAGCTGGAGCGACGATCGCTTCAAGAGCACGTACCACCGTGTTAAGGCACCTTGTGAGGAGGGAGACTTTTACGGCGAGAGGTTTAGCATTGCGTTCTTCAACCAGCCTTGCAAAGATGCGATCATTCAGGGTCCGAAGGGGAAGTATCCTGTGGTCACGGGGGAGGAGTTCAATCGGAACGCGATGAATCGGATGTATAAGGCGGCGCAGGAGAAGTTGGCTGCGATAAAGCAGGCGGAGGAACAGGGACAGGGATTGCCCAGCGCAAGGGCTCTTGAGGCAGCAGCGTAACCGATATCCTTGTGTTGAAGCCTCGTGTTAATTTTACATATCAGTCGAATTGAAAAACAAGCCCCTTGACCACGCCACGAAATTGAGTCAATAGTGAAGCTTGCGGGTTTGCAACTAACTGAGGTCGAAGTGTCACACATGGAGATCGAGCGGAAATCTAAGTCCTCGGATTCATTTCATATGGTGTCCAATAAGTTGATGACTTCTTCTATAGTGACGAACAGGTTGTGTTAGGTACACTGAGAATTGGGAAACTCCCAACCTTAAAGCTGTCCACCTGCATTTTGATATTGCGATGACATCTCTCGTGGGCCCTAGGCGATGTCTTGTCTTTGAAGTTATCATATCTGGTGTCTTTCCCTCAACTGTTCCTAGCATTGTGGTCGTGACTGAACAAAGCTTGCATCTAGTTGCTTGCCGGGAATAACATGGACCTTCTCCAAAACGATGCAACCTCAGTTATCGCAGTGTTGCCCCGCATCGATCACCAACCTCGGCCGAAGTGGCAAGGGGTTGCAGTCAGACGGTACGATAAGCCTCGGCCGAGCTTATCAAACTCCTACACCTTTTCTGTTATTGGACGATAGCATTCGTAGACTGAGTGTAAGTCGAGAGGTTAGACCGGCAGCCGTGCACCGGAGTTTGAGCATGGTAGATACTCTCAGAACGGGATAATGATACCGCTTTTCTGGCTTTCATGGTATGCCTCAGATATATCAGATGAGGCCCTGCTCAGACTGTTTGGAAGACTGTGAGTATCTAATTGGGAAGCACAAATCCGTGATTAAGCACTATCTCACCAGCTTTTCTAAATCAGTTGTAATTGCTCTGCAAAGCGTGAAAAGATGTCTCCAGGAATACTCACTCCAAACCGCACCTTCACTCTGACGGAGATGGAGAAGACACCAAAGGACAAACACAACTTCGGAGCCGTCGTCACCGGACTCGATTTGGATGACATCAGCGGTAAGTGTCAAATTCCTCGTCTCCAATAACAGATTCCTAACATCATCCGCAAGATGCCGATATCAAAGCCCTGCACGATGCCATCTGGACACACAAAGTCCTCGTCGTCAAAGGGCAGAAGCACATCCACCCCATCAAGCAGTGGGACCTCGTCACCAGACTCGACCCCGACGCGCCGCTCGTCCACGGCCACGGCGACATGAAGACCTTCAACGAAAAAGGCGGCCTCCTCTCCGTAAGCCCTTCTTCTCCCATCCCCAGAGACCAGTAGCTAAGCTCACCGTGCCACCAGAGAGGCCGCGAAGTCCTCGCCATCCCCGGCGCAGAAAACGTCCGCGTAATCGGCAAAGGCTTCCAGGGCGAAAACCACTACGGCCTCCTCAACAAGACCCTCACCCGCACGCCCTCGCACGACTTCCACACCCTGCCCCTCTCAGAAGCAGACTTCGAGGCGGGCCACACGCGCTTCCAGCGCTGGCACATCGACGCCGCGCTCTACGACCGCGAGCCCGCGTGGTTCACGACGCTGCGCTGCATCACGCGCCCGACTGGGCCCGAGGTCACGGTCCACTGGGACGACGGCAGCGGGCGCAGCATGACCGTAGAGCCGGGGCTGACTGCGTTTTTCAGCAATGTGCAGATGTACGAGCTAATGAGCGACGAGGAGAAGAAGGTTGCGGACCACTCGTGGGTGGAGTATGCGCCGCACCCGTACCAGTGGATGGGGAACTGCAAGGGCAATGCGAATGGGCTGGGGCTGGTGAGTCAGGGGAAGGAGATGAGGGAAGAGGAGCTGGGGGAGTGGGATGAGCAGGCTGTGAAGCGGTATCCTATGGTGTGGGTGAACCCCGTCACTGGAGAGAAGGCGTTTATGGTGCATGGGATATGTGTGCGGCGTATGTTCCTGCGGTCGAGTGTCGATGAGGAGCCGACTGTGGTGGATGATGTAGTGAAGATCCGAGAGTGGCTGAAGGTGATTCAAGAACGGGTGCTGAAGCCGGAGTACATCTTGCTGCCCAAGGCCGAAGAGGGAGACATCATCATGTGGGCCAACTTTCAGATGTTCCATACCGCGATAGACTATCACTCGAAGCTGGGACCGAGGACGATGCATCAGGCCAATGTCGGAGCAAGCGTCGGACCTGTCGGACCGGTGCCCATTCCCGCAGCTAGCTGAACGAATGTCGAAGGAAATTTCTGTTATGCGCATAGTTGAAATTTTGTTTCATTTCAGAATCGTCTCGTGATACCCTTCCTCGGGTCACTAATTCCTGTAAAGACTGTAAGATGTCTTCTTTCTCCTGACTTTTCATGTGCTGTAAAGACTGTACGCTTCCTCCCTTCTTCTGACTTTTGACATTATGTAAAGACTGTATCCCCCCCTTCACGCTGTAAAGACCGTCATCGATGAACCAGCACCAACCTCAATACCCCCCAATAGGCGAAATACCCAGCCCCTCCCCCTCCCCAGCCGCACACTTGAACCCAGGCGCAATGGGCTGCGGCGCCGTCAACTCGCCCCCAGTGCACGTCGCAAAGTGCGTCTCGTCCTCCAGACATGTAAGATATCCCTCCGTGCACGCCTCATCGTCATCCTCATCGTCATCCTCATCCGCCGGCGCGTCCGGCGCCCCCGACGCCACGGGGACCTGCGCCGTAATTGTAGCCGTGACAGTCACCGTCACCTCGACGGTCGACACCGCAGGCACAGCGCAAGACGGGGCCGGGCGCTCGGGGGCGGTGGTGCTCACGACCGACGGCGAGGTGACGGCAGGGGTATCGATCTCGGATGAAGGCGATGTCGGCTCGGCGGGGGGAGTGTCCATGTAAGACGTAGTCGGCTCGGGCTGCTCCTCCTCGGGCGCGGCGGAGGAAGCGGAAGCGGAAGCGGAAGCGGCAGGCGGCTCGACCGACCCGCCACCCCCGGAACCGGCGCCGGCCCGCGGGTTCCCATCACACGGCTGCACGAACAAATTAGCCTCGCCCTCAGGATGATCAACAGACGTCCCCGCGTTGGGGTACTTAATCGGCACCTGCGCCGTCAGCGCCTCGTTAGTCGTGCACCCGCCCGAGACCTCACCCATATTCGCCATAAACAGCTCCGGAAACTGCGTCTGCCGCTTCGACACACCCCACCCCTCCCTGGCATGCCCGCGCTTCTTCTTCGACGCCACGACCGTGATCGGCGCGCAGTTCATGTAATACTCCGGCTGTCCACCAACGCGCGCCTGCCACGTCCACGCAAAGGTATACTCCCCCGGCGCGATGCCCTGTGGAATGGAAAAGGTGTACTCATCTTTATTAGGCCCTTCGAGGTTGCCCTTCTGGTTGCGCGCGGGGCAGCCGCCCTCGATGGAATGGATGACCATCCACGTCGACTGCTTGGTCGGCTCGGTGTCGGTCGAGAGGGCGAACTGGCAGCTGCCGCCGCCGTGGACGGCCTGGCCGGCGAAGGTGGCGGTCTGCGGCTCGCCGACGGCGTAGACGGTGCGTTCGCCGTCGACGATGTAGGAGGCGCCGGGGGGCACTTTGCAGGGGAAGTCGTCGCCGGTGGCGGAGATGGGGTTGGTCGGGCCGTCGGCGACGAATTTGAAGGGTTTGGGGTTCTCGAGAACGACGTGGGCGGATGCGAGGGAGAGGAGGAGGGAGGTGAGTAGGAGAGAAGACATGGTTAAGAAATGACTGTGTGTGTTGTGTGTTCTATCTATGAAGGGAGTGTGAGTGAGTAGTTGGAGATATGTACGCGAAATCGAATTTGTTGAGACCAGCTGCAATGCGAAGGGAGTGTGATATGATGCAGAGTCAGTGGGAAGGAGGGAGGGTTCATAGGTATTTGTAGGTCGCGGGCAAGGTTGCCAAGGTGAATGGTGCTTTGGACGAAGACTATTCTAGGACAATGCCATTGTTGCTAGGAAGGACATTGCCACTGTCCTTTGACAATATCAACTCCCACATAAAGCCCAGAAAGAGTATTCCATCAACCATTCGCTGTCTTCCTTTGATGGAAGTTCACCTTGAAAACGTCTTTCCGCCAACTTTCATCAACATCAGATTCGAACAGGCCTTTCCAGCATCTTCTCCAGATGAAAAAACACTCGATTGACACATCTCGGCTCCCTTGCAAGATATCCCCAGACTACACTGCCGAAGACCATTTGATGATCAGCGTTAGACCAGCTAGCTCCCTTAGCAATAACCCCGCGAATCCGGGGAAATGCATCGCACTCCGCGACAAGCTTGAGTGTGTGTAATGCTTGGCAAGGCCTTCGTCTGTCTAATATCCCCGAACCCATCTTGAGATCCTGGGGCCTGAAAAGAGACGCAGTCGTACCGCAACTGCAAGGGGATCGGCAGGAACAAAGACCAGTTGTCTGGTTGATGAATTGATGTCGTCGTTGCTAGCACTTCCGCCTGTTTCAGCCTCTTTAGTCAACTTTCTTTGTTCTCAGAACACTACCCATGAGAAAGTGGCTTTATGTCGGTGCCCCCATCCCGGTCAAGCTGCACTATGAGCTGCCACGCCGTTCGAAACTGGCCTCGGGCATAAAAGCTATGTTAAGCTCGCCATAACCCTTGGTGGTGATATTGCATGTAGTTGAATCTCCGAGCTGTTGCTCGGCCAGTGGGGTGCGATAAGATTGCATACTTACGATATGAAGATTGGTATAAATTGTATGAGTTGAGCCAAATGACCGAGTCGAGAACAAAAAAGCTGCAGAAGCTCCGACCATATGCCGGACGACGCTGTCCCATGCTGTACTTCCAGTCTGAATGCTATGTAAAGACAATGATATATGGTATTATGCAGGTTCAACCAAAAACATCCTCCCGCGGCACACAGCGGAGGGCATCACCTCACCTGCGCCCCGCCCCACTCTCCCTCCCCGACACCACCCTGACGTCTCTCCGCTTCTTTAACCACCGCCTGACAATGTACTCGTACGCAGCCTGCTCTCCCTCACCCGGCGCGATGCGAAACGATCGCCCAGGCCGGCGCATCAGTACAGCCACGGACCTGGGAGGTGTAAGCGGTCGGTAGGACTCGGCAGTGGCATGTCTCGGACGAGGAGGCTCGGCCGCACCTTTGATGAAGTTGTTCTCCAGCTCCCAATGTGTGGGGATGCGGAGGACTTTGCTATGGATCACATTCATTGCCAGCACGGAGTCTTCGGCTCTGACGACGAGTCTAGCATATTCTGTTAGCTGGAGGACTTCGCGGAAGGCAACAGGAAAAGGACGGGGATCTCTGGAGGAATGTAATTTGGTGCTGTGGTGCATCGCGCGGGGTTGACGTACGAAACGTTGATCTCGCTCGCCCCTTGGCTGACGAGAAAGATGTTGATCTTCGCTGCGGCCAAGGCAGACATGATTTCCGCCGATATTCCAACCATGTTTCTCATCTTGTGGCCGATGACGGTGACGATGGACATGTTCTCTGTGATAACGACCTGCAGACAAGTAATTCATTAGCAAAGAAGTCTTTGGATGAGTCGCGGCCTTTCTTACCTTTCCAAATTTCTCAAGCTCAACCCTCAGCCTCTGATGTTGACAGGACCCTTCCTCCGAATGCTGGAATGCAAGGCTGACGTTGCGCTCGCTCGTTGTGACGAGATCAGTCTTGATTCCAGCCTCTTCTAGTCTATCAAACACACCAGACAAGAACCCTTGGGACTTCGTGTTCCTATTGCAAACGACGTTGACAAGCAGTATTGAGTCCTTGACGGTCACAGCTGTTGGTCGACGCCTCTCCTTCTGGTCACCGTGATATCCGTTGCCCAGCATGAAGTCGATCGAAGGAAGCGGGACCTTGACATCCACCTTTTCGTCCGTCGGTGTTGGGGGTGTAAGAGGCGGCGAAGGTGTTCGTGAGGGATAGATGATCGTTCCCGCGCCCGTGGGATTGAAGACATTCTTTAGTCTTAGGGGTATATTGGCGCATCTTATTTGGTCCATGGTCAGCGGATGTATAACCTCGCTACCGTAGTACGTCAGCTCCGTCGCCTCTTCTGCCGTGACTGTCGACAGTAGTCTCGCCGAAGGAACCTTCCTTGGGTCTGCTGTGAAGATGCCATCAACCTCCTTCCAGATCTGAAGCTCCGTCGCCTTGGTACCGACTGCACACATCGCAGCACATAGATCAGAGTACCCCCTTCCCACGTTCTTCAGCAGGGAGTCCGGCATGATGCCAAAGAAGCCAGTGACTATTGGCACATGGTCGCCGCACTCTCTTATTCTCCTGGTAATCTCGTCGCCAAGAAGGTGGTAGAACCTAGGACCGAGATTGTCGAGCGCGGTCTTTTGCTCAAAGATGCTTCCGCCAAACACTGACTCGACGACGTCCTCGAGAATGACCGGCTCGGCCGGGACGCCTTTGCTGCTTAAGTATGCAGCAACAACTCTGCAAGCGAGCTTCTCTCCCAGTGCTACCACCCGGTCTCTCGCCCGAGGCGACAATTCCCCGATAATTTGAGCTGCGAGAAGGAAGCCTCTCAAGCTTTCGCACTCCTTGATAATGACATTCTTGGTGGTATCAAATATGTCGCTGCAAAGATCACTCCTCGTACCATTTGAGTTGACGAGGTGCTTCTCGAGTAGTCTGACATGGTTATCGCGGACGAGTTCAAGGGCCTTGTTGAGCTGGGCTTGGGCAGGCAGTCCGGCCTCGGCGTGGGAAATGCACTCGAGCAGGAGGCTCGTGGTGCCACTGGCCTTTGTGGAACCGGAGAGGGCCGAGCAGACGACCACCAGGTTATGGTCTTGCAGGTAGGATGGGATGATTTTGCTGCAGATCGACTCGAGAAGTTTTCCAAGACTGGTTCCGCCGTACTTCTGCACCAGCCATGGCCTGTTTTCTCTGCCGGTCGCCATGCTGGGCGGGGACTGGGGAGTGGTGATCTTGCTTGGGAGGGCGGGCAGCTGGATGAGGGAGTTTTCCGGTGGGCCTCCGCTCGAACTTGATGGCACGCAGTAACTTGGCGGGGAGAGCATATATCGTCGACTTTTCCCCGGGAAACTTATCAGTCGCAAAGTTTCAACGAGCGTCCACCACGGCCATGGTCAACAGCAAGACTCGTCGACTGTTGTTGAAGGCGTCAAAGAAAGGCGTGCCTTCGGTCAATGTCCACGGCGGACGGCAGGCTCTGCATCTCCCGGCATTCCCATCGCACCCTTTGGCCGACTGACAGCTGTCATTGGCGATGGTCGTCTCCGAGTTGTGGAGGTGGTTGCCGGCGACTGCGCGCTGGCCGTGGGCCAAATCCCGGCTTCGGGATTTGAAGACGAAAGCCCCCATTCACAGCGGTCCGGGTCTCCCGCTCGGCGAATGCGCAAAACAATAGGTTTTCCACTTTCAACTATTTTGGAAAAGGGCTCCATTGAATCTGACGCAACATCAAAGTGTAGTGGGGATGACGGCGTGTGAAATCGGGGTTGGCCATGGTATCATGCGGCCGCCATGTCCAGTGCGAAAGCTTTGATTTGCTGGCGCAAACATCTCGCCCGTCAACGCTCAAAGTCCGAAACTCTGCCAATCATAGCAAGGTGCCCATTTTCCTTGTCTCCAATATTCTCGGTTCGTCCCGAGGATTGACAGGGGAACTTGCAGGCGTCTCCAAGGTTCCTCAGGCTAGGGTTCGGAATCTACAGCACTGTTGCCAAGTGCAGAGACAGCTCGTCCCAGGCTGAGCGAAGCGATCAAGATAACACTGCGACATCTGTCGTAATACGGTTGCATTCTCATGCACGGCCGCTGACAGGTGCGACACAGAATGTCAATCGCCGTAAGCGAGATTCGGCTCAGTGCCGACGACACAGGTTGTCTTTTGGTGAAGATACCCTCCATGATGCGGAGGTTGGGCATCCGCCGGGCGCAGATCGAGCGCAGCATTGGACCAGACTACCCGATTCCGCCTATGGGTCGTTCAGAAAAGAATGGCTTGTTTCAGTCAACACGCGAATCCTGCGGCGGCGGCGATGGCGTCCAATGCCCCTGATGTTTTATCCCGTCGGTCCTCGGACTTGTCGGGATTTGAACCACGCCAACGATGCCTTTCTTCGGAATTTCGATTGTACATACTTCCACTCTTGACAACGGCGATCGAATTAGGAATAGTGTGATAGATGTTATGTCTCTGAAAAGTTTCCACAGAAATCAACCCAATGCTAGGCAGTATCCGCATGGACTCCCAAGCTATGTCATTCGCTGGTATTGCCTGTTTCTGCGCTGTGATGAAAGACCTAGGCAGCAATGACACCCCGGTTGATCACCTACCAATCGTCAACTTCCCCAGTCAAGCTCACTGCCAGTGGATCGAGACTCCCTTGTTTGAGACCGTCCTCTGCCTGCCCCACTGCGGCGTACAAGTGCGGTAGCTCTGCCCTCAACTTAGTCTGGATCAAGTCATCAAGCTGGTCGAACTCGAGTAGAAAGCCGTCATGACCATCTGACGACTTGAGCACAGAGAGCGACGCATCGGGCAAGCATGCTGCGAGCCTTTCTTGCTGCTCGGGCAAGAACAAAGCGTCCGTTTCAACCCCAATGACCATGACTCTGGGTGGAACCTTCGACAAAACCTCCATCAGAGCTCTGTCCCCAGTTTCTTCTGTTCGTCCAAAAGCCACATCGTGAGAGTCCATCTTGTTCGTGATATGCAGGTAACAATTGGCATCGAATCTACCGATAAACTTCTCGCCTTGGTAGTGCAAGTAGCCTTGAGCTGAGAATGACAGATCTTTGTTACGTGTACTGGACCGCTTTCCGTCTGTAGACACAGGGCTAATTGCTGGTCCATCAGTCCGTGGCAAGTCCAGTGGTGGCTCTGTGGATTTGGATTGGCGAGGAGGCTTTCTTCCAAAACGGTTGTCAAAGCTAGCGGAGGAGCGATAAGTCAACATTGCGATCATGCGTGCTGCTGCCAGTCCGGCCGAGGGTTGCCCCTCGGGAGTTGGTTCATAGTAACCGTCGTTGAACTTGGGGTCCGCGTATATGCACTGTCGCTGCGTTTCGGCCCAAAGCCAGGTGGTGTACAGAGCGGCCACTCAAGTGTCGTCATGCCCCCCATCGAGCCGCCTATTACGGCAGCAACCGACTTGACATCAAGAGCATCAAGAACGAGTTTGTGGGCTCGGACATCGTCGCGGACTGTCGTCTGGGGGAAGTCGCTTGCGTATCGCTCTCCGTTCGGATTTTTGGTCAAAGGCGATGCGCTTCCATATGGGGAACCAAATACATTGCCGCAGAAAATGAAGAAGTGGCGGGGATCGAAAGCCTTCCCTGGGCCGATGAGAGGACTCCACCAGTCGCTGACGTCGCTGCTCCCCGTCAGAGCATGGCAAATGACTAGAACATTATCTCGCTCTTTGTTCAGCTTTCCCCAAGTCTTGTACGCCACGGGGCATTCGTAGAGGATCTCGCCTGAGTCTAGCGGGAAGCTCGGGATGATGGCGAAGTTCTGATTGCGGATGAGGCGAGTGTAGAAGTTATCCGAGTTTGGACTTGCATTAACGACTATTTCCGGGGTATTAGTCGAACAGAGTCCACAGGCCGAACGCCGAACAACTTACGCAGAGCCATATCGTAGGTTTGGTGTAGTGTCAGGAAATTACTCCGGTGAACAAGAAGGAAAGACAACGCGAGATTGCTGAAAGTCCCGACGGCTTCGATCACTTGCTGAATGTATCGAGCTGACGGGAGTGTCCAGACCAGCTCTTATTGGTGGATAGGATCAGTGTAGACACCAGCTGATTGAACAGAACGGTGTCATGGAACAACATCAGCCCAAGAGTCTTGATGAGGAACCAAAATAGCGAACACCGTCAAGTATGAGGACTCCCCGAGATATCGAGGTAATCCCGCCTCACTCCCCCGCAAGGTTTCATCATATCCTTTGGTGACGATCGTTTGCATATGGACCAACCTCGCGTACTGGTATCTTCTCTTTGTCAGTAGAACACAAGATGTCGCGTCTGCATCAGCCCCGTTATCGCCGGGGTTTGAAGGCATCCCGGGATTTGAGCCACAACACCGACGCCCCAGACCGTGTGTCTTCGGGAATCGCATCCTGCCGGCGTACGCCGCAATTAGATGGATTCTCCGCCCATCTCGAATGATTGTGAGGCCATCCTATGAGAATCATGGATGCAATCGATCGCTTTGAGCAGATTGTCATGACTCAAAAAAAGACTCGCGTGGGGAAGAGCTTGAAAAACCGCCACCGGTTGCACCTTGACTGTGCGATCGGTAGCCATCCAAGCTTTTGCCTCACACCTGACCATGGCATCCACTCATCCCTTTGTCAAAGTCGCAGCCGTCCAGGCTGCTCCCGTTTCCTTCGATCTCGAAAAGAGCCTCGAGAAGCTGAGTAAGCTAACGGCGGAAGCCGCAGCGGCTGGTGCCGACCTCGTGGTGTTTCCGTAAGTACACAGTACCTATGCAAGAGCTTCGGTTTGGGTAACAAGATCGGTTGTGCGTGTGTGTAGTGAAGGATTCTTGTCCGCTTATCCTTGGAGATATGCTTTCGATGCCACGATTGGCGCACGGGAGCCTCGAGGTAATCTCGACGCCGCCCTTGGTCTCTGAAGTCCGATGTTGATCTCGAGTAGGGCGCCAATGGTTTGCAAGGTACTTTGATTCGGCCATTGAGGTTCCTTCGCCTGCATTCGACATATTGTCCGAGACAGCTCGGAAGCACAATGTCCTACTGCATGTTGGCATTATCGAAAAGGGAGGTGGCACGCTTTACTGCACCGCGGTTCTTCTTGACCGGGAAGGCAAGTTGGTGTACAAGCATCGCAAGGTACTCATATTCAGCCCCTTTTGTGCGCACTTTACTGATCACTGCAGCTGATCCCAACGGCTGCCGAGCGGCTGGTCTGGGGGCGAGGTTCCGGCGATGGCTTGCAGGTCCAGCAAACTGATATCGGCAAGGTCGGAAGCCTGATCTGGTTGGTCGATCAAGTGACAAGCTCAGTGACAAACAAGCTGATGCAGAAGCAGTTGGGAGAACTACATGCCAGCTGCGCGTATGGCGTTGTACCAACAGGGCATCGAGTGAGTGGCGGTTTGAGGAGCCGAGATAACGACTTGTTCGGAACATTGTCACTGACGAACGCGACTCAGAATTTACGTCGCGCCCAATGCCGATGATTTGCCCGCATGGACAGCATCGATGCAGCACATTGCCAAAGAAGGACGTTGTTTTGTTGTGTCAGTCAACTCTGTGTGCAAGGTTTCAGACTTTCCGTCCGACTATCCGCCGTTTACGGCTGAGCACCCCGACCGGCGGCCGGACGGAGGGCAGTGGGAACCGGAAGACATTGTCAACCACGGAGGGTCCTGCATCGTCGGGCCGCTTGGAACAATGCTTGCCGAGCCTGTGTGGGACAAGGAGGAAATCGTCTATGCCGACTTGAGAATGGCAGATATCACAGAGTCCAGGGTATGCCGTCCATTCGGAGCTTGGTGTCGCTCCTAGTCAGTCGGTCGCATGCCATGTGCTAACAGCGTTTGACAGCTTGACTTTGACCCGGTCGGCAGTTATTCTCGGCCAGATGTATTGTGAGTCAATCACACCCGACGCAGGGGACGACAGGGCCGGAGGACGGTCTGGATGTGCGTCGATCAAAAGCTGACAGGCGGTCTAGTTCGTTGACGGTCAACACCAAGGCTGGAATCAACGTGGCATTTAGCAGCTGAGGCGGCGTCCCGAGCGTGGCTGCGGGCGCTGAGAAGTATGCGTGGGGGGTGTTTTTGTTTGCGCTGGAGGCGGGGTTTTGTGCGGAGAGACCGGGATGGTTTGGGCTGGAGATTTATGGGACCTGCCTCGGAGGTCGCATGTCTGGGCATGTCTGGCGGCGGCGTCGAGCTTCGGAGGTTGGCGGAGTCGCATGGGATCGGAATAGCTTGGTGGCATCGAGGTTCGAGAAGCTTTGCACGACGTCCATGCGAGCTTGGCCCGACGAGTTGTGATGCACAACGTTCGGTGGCCGGTGTGTCGTGCATGGCGTAGGAGAGCCTGTGTCTGCGCCTGTGCGTGGAAGCCTCGTGGTGTTTCTCGGGTGGCTTCTCGAATCCGTCTTCTTGGTCTGATGGTGTCAGGCAGAGAGAACCTGCTGTCCGTGTCGAGGAACCGAGGACCATCGACTCGTTGTTGAGTCGAGAGATGGGATGGCACTTGCAGGTCGAGCATATGACTTTTTCTCCAGAAGCAAACTTTGGGTGGCCAACGTGTTCGTGAAGCAGACATGGCTGGGAAATCTTAAATGCAGGCCTCGGTGCTGACAGAGAAGAAACCAGTCATTAAAGACGGTGGCCCTGCGATGCTGCGTGTAGATGAATCGTCCGCCCCAGCAGAGAAGCATCCATGGAGGTGATGGTTCGGGATGTTGATTCCGATCCTAGCTCCTGCTTCCTGTGTCTTGCCGTCCGTAGTAGCTGCTGTTTATGCAAGCACAACTGGTGCCGGGTGGCCTGACTCTGCTTGGCATCGTGAAAGTTTGCGAATCTTCGGGCAGGAGGCAATGGCAATGGTCACTTTGACTGCCAAATTGGGAGTCGCGATTTCTAGGAAAGCACCAAATTGAAGGTGCAACTTACCTTACCTTAGGGGTCGGAAGCAGCTAGGCAAGACACAACGGCAGCCAGAGGCAGGTACGGGCCGGCACGGTCAGGGCAGGCGGACCTTCCGCCGGGCGGCAGTAGCAGTCGAGGTAACCCACAGGGCGTGGAGGGAAGGCGCGGCGAGCAGCGGCGACCGCACCTGAGTTCCAACGAGCAAGTTCCTGGAACATCATCCCATTGGGACACACCAAAACACCTGCCCCGTTGAAGCCCTCGGTTTCTAGGCCGTGCCAGTTCGGAAACTTTGCTGTGCTGCATCCCTGTCAAAGGCCGAGGCGGGCACTGGCAACACTGTGCGCAAGTTTTCTCACTGGGGAAGACCAGACGTGCCAGAACGACGGCAACACCCTTGCGATTGGACAACTTTCTCGGCGAACCACGATCTGCCCCACACTAGCCCACCGTTATCCCGGGGGAAGCTGCTTCCATTTCCACGTCCACAGGTTGTACCTCTGTACCTTCTCCATCTCAACTCCCGAGCATGGAGTCGTGGTCGCAGCCAGCAGGCGCGTCAGAAAAAGCAGGACCTGGCCTGGCCTGGCCTGCGGGAGGAGGCAGCAGTGAGGAGACGGACGAAAAAAAGGACAGGGCCAACAAAAGAAACAAAATTAATCCCCTCGAAATTCTCTCTCTCAACCCCTGCTCATGCGCTGCAAGCTCTGGCTACTGCCACGACGACGATCGAACCACCCATCCGTCATTGCCTCTTCGTCCCTAGCCTACCTGATCTGAGTTGCCTGCCCTGAAGGTACCTTCGTCCCTGCCTCACCCATCTCTACGGCGGCAGGTACATCTCTTTCCCCCCTCCACTCCACTCCACTCCAGGTCTCCTCCTGCCGGCGTTGGGTCGGTCTTCTTTTCTTTGCCCACCTCACCCTGCTGCTGCACCTGCACTCGGTGCACTCACTGGCCGCCCTGCGACTCGCCTTCTCATTACAAATCTGGCCGGCTCGCCGCATTTTGCCCCTCCGCCTGCCGAAGCGAGTCGATCTGAAGCACCACCATCTGCAACTGCCCTTGAACTTCACCCGCGCCCGCTACCCGCACCACGCTCCCAGCAAGCACCAAGCACCAAGCACCCGCACCAACCGCTCCTCCTGCTGCACCAGCTGACGACACCAGCCGCTGCGTCTCCCAACAGCTGCCGGTCGCCCTTCAGTCACAGTCCCAGACACAGACAAGCAGACAGAGACAAACGTGAACGGCACCACTGGCCCTTCTCCGTCTCTCGCCTCCTTTCCCCGTCCAACGTTCGCTACTCGTCTCCCGGCTCGGCCGTTGCTGACCTCGCCGTACCTGGCTCCACGTCCTCTCTCCATCGAATTTATTACGTTTGCTTTCCCCGCTGTTGGCAGACCACGAGCCCCATCCAACCATCCCGCACACCCCGATCACCCAACTTGGACATCGCCGTTGCCCGCTCCGTGACAGACCCCGATCGGCCCGGAAGGATTCTTGCTGCGCCTGCTCTTCGTCGCCGCGCCTCACCGTCGTTGGCCTTCACTCATTGACTTGTTCATCTTACATGTCGAAACCCCTCACCTGGCCATGACCACAATGACCGAAGCTGCAGTACCGCCAATTCCCGCTGCCGCGGCAAAGAAGAAGTTTGCGACCCCTCCTGTTAAGATTGCTTGCCTCTCCTGGTAAGTCGCCCTCTCCCAAGCCAGGCGCCAGCTGTCCCTTCGGATGAGTATGCGGCGCAGCAGAGCATGCTGCCGTTGCCAACGGGCGTGGCGTTCTTTGCGATGGTCAAGCAACCGTGGCTCACATAGGAACAGCCGAGCTTCACGAACACGATGCGATGGAGCAAGCCCTTGTGCCAGTGTAAGCATTTGCTGTTCCCAGTCTCAGGATTTGCTGTAAATGAAACCCGTCTTGTTAACATGAAGCAGTGTAAGAGCCGGGGGCGCGACTGCGTCTACAAACCGAGCAGAAGAGGAGGCGCTCGTGTGAGGCGGAAACCGCGGCCGGTTGATGAACTGGCTCAGCAGAACCCGGGCTTCAATGGCGACATGCCCGTCGATGAAGCCACTCCTCAAGACCGTGAGTCGTCATGCTTGTGACTGTGACCGAGTAGACCTCTGACTGTAGCCGTAGCCATATCCCTCCAGAACTACATCGACCCTGGAGCAGGCCTGAAGCAGCTTCAAGACTTTTTCCAGGACAGCGATTTCATCTTTGACACCTTGTTCATGTCTGGCGTGCCCGGAAGCACCAGCGGCGAGAGCGCATCGGAAGCCTCTTTCAACTTTCCCACTCCCCCAGTTCCTGTCGCCAGGACATACAAGAGCGACCAAGCCATGTAAGTCCTGCTGAATGACTTGAAAATACCAGCAGCTCACCATCTCACAGTCTGGATGCCTACTACATCTTCATTCACCCTTTCTTTCCGATTCTCCCTCCGCCTAGCGGTCTGCCCATCGACCAGGCTGTACCGCACTTCCAGAATGACACGGAAACATTCCAGGACGAGTACCAGCCCTCGACCCCGGTTAGCTTGGCTATATCCGCCATCTTGGCTCTGATTCCATGCGCCAACGACACCAACCACTTAAGCAAGGAGTCTGTAGTTTTTAGACGTCGTTACGCCCAGTACCTGGCACAATGCGCTGTCGAGAGCATCGAAATCGAGTCCGAAATCCCCGACTCATCCATCGAGCCACCAAAGGCCCTGAACGAATCGCCAGATGATTTTCCCCGGCAGCAGTTCCACCCTGGCGTGCCATTGGAGCTGGAAAGCGTCATCGCGTTGGACATTCTGAGCGTCTACGAGTATGCACAGAGAGGCAACTTGAAGAAGATGCAAGCGAGGGCGGGCCAGGCACTGGTATCCGCCATGTCCCTAGGAATCCACGCCTGCACCGAGGACGACATTTTTGCCGAGGCTCGACGAAGAGTCTGGTGGATGACGGTGCGTTTTGCTGATTTAGATCTTGTGTATTTTGCTAACGCGGCGTCTGGCAGTATATCTGTGTATGTCAAGGGTCCATCGTCAGTAATACTGTGTGTAATCCCCCTTCATCCCACTTGAAGCACTCACTGACGCTGTGGAGGAGCCGACCTTTTCAGTGTTTACGCCGAGCTACACGACCAAGTACCCGACCATCCAATCAGACCCTGAGGTATGTACTCAATGTGCCTCTTTGGGACGAAGGCTCACCATTTGGCAGGCCTTTGCCGTGTATATTCAGGCCCAGCAGGCTATCCTGTCGGCAACACAATTCGTGATTGAATTGAACAAGACGGTCAAGAGTGGTGGCGACATGACGCGCATCTACGCGAGGATGAAGGAGATGGAGCAATACTTGGAGCCCCTCAACACGGTTGCAGATTCGTGGATACTGCAGTCCACCACGACGACGCCACTCGATCCCACTGAGGAGATCCTTTCCCGGTCTCTCAGGTGTATGGCTCGGATCAAGCTGAATAGGCGAGTATCTCCTATCAAACTCCGAGCAATTGCTGACCACCAACAGCGCGCGGATCAAGATCCACCGCTACTGTGCCTTCTTTGACATGCCCGTGTTTTCAGGAAAGCACTGCGACTTGAAATCCAAGACCGACAATGACAACGGCATCGAGCCCAAGTCGTGGCCTTCGTGCTCCTGTAGCACAATGATGACCCTACCTTCGCCGCCAGTGACTAGCTCAAATGGAACAGCCTCGCCACCAAACTCGGGAAAGAGATCTCCTCAGTCGGACCACTCACCCAATGGGAGCCCGCTGGCGACTTTTCCTTTCAGCAGCCACCAGTCGGCTAAGATTTGCCTCAAAGCGGCTATCAACATTGCTAATTCGTTCGACGACTTGCCATACCCGAACCCCTTTGGCCAGCTCTGCCCTGCGCCGTGTTATCTGGCGCCCACGTCGACTATTGTGTGCCCTAGGACCATGCCTTCCTTCGCTTGCTGCGCCATGCAGTGCGCGTATGCATTGCTGATGGTCAACCACAAAACAAAGGCCATGTATCCCGAGAATGCCCTGACAACCCCGATGGTGGAGAGCTTGCTTTTGCGCCTGCAGACGGGCTTGGCCTCCATCTCCGCGACGCTTGAAAACTATGCTACGGCCTTTGAGGCCCTCGGCGGGATGCGCGGTGAGACAAACCCCTTGCAATCTATCTATCGGTAACCTGCGCATGCTAATTTCCTCCTGCAGACCAAATTCGCAGTGTTATCGAACCCACCATGATGTTCGATCCCACGGTCTAGGAAACGGCCGAAACGACCTGACCTGCGGTCGCCCATTCGCTTCCGGTCTCCTTGCAGGGAGCCTGCATATCGCCTGCATCTCGCGTCCACGCGTGACGGCATCCCACGGCATCTCAATGGGATCTGGGCGCGGGCTCTGAGTGGGTCTCGGGAATATCTGTACGAAAAGGGGGGCATCGCGGGGTTTGCTCGTTTATCAGCAAAGGCCGGCGATCGATCAACCCCCCGTTGCACGACGACGCAATGCAATGCTATGCGATCTGGGTATCATGCTGGAGGGGTGTCGAACGATTGAAACGAAATGATGGAGTTGCTTCAAGGGCGTTTTGGGAGCATTTAAGATATTGGGCTTTGCCTGAGACGTTTGCCTGTGTTGGAGCAAAAGTTTCAACGATTTCGGAGTTGAACCGGAACTCAAAGCGACGACTTAGACTATTATTACCCCTCTCAATCATTCCTTACCTTTTTCTCGTCCGTTCAAGATGCCTGTCTCTGGTTCTCTGAGTAACGTGGATTGGTGAGGATCCCGGCCGGCTTTTGGGCCTTCAAAAACTGACACATTGGCCGAACAGGGAGCCGGATTTCGCCACGCTCGCCGTCCACGGTGGCCAAGAGCCGGATCCCGTCAACGGTTCAAGAGCGGTCCCTCTGTATCAGACAGCCGCCTACAACTTTTCCGATGCTGCCGGTGAGGACTTGGTGTGTCACGGTGACACAAGGCACGGCTAACGAGTAGCAGATGGCGCCAGCAAGTTTGCATGGAGCAAAGATGGCTACGTCTACACGCGCATGGGCAACCCGACCAACAGCGTCTTCGAGTCACGCATGGCGATGCTCGAGGGCGGCGTCGGTGCCGTCGCCGCCGCCTCGGGCCACGCCGCGCAGTTCATGGCCCTCACGAATTGCTGTGAGCCAGGCCAGAACTTTGTGAGCACCAGCTGGCTGTACGGCGGCACCTACAACCAGTTCCGAGTATACATGAAGAAGTTCCATATCGACGTCAAGTGGGTTGTGGGCAACGAGCCTGCCGACATTGACGCGGCCATCGACGAGAACACGCGGTGCGTCTACATCGAGACGATCAGCAACCCGAAGCACAGCGTGCCCGATATCAAGGCGATTGCGGACGTCGCACACAAGCATGGAATCCCGCTCATCGTCGACAACACGTTTGGCATGGGCGGCTACCTGTGCCAGCCCATCAGGCAGGGCGCCGACATTGTCACGCACTCCTGCACCAAGTGGATCGGCGGCCACGGCACGTCCATGGGAGGCATCGTCATCGACGGCGGCCACTTTGACTGGAGCGCCTCGGGTAAGTTCCCAGGATTCACGGAGCCGGCGGACGGATACCACGGGCTGAAGTTCTGGGACACATATGGATACAAGGCTCTCTCAGCCAAGGTTCGCATGGACAGCATGCGCGACTTGGGACCCTGCATGAGTCCCTTCAACGCGTGGCTCTTCCTGCAAGGACTCGAGACTCTCGCCCTTCGAGGACAACGCCACGCGGAGAACACACAGAAGCTGGCCGAGTGGCTCGAGGCGCATCCCAGCGTTAACTGGGTGCTCTACCCCGGCCTCAAGTCGCACCCCGACTACGAGTACACCAAGAAGGTCCTTACTAACGGCGCAGGCGGCGTCCTGACCTTTGGCGTCGTAAGTCTACTTCCCCATCTATCTTCCTGGGCCTCAGCTAACCACCCGCCAGGCCGGCAACATTGACCAAGTGCGCGCCGTCGTCGACAACCTCAAGCTGTGCTCGCACCTCGCCAACGTCGGCGACGCCAAGACGCTCATCATCCACCCGTGGGTGACGACGCACCAGCAGCTGCCCGACGAGGAGAAGATCAAGGGCGGCGTGACGCCGGACCTCATCCGCGTGTCGGTCGGCATCGAGGGCTTCGAGGACATTAAGAAGGACTTTGAGCAGGCATTCGCGGCTGCCGGGCTGCCGGCGGCGGTGAAGACGGGCGGGGACCCGTTTGCGGCGGCGCTGAACCTCGTGTCGGGCGGGTTCATGGGGAAGAGCTCGACGGGCGCGCCGAGACCCGGGACGGACGGCACGGTGCAGGTTAGTGCTTGAGACGGGGTGGCGCAGCATTGAGGGAAGCGAACTTTTTTGAAAGCATCTAGTTTCGTTTTTGGTGGCAGCGTCCAAGAATAAAATACATTCAATTTTGCTGAAGATATGGCATTTACCCAAGAGGAGAGAAGCCCCCCACGTCTGTATCTGCGTCCGGCCCTCCCCCGGGATCTCAGACATTGAGATGCGTGTCATCGGCGGAGCTGTCGTGCAGCAAGGTGCCGGTCCCAGTGCTACCCCTCCCGCGTGGGGCGGGCAGAGAGAGACAGAAAGAGCTTAATCGCACCTCCTTCTCGAGGAACCTTGACGGTTCTTTTGCAACAGTGAGTGGAAATAACCTTGTGGGTGCGATGGAAGTTTGGGGCTATTAAAAGGCTTCTCCCGCTGGTTTCACTGTGAACTATCAGATGACATCAGCGCAAACACAAACCTAAGGGACGACCCCTCACGATATCAGAAGCAAATATGCCACCTGCGAACCACAACGTCAACCTACTAGTCACCACGGGCATCGTCAAGCCTAGTATCCCGTATACTGCTCCCAACACCGCGTCGGCAATAGGCAGCAGCACCGCACGCGGTAGTTCTTACTACGCCCAAGCGGATAGGTGGCCTGTACCTCGACCGGTCGAAGCTCCGACCAAGGACGACAGCCTCTTCGATTACATCGCCCGTTCTGCCCCGCCGTTCGTCGTTATCCGTGTCTCCCGCTCGCCTGTCGCAGCGGAGACATCGAGCACTATCCTCACCCCCGACGAGGAGGAAAAGGAAGCAGACGAGGGCAGCAAAGACGCAGACAAAGAAGCGCCAACACATACACCCACCAGGCCGACAACAATGCCGCAGCGCAAGCCGTACGACGGGGGCGGCATCGTGCCCCCGCACATCCGCACGGCCATCGCCGAAAGCGAGAATGCATCCACATCCGCGACGGAGGCCGCAAAGACACCCGAGACAAAACCCGCCGCAAAGGAGATTCGCGCGGAAGAGTTTACGCGCAGCGGCTTCGTGCCCGCCTACGTGCTGAAGAACATCGCGACAAGCGAGGCGTCGACGGCTGGGCAGCGCGCGGATGCGCAGGGGACGTTGGATACGGACGAGGCGCGGCGGGAGCGTGGGAAGGATCGGGATGCGGAAGGGCAGGGGGAGAAGTAATTGCCAGAAGGGCTGATGAGCAGATTGCAGAATTCAACACAAAACACTTGGCCGCGTTCTAGAAAGACGGTGACATGTTCCGCGTCCAAAGATGGAATCATGCTAGACCCCTGGAATGCACCCATCGCGGGGTCCACCGCCAATTTTGGCGCGAATTCGGGTGCGACTGACCAACACCTCGCGCCCATTCGCCCATTGACAAATGTACGTTTCCCCCCCGGTCGGATCATTCGACAATCGGGAACCCGCGGCGGCAGGGTCAGCACCAGCACAGCCAGCCCGCCCCATTCCGATCTGACGGTGCTTGTGTTGAATGGATGCTGCCATTTTCGAAGGGGTCGCGTGCACCCCGCCAAAACTTTGTGCCTGCGCGGTGGGTCCAACGCTGCCAGCTTTCAATGTGTGCTGGATGACTGCTTCCAACTCAGCCCGAAAGGTGGCGCCAGTTGCAAATCAGACCACCATCATTCGGTCCCGCTTCCCTTCCCATTTTCTCCCCTGGTGCCATCAGCTCATCGGCGCATTATGACGCCAGCGCGACAAAGCGTAGGGAAGTGTGAGAGTGGTTTTCGCGATGCTCAAATATCGTGTGGTCCCTGGGGTCGAGTTTGGGTGAAGAAGTTCCTGGATTCGAAAACAACAGTTGGAGACGCAGCAATTTGGCTTTTTCGGAGAAAAGACTGTCGCCGTGACTTACACGAACCATCGCCAACAACATCACGACCATATTGATACCCTCAAAAGCTTCATTCGCATCCCGAGAAAAAAAGAAGAAGGAAAAGCAACACCGCCAAAATGGGTCTCATGCGCCACATGAACCACGTCGACCGCGAGGAGCTCTACACAGACCTCGAGGCCCGCATCCGCTACCTCCACAGCTTCCTCGACTTCTCCTCTAGTCCGTCATCCCCTTCCCCTTTCCCTGCCCTGCCCATCGCCCACTCGCCGTCTTCCAAACACAAAACTAACAGCCGCCGCAGAAGACATCGAAGCCCTCATCTCGGGCGCCAAATACGTCAAAGCCCTCATCCCCGCCGTCGTCAACATCGTCTACCACAAGCTGCTCCAGTACGACATCACCGCGCGCGCCTTCACCACGCGCTCCACCTCCTTCGAGGGCCCCATGGACGAGGTCCCCGACGACAACTCCCCGCAGATCCTGCACCGCAAGATGTTCCTGCGCGCGTACCTCGCCAAGCTGTGCTCCGACCCCAGCAAGATGGAGTTCTGGGAGTACCTCGACAAGGTCGGCATGATGCACGTCGGGCTCGGCCGCGCGCACCCGCTGCACGTGGAGTACATCCACCTCGGCGCGTGTCTGTCCTTCATCCAAGATGTGATGACGGAGGCGATTTTGAGTCATCCGAGGTTGCATATGCAGCGCAAGATTGCGTTGGTCAAGGCGCTGGGGAAGGTGATTTGGATCCAGAATGATCTGATGGCGAAGTGGCATGTCAAGGACGGCGCGGAGTTTGAGAGGGAGGGCGGGGAGGAGCCGGTGATTGAGGAGGAGGGGTATTTGCATGGACGGAAGATTTTGGAGAGCGAGAGCGATGAAGAGACGGTCGCGGCGGGGCCGAGGAGCCCGTCGAGGATACCCAGGACCGAGGGCGTGTGTCCGTTTACGGGGATTGCGAAGGGGGTCGAGGGGTTGAAGGTTGATGGGGAGAAGGAGGAGAGGGTTGAGGCTTCGGCGTAGATGAGGGCATGATATGGCGTTTTTGGGATATGCATTGGGCTTGGGTTTGGGATAGAATAATGATTTCATGGTTCATTTCATGTGTTTGTTCTTGATGCTTCTTGGATGATGATGATGCCTGTTACCGTGTTTGGCACCATGAAGATGCGTCTTTCATCGAAGAGAGACAGTGTACAAAGTGTTACGAATACAAGGCAATCGACGCAGTGAGAAGTGAAGAAGGCCTTTGGTTTGGGAAGCATCACTGGCAAAAGACGGCATCGCCCATCAAATGTTCTTGAAAAGTCTGGTTCATCAATCTAAGGAACAAAGCGAAAGTCTTCCAAGCTGTCTGAACGCAAGACACAGCATCTTGTCCAATTAATTCCACCCGCCAATCTTGCCAACCCAATTCCTCTTGCTGGAAGATCCATGATATCGACGCGTTGGGCAGCCTACGTCATTCTTCCCTTTGGCCAACTTCAGCAACATCCATATCGTAATGCCCAGCCCAATTCGCACTTCAGCGTCTCAATATTTCCACCGATGGCGTATCACAGCTGAAAGTCCGGTCCCTCAGTCCGGCGTCTCTTTCGACCTTGATGCATCGAGACTTGTCCAAGCACATTCTCCATCGTGCCCCTCAGCTCCTCCAGCTTCGTCTCCAGGTTCGTGATGTACGCATCCTTGTCGTGGTACCGCCTCTTCATGCCATCAGCCTCGGCCACCTTCGCGGACCACTCCTTCTCCAGGCTGGCCATCTCGTCCGTCTTGTCTGTCATGGCAGCCTTCATCGCGTCGAGCTTGCTCTCGAGGTCGGAAGCCCGCTCGTGCGCTTCGCGGGAGATGTGGCGCTGGCGTTCCAGCTCTTCGCGGCACAGCGGTTGCTGGCTATTTGGACTCGAAGTCGATGGTTGGCTAGGAGGCTGGGTCTGGTAACGGATGATGTTTGCTTGGAGTTGTTCGATGAGAACGTCCTTGAGCTTGATCTTGTCCTCAAGGGCGGTCATGTGTTCGGTTTGCTTGTTGAAGCTCTCTTGTTCGTTGATGCGGGAAAAGTAGACCTCAGATTCGAGGAGGCGGTTGTGATCATCTGCAACCCAAAGTGCGCTTTCCAGGTCTGCCTGCTCCACCTCAAGCTGCTGTTCGCTCTCCATTAGCCGCTCCAAATGTTGCTCTGCAAACTCCAGTTGATCTTCCAATTGATTCTTGCTGTCTTCGAGACATGCTTGTCTCGCCTTCAGGTCCTCGTTGACTTGTTTCATCGCCGCAGACATGGTCTTGAGCTGCACGTTTTCCGACTGCAGTTTCTTGTTCTCGGACTGAAGCTTGTTATTATCTGACTGGAGCTTCTGAGTCTTTGAATTGAGATGGTTGTTGGCGTCTATGAGTTTCTTGTGTGACTTGGGCGGCAGCTGACTGATTTTCGATTCTAGCTCACGGTTCTCAGAACTCAGCTTGGCGTTGATGGCTGTGAGCTCATTGTTCTTCGTTGTCAGCCGGGCAACCTGTAACTCCAGTTTGCAATTCTTTCCTGAGACCTGGTCGACGAAAGTTGGCTGCTGCTGCGGTGCGTACCACCATTGTCCCCACGATTCCGCTGGTCCATATTGCGGCTCGAGTGAGTGTGACCATTGCATCGGCGGTTCAGCTACTGCATGCTGCTGGTTTGTGATCTTGCTTCTCAGCCCCTCGAGTTCCTTTTCAAGGTGAGCTACTCGTATCTTCTTTTCCTCCAGCTGCTTTCTTGTCTCGAATGAATCGAACTCCTTTTGCGCATTGTTGTATCTCATAAGATTCCGCTGTTGTTCCGAAGTCTCCAGTTGCTTTCTCAAACTCTCGATCTCCTTGGCCATGAGGTGATCGTGTTCTCGCAGGCGTACAATCTCTTCGGCCATAACACGGTTGTTTTCTCGATACCGAGCAACATCCTGTTCGCTCCAGGTAAGCTGGTTCCTGACGTGATTGAGCTGGCTCGACTCCGATGGAGTCTTAGCTCTCAGAGCCTCATACTCCGAGTAGGGAACCATCTTCTCATTTCTTCGTTGCAATTTGTTCAGATCTTTCGCAAGGGCAATGTTCTTCCGCTGGAGCTCGAGCACCTCTTGCTCGAAGGCTTTCTGGATGATGTTGAGTCGCGTGGAGTCCCAGTTGAGCTTGCGCTTGTTGACCCTGTCGGGACCGATGCATTCCTTATCGCAGCAGTGATGATAGGCCTCCCCGCCGCTGGTGACTGTGTACCACTTCAACTCTGGGGATCCGGGCGACTTGGTGTCTTTGTTGGGGTGAATTCGGCATGCTTTCGTGATGACAAAGCCATTGTGGCGCTCGTCCTGGATCGTGTGGGCGATGATGGTGATTGCGACAATGTCGATGATGTTGTTGCCGGATCGGAGCACGTTGATGACGAACTTCCAGCGGTCGCGGGAGATGCGGAAGGTGGTGCCGGTACCGGTGAACATTCGCAGGAGCAGACTGAACTCGGCATGGTTCGAGGTAGGGAAGTCGTAGTGTGGTTCGGAGAGGTGGCGGATGACAGCTTTCCATCGACTCCAGGCCTCTTCCGAGACGTTGAGCTTGAGGTTCATGGTGACGATGCTAGAATGTCGGCGACTCGGTAGGTAGCGATGATAGCAATGGGGTTTGAAGTTGAATGAATGCTTGTTGGGGAGAGTAGATGTCGCAGATCAATGGCGCATGGTCGGCTTTGGGAAGGAAGCAGCGTCCGAGGTGAAGGTGTCGAAAATGCCTCTCTGCAAGGTGAAAAGCGCGGCAGTATTCAAGGAGAGAGCCGATCGAGAAGAAGTAAAGTAGCACTTTGAGTGAATCTTTGAAGACTCGGTTGTTGTCTGAGACAAGTCAGCAGCAATTGTATGAGGTGCGAAAAGAAATCCGGTCACATAAGTGAAGGATGAGAAGGCAAGAGCGGTGGTTGCCGGGGAAATACTTGCACGTCTGAAAAGTGCCTGACGTGAACGTGAAAATTTGGGTGCCCCGTAAGTTGCGCAAAGATGGAAACCGCAATGAATTTCAGAAAACAATTTTTGCTTTTATCTCTATCTATCTAAGTGCTAGCATACTTGACCCCGTGAAAGAAAGGCGACGGCATTGGAAACCATCCGGAATTCTTCCCAGATCCGCCATCCGCGAGCTAGCTGTATGAATCCTACATCTCCTGAACCTCCCTGCCTCCCAGATAATCTCAGTATTCGAAGTCCGGCCCCTCAGTACGACGTCTCTTGCGTCCCTGGTACGTCGAAACGTGTCTGAGCACGTCTTCCATCGTTCCTCTCAGCTTCTCGACGTGCTCCTCAAGGCTCTCCACGTAGGCTTCCTTATTCTTGCATCCGCACTTCTCCTTGCTTTCTCCAGCCTCCATGAGCTCCTTGACATGCTGCTCTGTGGCTGAGGCCAGCTCATCAGTCTTGTTCTTCAAAGTCTTTTTCGTCGTTTCCAGCTCTCTCTCCAGCTGGGAGATACGAAGCTGCTTTCCTGACTCCTTGCTTGCCACATCTTCAAAGTTCGCCGTGGCACTAAGCTCTTCGGCGAGCTCCTCGAAGAGGGCGTCCTCATCGAAGTTTTCGTCCTTGATAACGTGCTCTTCATCGTCCGTTTCGTCGTCGCTGGGTGATTGAGGCAAGTGTTGTCCTTCATCAGACACTTGCGTGTAGATGGCCTCTATACTTCTGTTTTAGTGCGTGTTCTTAAGACTCGAGCTGAAAGAAAAGCTGGTTGGCTCACCTTGCCTATCCTTATGTTGATGGAAAGCCTCTTGAAGCTGACCGGTGACTTGATGAGCACTGTTCTCTGCAAGCTCTTCTCCATTCGCACCGTCGGAATGTTGACCCGTCAGCTGCCTCAACTCTTCCTCTGCGTCTTTGGCCCGAAACCGGGAAAGCTCAAGATCTTCCTTCAAATCTGCACTGATCTTCTCAAGTTGCTCTTTCTGTTCGGTGATTCGCCGGACATCCATTTCAAGCAGAGAGACATGCGCTTGCGCTTCAACCAGCTCGACATTGAATTCAAGCCTCTTCTTCTCGTCTGAGTGATTCTTCTTCATCTTCTTGATCTCTTCTTCTTGGGCCTTGGTCGTAGCCTTCGATGAGGCTGCCTTCTCCGAAAGTTTATCGCCTCGAGCCTGATCAAATGGTCCGGATGGAGCCCAGTGCTGCAAGTGGTCAATTGCTTTGCTCACGAATGAGATTGCTTCCTGTGTGCTGATGTTTTCGTTGACTTGGATTGTCTTGCGTTCGCCTTTCGAAGCTAGAAGGGTGGCGGCCTTCTTGCATAAAGCGGCAAGGTTGCGACTCAGCTCGTCATTCACTCCCAGTTCCTCCGTGCTCGTCATCGAGGACTCTTTCTTCGGCTCCAATTGTGCAAGTATCAGTGCCTGCATTTTCTTCTCCTTTGCGACTTTGACGATCTTTTGTCGTGAAGCCTCTGCGATAGAATGGGGGTGGCGACCAGCGTCATGAGTTGCCTCCATCCAGCCCTGTTTGCAGCACATAGGCTCAATGTCGCCAGAGCTTTTGATGAGCACAGTCTCCATTCCACGAATGAAATCGACATGGTCGGTAGCTCTTGGGTGGTCGGCTAACAACTCTGTGATCACCTTACCTCCGTGGAGTCTGTGATTCAAGCTAAACTTGATGATACTGAAAGCGACGACGTCAAAATTGTTGGGAGAAGTCTCAGTCAGGTCGATGATGAATTGACGGCCGTCATCATCGAGTCGAATGGTATCGCCGTTCTTCAACCCGCTGCAGATGTGATTCTCGAATTCGGCTCGGTCGCAGAAGGGAAAGGACTCCTGGTTGTAGAAGTAGACAACTGCAGGCGCCCATCGCTCCCAAACATCGGAGAGCAGCTGAGGCGCCATGGTGACGCTAGTGTGCTTTGTTGCTGTTGCGATCAAGTCGGAGGAAGTCAAATCAAACTTGGAGATGAATGAGCCTGAAATCGAACGAGGGTGAATTAGCTGGGGAAGCGAAAGTGAGCAAGACCGCGTACCAAGAATGGAGCGAAAGCGAAATCATCTGCGGCCAGGTGAAAGACAACAAAGTACACGGAAGAAAGAAGAACGAAACAATTTCTTCCTCGAAAGAAACGAAACGTCGCGTTTCCTGGGCAGTCCTCAGTGTGCTGAGTGAGGTGGTAGCTGAGGAAATTTCAATGAGGTGCAAGGTGAATGGGAGTCTGCCCAGGCTGGAAGGAGCAGTAGGCGGAAAGGTAGGTATGTTAAGGCAGCCTTTGAAAAATGGAAAGCGCATTTCAACCGACCGAAGGAAATTTCCGTCCTCACCTTCTGCGGCAGGAAGGTAGCGGATTAATCACGTTTTTCCAACAGCACGGCAACACAGTCAGGATTTGAGGAAATATCAAATTCCAAAATCAAAATTCTCAGAGTACGAAAGGCAGTCTGCAAAGTGGTGTAATCCTACAAATTGCTTCCTCGAGGAAGTTTGAGAAACCAATCCCTCGCCCGGTTCAGATCTAGCATTCATGCCCAGAGCATCCGTTCCCGCCTTGACAACATCCCCAATCCCAGCTTTCCTGTGTCACATCTCGTTTCCCAAGTCATCCCTTTCACCTGTCAGATCTGTAAGTTCCCAGATCTTATGAGATCATTCCTCTTCGCCAACCCTGTGCTCAGCCTTTCCAGCTGCGCTTCCACAATCTCATCATCCTGCTCAAATTTGCCAAAAGCAACAAATGCGCCATACTGAATGGCTTTCTTCATCTGCTCAGACACATACTGGAACACAATGCTCCGATAATAGCTAGTGCTTGTGATCAGCTCTGAGCTGGTGGTGTCTGAACCAGCGCCTGGCGATCGGGATGAATGTTGCCATTGTGGTCAGAAGCATGAGTGCTGATGACAGATGCTGCATGCGTGTCGGAGTCTCCAGCTTGGACCAGAAGGTTGACAGGGATCTTGTATTGCGGTACTTCTTCCAGTATAAAGTCCTCCAGGCGTTTCTTTTCCCTGCGATATTCGACCAAGCATCGATTTCTGTGCGTCAATTTTCCCTCGAGCTCCTTTATGTCGGTTTTCTGGCGATCAACCACTCCTTTCAGCACAGTGTTCTCAGTCGCCAGCTCTATGGCCTTGTCGTCTTCGATCTTCATGGCGGATTTCAAATGTTCGTTGAGGTCTTCGTTGTGATTTAAAGCAATGTTCTTCTTTTGTCTGGCGACCTCTTCGCGCAGGTTCTGCAGCGAAACATCCTTGATGGCGTACTGACGACGAAGGTCATCAATCGCCTTGTCCTTCTTCGTGACAAGCATCTTCTTCTGAATGAGCTCTCCCCGTAAGGTTTCGATCTCTTGCTCCATACTCTTTGTACGGGATTCGGCGGCAGATGCTCGACTTTCGGCAGCAGATGCTCGATCTTCCGCGGCAGCTGCTCTATCCTCCGCTTCCGCCTTTCCGTCCTTGTACTTTGCCTTACTTTTTCGGAGTTTCTTGACAGTCGGCGAATCCGCGGTGTCATCCTCAGTGAGATCGACCAGCGACACCTTCCGCTTCAATAGCTTTTCGCTCTGTCTCTCTTGCAGCTGTTGTCGAAGTGAAGCAATCTGTTGAACATTCCAATGGTGGTTGACACGGAGTCGAAGCACGTCCCAGTTTCCCCAAGAAACCTTAGTGATATATGGTCCAGTTATTTCACCTCCGCAGCAGTGCTGGTAGCTGTGGCCATTGCCGGTGATCCTGAACCAGCCGATGTTTCTGTCGTCAACAACCTTGTCTGCATTTTGTGGGCCATGAATCTTGCATGTTTGTGTGATGAGCCAGCCATCAGCGACTTTGCCCCTCTCAGGTCGCCTAATGACGCAGATAGTGGTGATTTCTTCGATATTGTCGCCAGATCGGACTATGTCGCATGTGAATCGCCAGTGATCTTGGTTCGTACAGAACGAGATCCCTTCGCCGCCATAGCAGGACAGCAAGACGTTGAGCTCTGATTTGGTGTTGACAGGGAATTCGTACTCGGCATGAAGCTCCTCTAGGACTGGCTTCCATTTGGCCCAGACTTCGGAAGGGATGAGAAGCGGCATCTTGGCGAATGGGAACGATCGGGTAGTCGTCTTGGGTGATTGATGAATCTTGGAAATTCTGGAAGAGAAGGGCGTCAGCCATAGAGGAACGTTTGCGAGGAGCGGGAGACTTGCTGTGTGAATCAAATGAATCACCGAATCCGCTTCTGAGTCGGTCTGTCCGCGGGCGAAGGTGAACTGAGAAAATGCAGATAGGAGAACGGTAGGTGGCGATGGAGTTGGGAGGCGCGCTTGCGGGCAGTGCGATGTTGTAGCCACCCCGTCAAGGCCGGCTCGAATTGTATCGATGAAACGTACGCGAGATATCTGGCGAATCTCTGAAAACTTCGGTCTCCAATTTCTCGAATTGAGACAGGTAGAGGTCGGCGTCGCAATGAAGTGTTGGTTGCCGCGGAGATGGTGGTGAGTTGAAAGAAGAGGCTGCCGGAGCAGCTGCGCTTGCTTTCGTCGACTGTATTGGTAGATAGAAAGAAGCGGCACTCGCTTGCTCTTTCCTCATGTTTCCTTGAGGCAGCAATCAAGTCCGGTCAGTTCACAGGACAAAGCTTGCCTTGAGTGGAGCTCCGTGAAAGAACTTTCCAGTGTCCTTCTGAACACACACCACTTGCAACATTTTGTGAACACCCCGACTGGCTGGACACATCATCAAAGCGAAAGCGTCCTTTCAACCATACTAGGCATTCTTTAACTCAAGATCAGCCTCTTAGCTGCTTGTCGCACGAAAGGACATAATTATGCTTGGATAAGTAAGGTATGTCCATCAGGAAAGCAACATCGATTCGAGGAGCCGAATTGTCCTCATTGGAGACGGGGTATGATAATAAATGTATGGAAAGCTCCCATAAGATACGTCCTGCAGGAGGATGTCATCCGAATGTTTTGTGTAATGCGCGCCAACTACTCAAGAGCCGCATGGTGGAACGATCGGCGCATTCAGACGAGCAACTTCTGGACAGGTTGCCAGATGTCGCCCAGGTAATTATTGATTCTCTGGTCAACGACCAAGAAGTCAGAAACAAATTCACTCATCTTGAACATTTTAAGAGAAGAAATTTAGACTGATGCCCTTCCAATACCATTAAGGGGGGCTCAACCTCTTTCTCAGCTTTCTTTTCGTAGCTGTACCGCATCATTGTATTTTAACATCGCTCAAAGGTCAAAACGTCGAACTATTGAGTGGCACTGCATTACTTTGATGTTTGTGAAATATATGGAAGCAGTCAAGATCTCTTACCTCCTCGTTGCTCTAGTCCTACACCACGTAGATGGCATACACGCAAGTGACTTTATCATGAGATTCAATACATAAATAACACAGAGGTTTCGCGTCGTTCTCGGACGAAATGTTTTGGTTAGCTACTAAAGTGTTTCATGAGCCATGCGCACGCCCAGGCTGTTAGCATAGCCGTCTTAGGTCCTGGGCAACAGATCAGCTCTGGCAGCATACATATGCGTCGCCGCCAACCACTACAGCTCATTTTCGCTCGTCTCATGGGAATGATATCACAGTTTCAAACGGTGTACAGAGTCGTTTCCGCCACATTCATGCCCGTCCTGCAGCAGCAGGTGTCGCCGTAAGTCACGCCAAAGTACGAATATGCCGGCAGAAAGAACGACGAGCGGTTGCTGACGGTGTTGTTGGTGGGTCACGCGGCGCTGGGCCCGGACCCGGCGATGGAGGCCCAGCAGGTGAAGGGGTCCACGTCGACGAGAACTTGGTGTCATCCGAGAGGGTGTAGAGAGTGAGATCTTGGCGCATGCTGATGTGTAGAGCTGGACTGAGGTAATGGAGTCTTGGTCGTAGCAGAGGCTTGTGTCGGAGCCCTTGAGAGCGGCCCTATAGGACTTGTACCTGTGTGATGCACTCGCTTGAGGTACTTAAAATCACTTTTGTTCCCTGTGTCCGCCATCATGATGAATTAGACAAGTCTTTGAGAAATTCGCTTACAGCACATGTTTCCAACTTGTTATTTATCTACGCTTGCTTGCTCGACATACATGAAAAGTCTTATGTAGGCACCTATAATTAGACCATCGCTCTAGATCCTTCACGGAAAGCGACAGCTTGAACCAAAAGGGCATCCAGCCCGGCCCGGACCGCATTGCCCAGGCTAAGTAGGCTAGGTATCAGCGATCGCCCATAACTAAGTCAACAGAGCCTGACTTACATCGCTTCGAGCAACGTTAAAGGGCACGCAGAAGCCTGTTGTGCCCTCGCCACCAATGTGGGCACACTTGTCGACCGCTTTCTGGGCGCAATTCTGCTGTTCCTCGAGAGGACCACACTTTTGGGGCTTTTCCACGTATTAGCAAACTGTGCAGTATGAATTCAATTGAAGGAACATACATTGGTGATGTCAACCGGTACACAAAGACCTAACTGTGCTCGGGCAGAGCTGCACAGTAGCCCAGTGGAGGTAAGAGTTGCCAGGAAATCCATGGTCATGAGTGATAACTGATAAATGTATGTTGCTGTGCAACTGAAGTGCCAATTCCAATCGATGACTAGAGTAGAGACGCGACGCTTTTTATGTTAGATGACAGAGTACGTTGGTGAGCGTAGTATGTAGAGTTGTGTCTGCGTGCAGCATTCAATCAGACGAACGGTTTGATAGACATAGGCAAGGGATTGTCACTTCCGAGTTCTGCTGATAGAGTTTGGGCTACAATGATTGTATTTCCAAGGGTCATGACTAAATATGCTGTAGCAGTAGGGGTCAATGAAACCCACAAACTGTGTATGAGGGGACCTGGCAGATAACAGAAAGCTCTGGGTATAGTCAGCTGTAAGAGGTTTCAGGCCAACTTATATGACTCGCGACGCCCACCGCATGCAATGGCTCTTTGGTTGGATCTGCTGCTTTTCGGAAGTGAATTTTGAGTTTCGGCATGCCCCCACTTGATGTAAGTGACTGCGTTAGAACTCGCTTTCGCTTTCGCTGGTCTACATGTAGTACCTAGATATGGTTTGGTGTCTCAAGACATCTCTGTTGAGTCTTAGGCTCGACACCGCCTTAGCTTAACATCACCTCGGCCGCTTGCGCTTGCTAACGGTTTGATGCTTACTGGGTTTTGATATTGCCTGGTGCCATGCCGACAATGTGGGACCGACTAAGTGCTCTGGTTCATCATGCGGGCGCGACAGGTATAGAAGCAACCACTGATGACATCCAAGACATTCGTGCATTTGTCAAACGAAGCGACCAAGCAATGCAGTTTGCAGAGCAGTCAGCGAAGGTCAGATCGTCACATGTACCATCTCCGATGTGGTAGTGCAGTTCTTGTACTGCGCCGCCTTGACACACTCCGCGTTCTGGATATGGCTGCCCTTTGCACCGCCCACGTGGGTACACGAGTCCCAAAGACCGGCCGACTCCTGAGAAGACTTGTGAATGTTCCATTCTACCAGCACGGCGCCGGCCGCCGGGCCTCAGTTCATGCACTAAACCTTACTTTACAAAGTCCTTCCCTCCCTAAAAGCAGCCCTTGCGGCAGCATTAGCGGCAGCAGCCCTCACCTCGTATGCCTGCCTCTGCTCCTCAGGTAAGGCCTCCCATATTCTCAACACCTCTTGCCAATCCGTTTCATGCTCATCGCGAAATATACTCAGTCCCGTGATAATGCCCGGCCGGGCGGGCACCCCAGGAAGCCTCTCTCCACGGCTCGCAAGGCCTGCCAAGTTCCTCGCAGGCCGCTGTCGTGGCCCCGCATGGGGAAGAGCGATAGGCGACGTCTCCTCAGCCAGAGTTGTCTCATGCTGAGCCCAAGCCTCGCGACGCAACGTCTCGGACCGCGCGCGGGAAGCTGCCTTTTGGTCTTCGGATAGTGCAGTCCACCCAGGCTCGACTTCGTAGCCTGACGCGCCCGCTTCATTAGCGAAGATTGTGATTGGATTTTGCGGCCTAACCATGGGCGGCCAGGGACCAGATCCGAAGCGGTCAGCGTTCGATGGAGGAGTTACCGCGGGCCATGGTGATTGGAGTCCGTTGGGGGGAAACAGAGACGGAACCTGGAAAGACGACCGGAGAGCAGCGACGTATTCGCTATTTTGAGCGGCTACTTCCTCGTCTGTGATGTTGCCGAGCCGATGCTGCTCATGGAGAGCTGTCATGGCGCTGATGATCTCGCTAAGCTGTTGTCTCTGTCCTAAGTGACCCTGCGGCGCGAAAACTTCCGGTCCTGGCATTGGAAAAGGCTGCACCAGACTGGGACCAGGAAGTGGCGATGCCATCTGCCGCATCGGGTACATCTGGCCCACTTGACGCATTAAAGCAGCATGAAAGACAGCGAAGTCCAGTTCCAACATGCTTGATAGCATTTCAGCGGCCTGCGCGAGCCCGGGCTGGGCGAGAGCTCGCGACATACCGACCTCGGAAAAGGTTGGGTCGTCTCTGGCGTGGAAGCGGCGTGCTAGCAGCGCAACCTCATCGTCGTTCAGCATCGTGTTGAACTGGCCGCGGTCTAGGGCATCCTTCCCCTTGGCGTAGAGCTCGGTTGGTGTGCCGAGCTGTCCACCGGTAGCTCGCTGGATGTTGGCGAGTACAAGATCTGGCGGCGGCCAGAGGAGGGCCTGGTGCATCTCCTCTGTCGTGAGAGAGTCGGGACGAGCGAGTGCCTTGCCCACTACGTCGCAGCGGCTGAGGAGAAGCTGCCGCTCCTCGTTTGTAAGCCGATCCTGCTGGTTCTGAGCTTTGATATACAGAGACTTTGAGATGGCGTCGCCGTGGGCTGATTGTGCGTTTCGTTGCCGTATAGAGCGTTCGATGGTCGCGTGTAGAGCTGCGTCAGCGCGCCGCATGGCCTCGGCCCCTTCCTTGCTATCGAGATCTCCGTCTACGTCAGGCCAGTCCTCTTCCCTGGTTCCGAGGGTTCCAAAGTTGGATCCCAGGTTGCGTGGTTCCGTCATCTCAAATGGGAGCGATTGTTGCGTGCAATTGGGAGGTTATCTCAAGCGGGATTAAGATCCCATCAACCAACAATGGCCTACAGAGGGGCATGGATTAGACTAAGCCCAAAAGTTCTTTCGAGCGTAACCCTTTTCAGTTTATTACAGGCTTATGTCAGCAGTTTGTCAAAGTTATTCGGAATGACTTTCCTCGCCATCAACCATGGGGCGTTGTACAACGCTCATATGGGACAGTTTCTGCCACTTGTCCACCAGCAATAATGCATTCTTGCGATCTCATAGTCACAACGAAGGACTTGGTACTTAGATCACCACTACGTTTCGGTACTGTGCCGACGAAAATAGATATTTTGATAATTTCCGGTCTGCTTGTTGACCATCAGTAACTCTCCGGCGGGAAATATCTGACCAGGAGAACGAAATCACTCATCGCCGCTTCTACAATAATTATGTCTCAGAATCCTACTGGTCAAGGGATCCTTCATCGTTGAAGTTGTCCTAATCTCAACTGCCCTGGAGGCAACCTACCCACAATGCACTCCAAGTCAGAGAAGGGATGTTAAAGTTCGAGAACAGCTTCGCCGGTTGGAAATAGAGAACGATGTGTCCTAAGGAAACAGCTTGGGTCTCACCAGTTACACGCCAACAGATATATCCCAGCGTGCTCTGGCTGCAGCGCAGTGCGTACTTCATATTCAACTTCAATCTCGCCGACACAAGCAGGGACCTCATAGCTCGGACAACTCCAACTTCCAGTTCCAGATTTGCCCATGGCTATCGTTCATCCATCATTTTGATGTGGTGTTGTGAAAATAACAAGCCATTTTCGTCTACCTCCGTCGCGAATAGCGGCTATCCCATTAGTAGAATCTCGAGACACCATGGCCAGCAAAGACATGTCAACCATGAGTTGACGACGTTAGCCATCGTCGTAATAACAGGGTGGGCTTTCAGCGGGTCAGAGTTAAGTTCAGCCATCGCTGAGGCTGTGATGTGGGTTTGAGAGAACGCATCATTGCCCAATTATCACGTGCTCACTCATAGATGAATGTGGCATTGTGAGTATATGTAGTCTCTGTTTCAAAAGGAGGATGTACAGCAATACTGGCAAAGAATGACACTACGAGTCGCGAAATTACCGTATACGTCCCCTGTTGAGTACGACACGGTTGTATGACTATGCTCTAATCGTTCCATTGGTTGTTATTTGATCATGTTCACATGGCTAGCCGTAAGCATAACGACTTGAATCTCGGTCGTCTTCGAATTTGTAGTCTCGAGAAAGATGATGAATGCTGTAATTGATTTTATCTGGAACGAGGCACTGCTGTGCATTATCCACAGAAACAACTATGTACAGCTCGACTACTCGATGATCAGTAATCGAGACGGTAGAGAAATGTTGTACGAGTAATAAGGGGTCAATCGCAATAAAAGCTGTACCGATTTGTATGGAGCTGCAGCATTTCCCGGGGTCCATCCATGCAGATAGGGGCGAATTGATCCAGCTGACACTTTCGCGCCTGAGCCAACAGTTGGTTGGTACTGAATTAAACACCCATCGCTATGACCAACGCCCGGTTTGTTACGGCGCGAAAACTATTCCATCAAATCCGAAAACGAGAATCCTTCCTTTAATGCGGGCCATCGTTGCCTGTACGCCGTACGCGTACAGTCGGTAGCAAGTCTTCTTTACCAGTGGGGGCCAAATGCCGATAACCCGAACGGGGCCGGATTGACTCGCGAACGTGTCCACGCCATGAAATCAAATGCCTCTCACAAATGAGTACGGCAAACGGTTCGATGAAATGATCGAATGTTCACGTTGATCCTGTGAAATCTGCCAGGTTTCAAGTTCCAAGATCTAGGCGCTCTGTCGGCATATATTTCCGTGCGTCGAGAGGGGTTGCGGAAAGTCCCCATTGGAAAAAGCAAATGTCACCTGTCCAACAGGGCAGCTCTTCCGCGCGCGGGATTACAACTGGAACAGTAAGCTTAAACAAATGCATAGACAGGATCACGCTATGGGTGACATTCATCGACACCGTTGCTTTGCCTTAGCCGTTCGACCAAGTTCGAGAACCATTCAGCCACAGTAAATTGCAAGGATGACGAGTTCGTCCCAGGTCTTGCCGCAGATCACACCATCTTTAATGTAGCCCCGGCATTTTTCGCCCCTGTTCCTGCAGCATGCTGACCGAATCGGGCCCAGAATTCTTTACTCCCATCCGAATAATGGCTAGATCGACGTCTTTAGGTGGTTAAAGTCATGGCCGGCTCTCTTTTCCGGAACCAAAAATCTTCCGTAGAACTTCTCCCTCCCCCCTGATGACCAATGGACGGGGCCTGCCGCTGGTGCGGCTTGGCTGGTCCCGGGGTGCCTGCAGTGCCCTCCGTTGGTTCCACTTTTGCCGGAGTACTCCGAAAGGCATCTCCCACGGGAACTCGGCCGTATTCGCAGTCAGGTCCGGGCCACTCTGACTCGTGACTCGCCAGCGGTGTCGCCAGCGGTGGGAAGTGTGTTTATCCCTCACCGAAGAAACCCCCCAGACCATCCACACCTGTAAAGGCCCAGAGGCTTAACATGAGATGGGACGAGTGGGCCAAAAGAAGGACGGATCATCTCATCTCTCAGTGGGACCTCCCGTAACTTTCGTCATGAAGCGCGCGGTTAGTCTTATCGATCAGAACGTTGCAGTCTTTATTGCATAGGAGCACAAAGTGGGACATGGCAGTATGGCGGGATAATAGTCAAGGCGATATATGCTCAGCCCCTGTCAGCAGGGCTATGGCAGATCACGGATGGGGAAGGAGATGTACAGGAACCGTAAAGACCTATCATGTTACAACATTGAGAGTTCTAGCGGATCTCTCCTTAGTCGAGAGTAAACAATGACAGCGTGTTGCACAGTGACCTGACATGGCGATTGTACCAGGGTATCATGGCGAAATCCGTGAGCACATGAGTATATATAAGTAGAGTTGCCGGCAACGATCATGACGATCTACTCCCCTCAAGCTACCGTCAATCTTTAGCCACTCATTTGGTCAGTCATTCACTATGGTCCGCTCCATCTTCGCTCTCGCCCTCCTGGGCGCCCAAGCTCTGGTCAACGCCGCCACCGAGGTCGAGACCCGTACCCTCGACGAGATCTACAAGGCCGCTCTTGCCGAGGGCGGTGTCGTCACCCTCTGGCACGGAGGTGACGAGCTCACCCAGCAGAACAGCTTGAAGGCTGCCTTCGAGGCTAAGTTCCCCGGCATGACCCTCAACGTCACCGTCGACCTCTCCAAGTACCACGACGGCAACCTCGACGATCAGATCGCCGCCAACAACGTCTTCGTCGACAGCATTATCCTCCAGACCCTGCACGACTACCCCCGCTGGAGTGCCGAGGATGCCCTCCTCGACTACGCGCCCCTTGGCCACGACGCGATCCTGTCCGAGTTCAAGCCCAACGGCACCGCGACCTACTACGGCATGTTCATCATCGCCTGGCTCAACACCTGGAACAGCCAGAAGCTTCCTGGCGTCGAGGCCCCCGTCGAGTGGAACGACTGGCTTCGCCCTGAGTTCAAGGACAAGCTCGTCCTGACCTATCCCAACGACGACGATGCCGTCCTTTTCGCTTTCGACCTTATGTAAGTACTTATGATAGTCCCTGAGAGAAGAAAAGTCGACTAACAACGCATCAAACAGTGTCAAGCAGTACGGCGCTGAGTGGTTCGACAAGCTCGTCGCCCAGAACCCCCGCTGGGTCCGCGGCACTCAGACTCCCCGAACCATCCTCGGCAAGAACGACACCACCTGGGCCGCCACCTTCACCTCCTCCGGCAGCCTGAACCCTACCGCTCCCATCAACACCAGCCACCCCATCGAGGGTCGCTTCGTCTCGTGGCCCCAGACCGGCGGTATCCTCAAGAACGCTCCTCACCCCGAGGGCGCCAAGCTCCTGCACAGCTACATGCTCAGCACCGAGTTCCAGGAGTCCCGCGGTGGATGGTCTGTCCGCGGCGACGTCAAGCTTCCCAACAACTACACTCCTATCCTCGAGACTCCCGGCACCGACCCCACTGCCTTTGGCAAGTGGATGTCTGACCGCGCTGCTGTCGAGAGACTTCGCTTCTGGTTCGAGGACCGCATTGGCACTGCCCAGGGCCTCAGCCCCCTCATTGACGACCTTTGAAGGACGCAAACATGTATGAAAAGGGAAAATAAGGGGGACTATTGTTGTTCATGTACATAAATCTTTGTGTGATGCACTAGCGCTTCTTTGAGCCACGTCATCGTATATACTGGTCCAGAATGATACCATTTTTGATGAAGTTGTGGCATCATATTTGACTACTTGTGGCTTTGCGTTTTAGAGTTCAAGTAGCTGAACTCTGCAACCTTATCCAGACAGCAAATCGTGGGGAAGTTGAGCGTAGCCAAATGGCGCCTACCACGATCGACATGACTCGTCATGGTCGATCTCCGTTACTCGGGCCGGGTGAACGCTCGCAGAATTCGATTTTTTCGAGAATGACGCCTAACAATCTTGCCTAAGAAATATTGATAGGGAAAAAAGGAAAAAAAGGACCATGATGGGACTGTCTGCTTTGGGTAGCGGCATTATGCAAGTCCGTAGTCGGCATGGCGGATCTGCGAACCCCCTGGCAAGGGCCTGAGTAAGGTCAATGGGGCATTTTTGCCGGAAGTCGGCTCCCTGGCCGCGGCAGAAAAAGAACACAATACAGGCGACCCATGCCGAAAATTGACGTGTAAATAAGGTATGCAAGCGTACGGGTGACCAGGTGGTTTGATCTAGAGTGAGGACAGCCAAAACCAGAACTACTCAGGTTGCTTGTACCATGTCTTTTCATCTCGTCTAAGTGTCCGAGGCGTTCGGCTTCTTCTTTATTCTTTCTTTTCTTTCTAAGTTCCGGTCCAATATCGCTTGCCGGTGGGAGAGTTTGTCGCTGGAGTCTGAGGGCCGCGCGCGACTCACGCGATCAAAATGCTTCCGGTGTCGCATTGAGGGCTGCGGACTTCCTGATCGAGATCCACCCCCGGCTTTTTGCTTCTTTTGGCCAAGAAAACTTTTCAACAGGGGAACGCTCAGTGGCCGGCTGTCTTGAAAAATCGCGGCACTAGGTACTGAGCCACATAACGTCTACTGGTTCATCTCTCCGTATGTGAATTTGAGACTCGCGTCTTATTACATGTAGACTCGCACAGCAACCTGCATCAATTGTTGTGAGATCTTACGTCGATGCGGCAAGACTGGAGAAGATTTTGGTTGATCCCCGTTGATACTTACCGATACTGAACGCATCTCGAAGGGCATGGTTCACCATATCTTAGTTCACGCCCGACCAACTACCATAGGTACCTCATGATGATGCAGAAAGTCTGGATTGAACGGCAACCTCAACGCATTCGCAACGCACGGCGGCCGACTACGCGTAGATAGCGACTTGAACGGATTCTACTTCTACCCGTTCAAGAACTTCTCCATCTTCGAATCGATTCGAACGACTCCAGTCTACTACAGATACTATACAGTTTGGGTAGAGCCACCGTGTCGATGCTCTCAATGACACAGTTGAACCTCTGGTCTGTATGTCGACTTGCTACCTCTTCCCATGCTCGTAAAGCCCTATACCCTCGTCCATGCTGCCAAGACACGACATCAAATTGCCAAGTCGCAGCCATTGCGAGATTGACTTCGCTCGCCCTGACCTCGTATCTAAAAAGAAACCCTTCTCCGACACCAGGACTCCATACTTCCAGCATCTTCAAATAGGGCATATATGTAGCTGCTTGACTTGCTGCCACAAGAAGACAGTCTAAATCTTGAGGACTATTAGTCAGCCGTCCAAGTTGGCAACTGAGAACTAGACGCTCAAGCATGCAAGGAGGCAACCTCTCGCCTGATGAGAGAAGAAAGTTGAAGTGGGAGAAGAAATCTCTCGCGTCGATAACATACGTAATTGCCAGCTCCTTAAGATGAAAGCTGGTGGGAACCGCAGTCTGGAGCACAGCTGCTAGCCCGTTTGCTTTCTCCGAGTCACTTTGACTTTGAGTTTCGGATATCAGTCTGGACCGAGACTCCCATATGGATAGCCTCTGCAGAGAAGGAATACGATCTGCAATTGAGAAAACGACTCTGTTTCCGATTGCTTGTTGGAGTGTTTTCGTCGTTCCCAGCTGTTGTTCAAAGTCGAGTCGCTGGAGGCACGGAAAGCTGTCGCGGAGGTGAAAGAGTAGGATAGACGAACAGCTCCGAGAGATTGTTGGGCTGACGGAAATTACAGTGATACTAGGGGCCATCTCAACAGGCCCCTGATTGCTAATGACGCTGTTGATACTACTGATTTCAGCGAATGGATCTGAAACGGGGGGTGATCGACGGTGAACACAACGACGGCGACCACGCCTAGACACCAACTTCCGATCGCCTGCGTTCGGAACTAAGATACCAACTAGTTCAAGCGAAATACCATTTTGAGGTATATCTTCGGTCCAAAGAGCAAGAATAGAGAGGAGCTCTTCCAAGTTTTCAAAAAGTACCCTCTCTCTCTCGATAAGTGTATGTTGACCTCCGACCTCCCGAAGGCATCGATGGCAACGGTATTCTGCCATTCTCAGACAAAGAGTAATGGTCTTAATTAGAGACCTTTGATGGCTTTGGATAGCCTCGCGAAACCCTTGAAAGCTCGACTTTGAAATCCAGGGTCGGAAGGTCAGCTTCTGCCAGAGCAACGGTTCGAGAAAGCTCTGCCATTCTTTCGAAACAGTTGCGTGGGTGGCGATGGGGAGGTCTTCAGAAGTCGAGACGTAGGCTAAGAATTTCAGAATCGTGTGCCGGAGCTCCAGTGAAAGACTTGTCCAGCGAGGACCTTGCATTTGTCTTCTTGAATGGCGATGTGCTTCGAGGCTCTATGAGATAGGAGCAGTATCATGCATGTAGAGGAAAGATTTGTTAGGCAGACAAAGTCGGGAGCCAAGTGATTCGATTTGAGCTTTTGTTATGATCGATAGTAAGAAGATGCAGGCCTGAGTCCGTCCCTATCGGGGCCATCAAGCCTTTCAAACTCAGTCAAGACACCTTGTTGGAGACTTTCCCCATTTTACTCTTACTACCTTGTTGTCGCTGAGCTTTCTATCAAGGTGGCGTTCAAATGAACATTCCAAAAGAAGGAAAATGTGCGTGCGGTAATCGCCAAACTCAAAGCCTCGAAAACAACAAGTTGAACTTCCCATAGTCCATACATCTACTACAAAACAAGATATTCCTTGATATCAAGCTGATTCCTGGTGACGTCTCAGTGATATATCATAGTCCATGTACCTAAACCATTGATTGCCACTGGAACCTATTCTGCAGAAAATATCGGCCAAGGTGTAGAAAAGATGGACGACGCATCGTGCTTGGTAAAAGCGTTTCCCGAAAGTTATGAGGCATGATACTGATCGCAAAAGGCGATAATAAAAGTCTTGCGTACGATTATTCACAGAAAATTGTCATCAATACTAAGTTCACTTGACACTATATCTGGCCTGAGGACTGGAAGCGTTGGCATGGACTTAAACGAGGGGGCGAACATGATAGGAAGTCGAAAACGTGTCCGTTCTTGGTCAATTCTGGCTATTTGCGATCGAAACCAGACGTTACTGATAAATCTGCTATGTGAATGACGGGGATTGTCGGCCAAGGTTGTCTTAGAAGACAGGACCATCTGGTACGAGATGAATTGAAGCATGCAGTTCTCCCAGCCCGAACCAGGATCCACTGAACATGACGTACGTGGTCATTTTAAGTGTACATTGGCCCTTTTGTTTCTCAATTAATCCTCAAATACGAGAAAGGTCGAGTGCCACATAGGATGGCCGCTCTTCGTGGTAAGTAAGCTTAAGTACCCCGGGTTGAAGTCGAACGGAAGATCGGCTGACATGCGGGGAAGCCGGGGTAGACCCCGCAAAGAGGAACACTATTGCATTGAGGTTAACGGCATTCGTTGGCCGAAGTCGACTAGATCATCGTATACGCGCTTGGAACTCACATGTCTCTCAATTTCGATTGAAATACGCGTATTTGACATCATTTTGCGCGAGATTCTTTCCGACTTCCGGTCTAATGTCGGCAAATCGTCCGATGTGCGCTTGTGTCCCATTACACCTGCATGCTCGCCATGTGATGCCCCGAGAGAAAGATCCCTGTGTGCTCTCTCATTATCAATGAGAAAATAGCCTCTTGGAAAAGTCTCGCTGCGCAAGACCTCAACGGTTGCATTCAGTCCTTATTCTTCAAGATGTTGATATCGGGGACAGGAATGAAAAGCAAACGTTAGATAGCCAGCGGCTACGTCATGAGATACAAGATCTCGTAAGGCATCGGCTTTTAAGCTCTATTAAACAGAAAACCAATGGCTCATTACCTGGTATGATCGCGTCCGAGAGGAGGTAGCTGGTAAGCCGGGGTCTGAAAGCTCCACAACTCAGGATTTGTACCGATGCCTTCTTCCATCAAGGATTCGAAAAACCCCGGAAATATCCCCGCATCCCCAGGCTCCGATCTGGGCCTGTTTACCAAGAATCGGTCCGATATGACGAACCTCATAATTGATCGCGATGCTGTCGCTCGTGGTACGAGCGGCAATATCACTGCAGCCACGACGACCAGTGATCCAATCGAGTTAGCAACTTGTTGCCGTATGTATGAAGTTGAAAGCATATATAAAGATCTTCTTATCCCGCGACTTGAAGCTTGCGACACCCACAAGACCAACCTAATCCTTCCTCGCATCCCTCATCAATCATGCTGGGCGTCTTGAAAGCCTCCCTTCTGCTGCTCGGAGTCCACGGCGCATATGCCGTTCGACATGCCTCCCGTTCCGAGAATAATGGTACGTCAAGAGCATCATCCCTTCAGTCTCGAAATAGCTCATAAGTCAACAGGGACCCGAGACTGGGACGCCGCCGCCACAATGGCTTCGGACTTCGTCTCCAAGCTGACCCTTGATGAGAAGGTCTCAATGATCACGGGCAACTCATCCGCAGGCAATTGCATCGGCGTCATCACCCCTATTCCCCGGCTAGGATTTCAAGGCCTTTGCCTTCTTGACGGCCCCGCAGCGATCAACCGCGTCGATCTAGTCAGCGTCTTCCCTTCAGGCATCACAGCTGCTGCGACCTTTGACCGGGATCTCATCTACCGTCGGGGGTATGCGCTGGGTGAGGAATTTAAGGGCAAGGGTGGGCACGTAATGCTTGGGTGAGTCAATCGCTGCAAATGTTGCAATAGCACCCACTAAACACCAACAGGCCATCAACGGGCCCGATGGGCCGTAACGCTCTGGGTGGCCGCAACTGGGAGGGCTTCGGTCCAGACCCCTACCTAGCTGGGATCTCAATCGCGCAAACCGTCCACGGTGTTCAAGACGCTGGAGTCCAGACTTGTTCGAAGCACTACATCGCCAATGAGCAAGAGACCCAGCGTTCCAACACCAACCAGACAGATGGCACCCGGGCCGAAGCCATATCCGCCAACGTCGACGACAGGACCATCCATGAACTCTACCTCTGGCCTTTTGCCGACGCCATCAAAGCCGGGACTACGTCCGTTATGTGCTCCTATAACCGCCTTAACCAGACCTACTCCTGCGAAAACTCCCACACCCTGACCAAGCTCCTCCGTGAAGAGTTGGGATTTCAAGGGTACACCGTTAGTGATTGGTTCGCAACTCATTCCACCTCTGAGTCCATCAACGCGGGCTTAGACATGGAGATGCCTGGCATCATTCCGTCTTACCAAGGGTCTGTTCTCTACTTTGGTGACAGAGTGCTCGAGGCCGTCAGCAACGGAACCGTCTCTGAAGCGAGGATTGATCAGATGGTCCGCAACATCATGACACCGTACTACTTCCTCCGTCAAGATGCCGAAGAGTATCCGACTGCAGACCCAGCACTCCGATGGGTGACTCTCATTCAAGAAGTCGGTCTCAGTGCTGCGAAGGCTGGCGGCTTCCTCCCTGATGACTTCGTATTCGAACATGGCCGGGATGTAAGAGGCGACCATGCCAAGGTCATCCGCGAGATGGGTGCTGCCGGCACAGTTCTCGTCAAGAACAACAACACTTTACCCTTGAGCAGCCCAAAAATCATCGGCGTCTTCGGGAACGATGCAGGGGACATGACCGACGGGTTCTACCGCCCATCCGAAGTCCCCGATAGCGTCAACACCGGCACCATGATCATCGGCGGGGGCTCCGGCACAGGCCGCGCATCATACGTCGTCTCGCCGCTGAGAGCCATCCAAGCCAAGGCCGCAGAGACGGGCGCGGAGGTGCTCTATGCCACCAACAACGAGCTCCTGGCGAGGAACGACTTCAGGGGGATCTACCCCCCACCCGAGATCTGCGTCGTGTTCCAACAGACCTTTGCCAGCGAAAGCTTTGACCGCACTTCTTTCGAACTCGATGGAAACTCCACCGCTGTAATCAACAACGTCGCTGACCTTTGCGGGAACACCATCGTGGTTACACACTCGGGCGGCGTCAACACCATGCCATGGGCAAACCACACCAAGATCGGAGCAATCCTCTTGGCGCACTACCCTGGGCAGGAGAGTGGGAATTCAATTGTCGATCTTCTCTGGGGCGATGTTGCGCCCTCGGGACGTCTTCCGTACACCGTCCCGCGCAATGAAGCCGATGCGGGCCCGCCAATTGTCAACATCACTGAGCCTGTTTCCGACCCCCTGGCCTGGCAGGCTGACTTCACGGAGGGCCAGCTCATTGACTACCGCCATTACGACGCCCAGAACATTGAGCCGTTGTATGAATTTGGCTTTGGATTAACTTATACCACTTTTGCCATTGAAGACAACAAAATCGACGTCAGCCTCGTCAAAGGAAACAGCTCGGTGGCGGCTCGGCCGGATGCATCATTGAAGACACAGCCTGGTGGAAACCCACAACTATGGGACGAGCTCGTCACCGTCAAAGCCAAGGTCACAAACACGGGCGACCGGTCTGCGCATGCCGTTCCACAGCTTTACTTGTCGTATCCAGCAGGAGCTCCGGAAGGAACCCCGCAGAGAGTGCTTAGGGGGTTTGAGAAGGTTATGATTGAGTCGGGTGCTAGTGCTGACGTCGAGTTTGGAGTGTTGCGGAGGGATCTGAGCTTGTGGGACGTTATTGAACAGGACTGGGTCATTCCTGGCGGGCAGTTCACCTTTAGAGTCGGTTTCAGCTCTAGAGACCTCCCAGCTGAGACTATGTTTTCCGTCCTGGGCTGAAGGGATCGAGTCCGGCATACAGCTTGTTACGTGGATGGACAAGTAACCCGATGGGCTCCAGCTACTTGCATCATTGTCGATCATATTACAACCCATGGCTTCATTACGCAATAACTTTCGTATTTGCTTTCCAGACCGCTCGCTGTTCCTCTTGTTGCCCTTGCTTACGTATGTCTGAGCTTACAGCGTATGCACGTAATACGGCTTTGAGGATACGAGCTAGACAGCGTCCTGTTAAGGCATGTAAGCCTTGGCAGGCGCCCGACCGCAGACTATTGATCGAAAATGAACTGTTTTCGGGTCCATTAGAGAAAGTTCCGAGTTGAATAGGCCGTAGTAAGCCCGTGATCTTGTAGATGTCGTGCAGCAGCTAGACGAAGCGGATGTATGAGGGCGGGGATACAATATTGAGTTGACTTCACATTACCACATCGAGGAACGTCACATAATTAGATCCAAGATCAGCATAAATAGGACCCAAATCCCATGGAAGGTCTTGAGCTTTCTCACCAGTGAGGCTCTATCCCTATCTCATGTTCGTCCCGAAAACATATACCCCGGATTAACCTTGAGATCTGTTATAATCCACCCCGCACCTTCAAGATGGTTATGCAAACCCTCCTTCAAACGGCGTTCCTCGCTGTCGCCGCCACAGCAACCAGCCTCACCGCGAGAACCTCTGACGGTAGCGACGGCTTCCGCCTCCGCGCCAACATGCTCTATCCCGACTCCCCTGGGAACGGGCCTAATGTTCACGACCACGAGCTCAACTACGTCTCCGGCAATGAGTGCCAAGCCATCGTCGTCCTGGTCCCCGAGAACCAAGGGACCACATTCTACGCCAACAACAACACCATTGGTGTCTACTTCGACAACACCTCGCCTCAGTTTGCCGGCATGGTCGTACCCTGGCGCGGGCCGGCGATGGTACCGAGCGGCAGACCCGTGGAGCTCAGGTGCTCGGACGGTACCCCGGGTCTCACTCTCAATGACAAGGGCGTGTACTATCCCGGAGAGATGGGCCCGGACTTTAATGGCGCATTCATGGTCTGCCAGGAAGGAGACGACGCGATCCTGAGTTTCTTTGGGTGGGGTCAGAGGCCTCTTTGGGGTTGTTCTGTTATCCAGCTTCTCCCGGTCTACTAAGCAACGGGAATACATGGGCTGTAATGTATACTTCACAAAAGCTGTCTTGAACTAAACTTTCTGTTGTTTTCATGTTCCATCTATTCTGGTGTCGTACCAACCAACCCTGAAGGTAACTCTGCCAGGTATTGAAATACGCTCTGGTAAGAAAGAGTCACATCTGTGCGGTTTTCCACCGCAAAACCTGTGTGACCAACTCGTCCCAAATCTCAAGTTGAGAGCATAACGTAGATTCTGCCGCTGGTAGGAGTACCCTCAACCAGAATCCAACGGGCATGTGTTCCCTGGACAGAGATTGCATCCACTGATGTGATACCATCGCAAACATGTTACACCCCCTCGCACCCATTTCGTAGCCCTCTTATTTTCCCATCTCGCTGCCCACTAGAGAGTCATTGACCTCGAAGTTGCGCTGCAGCTGGTACGCTGTGAAATCGCAGAGCTTTCGTGGTTACTCGAACGCCGCTACTTCTCGACTGCGACTTTCGAAGCCATCAGCGTAGCCACGCTACCTTTCGACTCATCTTTCGAATTCGCCTTGACATCGACTTTGGAATGAACCTGCTATAAATACCTTTGGATAGCATGGCGTCTACATGGCTGTTTGTCCAGCAGCAGTGCAGAGAGGGCTGGATGTTTGATCGACCCGTAGTCGGTGATCATAAGCCACCAACTACCCAGCACACATCCCGTGACAGCATAACAATAGGAACCAGCTAACGGACCAAATGCGACACTCCTAGCGGGTAAATATGCCGAAGATCTCAGGACCTGCATAGTAAACACGCTAAGCGAGCATCTCCCGTCGTCAATCGCCCTTTCACCCCTGACGCATAGACCAACCTCGACCACCATGTCAGGAACATTGAGGATGGACGAACAATGGACGATTGTAGGCACAAACAGAATCAAAAACGGTTTGGATACAATTTCAACAAGAATGTTTGGAGAAGCGACATTAGTCAATGTCTCGAGTTGTTGGTCCTTACGCCAGTTAAGACATGCAATATAACAAGACGCCTAGTCGAGACAGGGAGGTTCTTAGGACTTCACTGAAAGTTCCACAAATTTCACGTCGTCTGTGGAAGACGTGGGACATCTAACATATCATCCAGCCATTAGCATCAGGCGCGAGCTTACCATCGGCCACAGCTGGTCAAACCGTCACTCAGATAATCAACTTCACACAACTGCGCCAGGCACAACATGGAAACTGCGGGTCGAGTGCGGCTCGTGGCTTACTCCGACAGCGAGAGCGACGATGACATTAACAACGACGAAAGCGTTGCACCGCCACCGCACGCGCAGGAAGACGCACCGCCACCCGAGACCGAGAACGAGCTGGCCAAGATCGTGATCGAGCTGCAGAAGAAGTACATTCGAGAGTACGAGGAGATCCAAAGAAGACAAGAGGAATGGCGCGAGGAGATACGCAAGTGGCAGGTCGGGTTTGAAGGGAAGTGGGAGCTTCAGCGCAGGTTGTTGGTGGATGTCATCCCGGTGCGTAAGGTTTGGGTATGACGAAGGCGAGAGTTTGATGCTGACTGATTGGGATGCACAGAAAGTGACCGGCATGCGCATCGGAGAGATGCTGGGTCGAGAAGGGATTCTTTCAGCAGCGGATGCGACGAACGGGGCGAGGAATCCGTCACCTCCGTTTGCGACGCCGGCGGGCCCCGCTGCTCCGGGATGGGGTCGAGGCCCGGCCCGAGCGGACGTGACGGTGACCGAAAGCGAGGCGAGCATAGATGAAGGACCGGAGCCGATAGCGACACCAGTACCCACACAGCCACAGAGGACGAGAAGCACTGGCAAAAAGGCGCCACGGGCTGAGGTTCCTTCATCACTTCGTCGACTGAACCAGACCGCGAGGAAGATTGGTATCAGCGCAGACTCGAGACAGCAAGACGTAACGGAGCCTCACAACCCGTACGACGACCCAAAGTATTGCAGTCCCTTGACCATCACAGACGAACGCGGCAACCAGAAGCCCTTGTTCAAGTTCCAACCAACACCAGACACGGTAGAGGAGCTTTGGGCGGAGTACCGGCATGGTCTTCGTGGCCAGCCACCCGTCGAGCAGTTGGAAGTAACGTATCGAGCCAAATGGCGCAGCGAAACATATGCCCGGTCATGGTTCACTCGGCGCAAGCCGTTCTGGGACAAGATGAAGCAGATGCTGGCGGATGGAAAGACGGAAGACGAGGCGCTGGAGGTGATGAGAGCCCTTGCCAAAGGAAGCGTGCCGGGCCTTATGGGCAGGCTCTGCAAGCAGCGGGCAGGCAAGGGATTAAGGCCGAGGAAGCGCAAAGCCTCCCACAGTTTGTCGGAGACTGAACGCAACAGCGAAGGTTCGGAAGAGGATTTCGGTAGTGTGGCGGAGGAAACCGATGCCGATTTGGAGGTTGGGCGATTGAGTCCGGTCGTCCTGCGTAAGCGGATCAAGATGTTCAAGGTCGGGGAACTTTCCGATAATGATGAGTTCAAGACGAGCTCGGGTTGCGATGATGATTGTGAGCCGTTGGAGGACTAACGTCTGGCCAAGAGGACCGATCAACTCGAGACGTTATTCAGCAGGCGAGTGATGGGTGCGAAACATCTCGAAGTTGCCCCAACTCAGAGACTGAGAACCTGTATTGAGCCGAGTCTCTTGGCTGCACAGAATCGGGTGGAATAATAGCCGTTGACAGGTCTGACAGGATATCTCGGGGGTTCGGTGAGCGTGGGGATTCAACGCCGGCTCAATGCCGGAGGACGCTCCGAGGATGCGGAGGGCCAGCTGAGTCTAGACCAGATACCGGTGTACCAATAGTACGGGAGACAGAGCAGTAATCTGATAAGGAAATATCCGTAGACCCCAATACATCCCCGGATGCAGGTGATTGTGCCTCAGCAATGTGGACTTTGACTCGTTGAAGACAGTTTCCCCGGCCGATTTCTGCTGGGGCTGGGAAACCGATAAATCTGAATCTGCACAGCCAATTGGCCGAACGGTCAACATGGCAGCGAAACCGGCCTCAATTTGACCCTTTGCGACTAACAGAGTCATCCTAGGCAAGCGTTGGAAGCTAGACCAAAGAGACGGAAGACGAAGAAACAAGCTTCTGTCTAGAATCAGCTGGTCCCAAGTTTCAAAGACGACACATGGGCTTGCAACTTTGAAGTCAGAAGGGTCGGACGGACTCGCTTCGGCGCTGTCGCAGCAAGCTCAAAAGGGGTCGCATCCGAGGGCAGACGAAGAGTGAGAAAGTGTGTCGTGTTTGAGGGCGTGTCGTCGTGGTGGTCGTCGAGGCGAAAGGTCGATTGCGGCGCATCCCAAGCTGTCGGTGAGGGGCTTTCCGTGGGGATCCCTGTCGAGAATTATCCGTAAGAGCCCGGAAAGTGGTGTGATCTCTCGGGTTTGGAGAATCATGTTGGCAGCGGGAGGCAGGGAGGCCCTGGGGGAAAATGTGAGAGAGACGCCGGAACCAGACGCACGAGGACCATTTGGGCAGTTGATGCCTGGGGGAGCAGCCTTCGAAGAAGTGTGCATGCCTGAGGCTGAAGGGCACGCGAGCGGTGGGGCCTGTCAGGTGAAGGAGGATGTGGTCTGTGCAGACTACGGAACGTTAGGTAAGCTGTGACGAAGGAAAGAAGGAAGAAAAAGAGAACGGAAGGACAGGGCAGGCACAGGGCGTCGTCACACTTGCCTCAGGGAGCACAGCAGGAACACAGCAGGAGCAGCCACCAGCAAGCAGGAGAAGGAGCACCGCAGCATGCATAACCCAGGCAGATTGCAAACAAACACGTCGATCCGGACTGCCATTGCGTGATAAATTGGATCATTTCCCATAATAAGCTTGGCCAATGCTGGGTATTGGTTGCAAGGTGTTTCTGCTGTGCAAGCGATACCTGTCGGCCATTTTCTGTGTTCGCAGTGTCACTGTTCACATGAATCCAATGTCTTTCCGGTGGTGTTCTTCAGTGGCTCCCTCGCTGTAAATAAAACGCTGCTGTACCTGAGGCACCTCACCTAGATGCAGAGTTGGGAGTTTCTCATCCTGCAACTGCCATAACTGCTTCCTGCATTGCTTGAATGCGCCTTTCCCCGCCAACATTGCAACTGCAACCGCCTGCAACTGGTTTACGGACGGTGGGCCAGACTTGCTCACAAGGCAGGAAGTTGAAAATGGCAGCCAGTCACGATGCAAGGCCTGTTTTTCCGGGTAAGGCAGGGACGCCTTCAACCTAAGGGGGGAAAGGAGCAGGGGACCGCCGATGTTGGCGCGCCTTCCCGCCAATCGTTCGCTTCACACCCAGCCCTGTCCAACCCCACTTTATTCGTTATTTTATCTTTTTCTTTTTTTTTCTGTCTGCCCCTCCCCCTCACTTCGACTCGACACTGGCGGCCCTTCTTTACGTCTTGCTGCCACGCCGCCATGAAGCGTGTGAGATGAGTGTGCCTCGGCGGCCGTCTCTTCCTTCGAATGCGACTCTGATTCATTCGACCGGTAGAGGCACTCTTCCTTTCGGGTGCCGCCTCCCGATCGGCTCGTTCGCAGACATCAGCTCTGGGCCGTGCGTCGCAACCCTCTGAACCAACCACATGGATGCTTTCTTCGCCGTCGCACTGCCCAGACCCAGGGTCACAGGCATCAAGACAGGGTGTCGAGATGCCTGCCCAGCCTGGATAGCCGAAGAGCGGGAGCGCCTCCGGCAACGTCATGTCCAAAATGCAACCTGATGCCGCAACAAATGCACCGTGAGGGAAAAAAGTCTCATCTCGACGCCGGCATCGCCATGGCTGTATGCCTGGAATGCCGAGGGTAACGGCCTGCGCTATCTGCTGGGGCTGAGATGTGCCAGGTACATTGTCTCTCATGAATCCGACGCTTCTTCCAAGTGACGGCGACATTGACAACTCCAGCAGTACGTATTACGCTATTACTCGGCGGCAGTCTCGCAGAAAACGGGATCAAGGGACTGCTCCACGTCAATTGGACACCGTGACGGGACAATAGAAATCCCACCCACACTCACCCATATTTACCCCGACATTCTTCCTCGCATGCGCATTCTGCAATCCGCAATCTGGCCCCCTTTCCCTTCCGCAGCGCTGCCAACTCGTCGCCGCATTCGGATCGTCAAAGGGGTCATCGTTGTTGCTGAGCCTGGGTGCGGAAAGCGCAGAGTGGAGAGCCACGGGGCAAAACCTGGGGGAATCTTGCTACGCCACGCGCCCGTCTCATCTTCTCCTCCTCTTCTCTTCCCTTGCCCACTTTCCCGCTTCCTGCGTCCAACCCTGCATCCCTTTTACTACCTGGCCATCTGCAGACTCTGCTGTCGCCGAACCTGCGCCAAGCGAGTCCGCTGCTTTACATAAGGTCACCACCTCGCTCTTCACTCGCTCACTCTACCCCACGAATCGCCATTTTGGCTGAGACACGCCTGGGCACACGTCGTCTTCAAAGTCTGTACAGACGGCTTTTCATCTCACGTGTCACCGGGCTCGACTTGTCTCATTCTCGCATACGACACCGCTTAATCAAGATCTAATATCTCACCTGCCCGCCTTCGCCCCATTTCGACGATACCCCAGGTTTTCACCACCGACACCCGCCCATCATGACTTCGAACACGTTGCTCTCCCTCCCCGACGAGGTTCTGCTCCAGATTGTCGGACACTTGACACCACCTCTTGACGGCTTGGACATCCCCTTCACAGCCTACACCGATCCCGATGGAGTCGTCGTGAGCAATCGCGTCGCCCTGTACCGACTCGCCTTCGTCTGCCGCCGCTTGTCGGATCTCGCCATCCCGTCTCTTTACCAGACGGTCTACTTATGGGGCCGGTCACGTCTTCAATCGCTATTGCAGACTCTCCTAGAACGGCCAGAGCTCGGCGCAAACATGCGCATATTCTCATATGTCTCGTGCCTGGGCAGCGATCACTATCCTACCGACGTTCTATGTCCGTACAAGCGTACCCATTGGCGCCACTTAGTGGAAGAGTCGTCCCGATTCCCGGACCGCATCAAGGCCTTCATGCGGGAAGCTAAGACGGATCTCGAAGTCGTTCAAATCGTGTTCGCCCTCGTTCTCTACTCGACGCCAAATCTGCGCACCCTCCACATGCGCATGCCCTTCGCCGCTGGCGAGTACCAGAAGCTCAAGGATATTCTTACTCCGGACATCGAACCCGACGAAGGCTGCCCCCGAGTTCTCAACTCACTCACACGTATCATGCTGGAGCCCATGCCCGACTTTCCCGGGGCGACTTTCTGGCCCCGCCGCGAGCTGCCATGTCTACTGAGGCTGCCCAATCTCAAGGCCGTGGAGCTGGGATCTGCTCATTTCCGACCAGCGGCCCTCCCGCCAGGTGACGGATGGGGCGATGACGGCAGCTGGAAGCATGTTGAAGAGGTACGGCTCGTCCGCAGCAGCATGTGGGGTTCAGGTTGGCACGCCATCTGCGCTCTGTGCCCCAATCTGAAGCTTCTCGAGATGAGTCCTTCTGGCGTTTCCGACCAGGCTGCCGACGGCGAGCACAATCTCAACACGGCTCTGGGTCTTGTTGCCGAAACCCTCGAGACGTTTTCATTCGAGGGCATCTTGGCCGCCAACTTCTCCCAGCATGTCGGTGGAGACGGCACTCTCACTTGCTTACCCAAGATGAAGGCGCTGCGAAACGTCAAACTCGACATCGGCATCTTGTTTGGCAAGCCGGAGAGGATGGACAAGTTCGACGTCCTGGGAAGCCTGCCCCAATCCTTAGAAATACTCGACTTGGCAGAACTGTGGCACGATGTTGAAATCGACAAGCTGGGATTCCAGGCCCGAAAACAGTATGAAAGCGGCATTCAGAACGCCTTGCGGAAGCTCGTTTTCGGAAGCAAGGAGAAGCTCCCGAACCTCAAGGAAGTCACCTTCCGCCCGAATCCCTTTTACGCTCAACTTCCTTTGCCGGATACCCTCATGGTTGGAAAGTCGGACGTTGACTTCAAGCTGGTGTACTAAGACCTCACCTCGACGTGGAATAATTCTTTCTATCCCTAGCATTACAGCGAGCTCGGAGTTATCGATCATGCATGGAGGCAAAAGCATAAGCACTAGATATCATTGACTTAGATTTATCCATTTAATCAAACTCATTTCTTCATCCGGCGCCCGCGCTCGGCTATGACTGAGACTTTCACTGCGTCCACTCAACTCACAGCCTCCACCAGCTTCGCGGTCGCTCATCTCTCGATGGCTCTCGATAGGTTCGGCGATCTCCCACGACGTATGTCTTTTGACGAGGTCGTCGCTCATCCACGATATAGCCACGGGCGGCATGCCGTCTTTCCTTCTCGAGGTCCCAATCTCGATCGCGACTACGGTCCTCGCCACCCCAGCTCCCCCGCCGACTATGCCTTCGAGGCCTCTCTTTCTCAACTTGGATCCTATCCTCACCATGACGATATTCCCCGCCCGCAAACCTCACCTCACTCCGGTGACGCCCCTGAGTCCTTGGACGATCCTCGCTTCGATACCGCGTCGTCTGCTCACTACCCCGATCACTCGGCCTCTTACTCGTTCTCTCCTCCGTCGCCGCCGGCTCTTCCAGAATCCCACTAACCCTCCTCTGCCCCATCCTCTCATACTTCCGCAGCAAACCCACATACTTCACCCAGCAATCCGCCAAAATCTCCGTGCTCAGCTTCAGATCATCCGCCTCGGCGCCCATCAGCGCGATCCGCCGCGTCCACCCGCACTCCCACGCATCCAGCACCTTCCCGCACGCGCCGCCATGCGACGCCGCATGCCGCCGCCGCTCCCTCTCGATCCGCTGCTGGCCCTTCTCGAGCTCCGCCTCCGCGTGCAGGAGGATGCGGCCGATGTCGAGCAGCTCCGTGATGGCGAATTTGAAGTCCCCCGACTCGGCGGTCTGGAAGTCCGCATCGCGGTCGAAGGTGGGCAGCCGGCGCCACGGCGTGTGGGACGGGATCGGGGTCGGTGGGCGGGCGTAGCTGTAGGAATAACGGCGCGAAGAGGATGAAGGGGGTGGGTGGTCGCAGACGTAGCGGTGGTAATGCGTCGGCCGGCGACACGCCCTGCGGCAGCTGTAAAGGGTGCTCGAGAGGCTGCAGCAGCCGTGCGAGGGGCAGCGGCCCGGGTGCGAGGAGGAGCGCGGGAGCGGGCAGGCGCAGGAGGGTGGTGTCTCGTAGGGGTTGATGTAGTGTGTTTTGGTGGATGATATGATGGGTCTGATGTCGCAGGAGAGGGTGTGCGTGTGGACTTTGTAGCACATCGCGGCGGGGGTTGAATGATCTGGAGAGTGGAAGAGACTTGATTATTTGGGATGGGAGAGAATTGAGTGCGTGGACGAAGTGATGAGGCTTGGGAAATGGGGGAGTTTGCCGACGCAGATATATCATCGTGCTGCTGTGCGGTGAATCTCATTGTTCAGAGTCTTGCGGGTCGAGGTTGAAGACTGGATTGACGGACAAAGAACCTGTGTTCGGGTGGGTATGCGGGTGTTCTGGTGTCGTTGTTGGCCTCGTCGGTGAAGAAAGTCTTTGTCGTGTTGAACAGCATCTTGACATTCTTTCAACGTCGTCAATCCTGATTTTCTTCCACTCCATCAGGACGGTTTCATGGACTGTGCCTCCCAACATTGGCTCTGAAGGCAAATTTTGGAGAGAAAAAGTGGTTTTTTTTACACAGCTATGGATTACAACACAAGAGAAGAGAAACCTCCACAACTAAATTCACAAAATACAACCAAACATCAAAGCAGCAAAATCATCACTCCCCAGGTGGATACGCCCCCAAAACCGCCTCCCGCTCCGCCGCCGTAATCGGCATCACCCCACCATGCCGTGCACTCGGCGGCATCACCCATCCCTCCCCCGCCAGCTTCCAGTCCGGCTTGCTAATATTCTCCGTCACAAGCGGGATGTACCTCCGCCCCGTAAACTCGTCCACGAACAAAAAGTACTTCTCCCCATTCACATCCCCGGGGTTCGACTTCACCACCGCCGGGCCCTCGATCTCGCCCACGCCGGCGGTGGTGGAAATACAACTCGCGACGACGTCCCACCCGTCCAGGCCTGATGACAAATTGCTCGACTTCTCGTGTATTATGTCCCGGCACCCTGTGGCGTTGCCGGAGTCGTCCTTGGTGAAGCGGTGGTACACCCCGTCCACCTCGATGACAGTAGCATCATACCGCGAGCCGCCGGCGTCCTGCCACACCCGCGCCTCGCTGAACTCCACAAAGTCGCTCGTCGTCGCGTACATAACGCGGTTATACGATTTCCCCGTGTGCTCCACATCATCCTCCTCGTAAAGACTCGACGCCCAGAAGACAATCCACATCCCCTGCCCCTCGTCGAAATACGCCTCCGGCGCCCACGCGTTGCCTGCCTCGGGCGGCGCGACTAACACGTGCCGCTGCTCGGACCAGTGCACCAGGTCAGGCGACTCCCAGACCTCGATGTGCCTGCTCCCCACGCGCTGGGCGTCGGTGAAGGACATGCCGCGCCCGATGGAGAGGTCCGTTGCCAGGAGGAAGAATTTGTCGCCGGTGGGCGAGCGGGTGATGAACGGGTCGCGGAGGCCGAGGGAGCCTTTGGAGGAGGTGAGGATGGGGGCGGAGGCGTTGAGGGCGGTGTAGGTGAGGATGTCGCCGGGGTCGGAGGCGGCGAGGAAGATGTTTTCGCCGCCTATGGAGTTGCGGACGAAGTAAACGAAGAGGTAGGCTTCGTAGGTTAAGGAGGAGCGGGGGGTGGAGGGGGTGGTGGGTTTGGCGTGGGTGGAGGTGAAGATGGCTATGAGAGTGAGGAAGATGGTGAAGGGATTCATTGCGAGGGTTGCTTACTTGTTTTCGTATAAGGTCTTGATGGTTGTGTTAGTGTGAGGTATCAATGGGACAAGATGTTTGATGATGGCCATCTTATGCTCAGCGAGGGCAGGGAGAATAAGAGCTTCGGTCGAAGGCCCGGAGGATATATCGTCCTCGAGGACCATAGTGATTTCCTGATGATCCTCATGATGGCTTCAGGTTCTATCTCGTTCGGAGCATCTTCAACGCTCCTCTACCTCCGGCGTCAGGGATTGTGATTACCGTACCAACCGGCGTGCGTCCCGACTGCCGTGCCGATTGCTACGCTAAAAGTGCCGGCGCGGGAGTCGGCTGACCGGTCTCACTGCTTGGTGGTGATTGGCTCGTGCCCCGGACCTGCTCTCTGAATCCCCCGATGAGATGCTCCTTGGAAAAATATTTCTCCCATCAGATTCAACGACGTTCGATTCCACGTCTAGTTTTCACTTGATAGGTCATACAAAGCAAGCAAGCAAACAATTAGCAACAAGATTGGTGGTACGCCATCAAGGGTTTCAACATTCACATCCTAGAACCTACAAGCTAAGCCAGCTCCAACCTAAGCGCATCATACTGTACATACAACGCGTCCGGCAGAAGCGCAGTCTCTACACTGCTTGCGTTGAACGGCAGACTCAACGTCAACTCGTTCCGACCCTCTTTTAGTGCCTCTGCAGAGAAAGTAAACTTATTCTCAATATTCTGACACGCGACAGCACTCCTCACGCCGCACGATCCGCTCCGCCAGTACGGGATAACCCACGTTGACTCATACCGGTTGTTGAAGTTTACCGTCCACGGCAGGTTGCTGTACGGATGGCCCGAAACAGTCCACTTGGCATTCCCGTTCGCCGTCTTAGTCCCGGCAATCTGCACCGTGAGAGTGGCCGTTTTGGCGGCGTCCAACTTGTCTTTGGCGAGATTGAAGGTGATGGTCCAGTTGTTCACGTTGTCGTAGTAGTTCTCCTCCCGGAGGTGGTTACCTTTGGCAGGGAAGAATGCCCAGTGGATGTAATTCAGGTCCTGTGCCTCGTCGCTCTGGCCAACTTGGAAGTTTACGCCCTCGGGGAAGTCTTTCTCGTAATCGTACTTGCCCCAGTAGATGCGGTACTGTTCAGGCTGAAGAGGCTTAGAGGTGTCCGGGGCGTATCCGTGGAGGTATTCTCCGGAGGACTTGTCCGGGACGCCAATCCGCCAGATCTCCTCGCCGGCGCTTTCTTCTTTCCATTCGAATGTCGGCTTGGTCGTCGCAGTATCTTTGGTGATTTCAACGTCGTCTTGGATATACCATCCAAACACACCGTCCGCGTAGACGGTGACTCTGTACGTGCCTTCAGCAACGCGCGGAACTCTGAAGTTACCTCTCTCGTCGATCTCAGCCCAGTATTGAAGTGACTTGGTATTGAAAACGTTGAGTTGGAAGTCCTGCTTATTCTCCGACAAGACCACAATCGGTCGTTTCGCACCCTCGGGAAGCTGGACAGCCCCCTCAAACACAGTCCGCTGCGTCGACGGAATGAAGTTCGGAACATACTCCGCAATACTGTCATAAAAGGCCTCGTTCCACTCTGCGTCCGCAAACTGAACTGCATCAGCCCTCAACTCGGCCACGGTCGTCTCCGGCGTGCCCTTGTTGAAGTAGTAGAACTGCGGGCCCCACGTTCGATCGAAGCCGTGAGTGATGTTCGGCATCGGCGCGCCGTACGTGCTCCCATCAGCGCTCGTTGAGCCGTCGCTGAATTGTCCGTGGACATCGTGGTTGCGCCACGACTCTGACAGGGTGTACTTGGTGAAGTAGTCCGAGTATTGCTCCGTGTACGGGTCATCGGGCACCCCGCCGACATACGTCGTGGCATCTTGCACCGTCACGGCCTGGGAGAACGTAGCATCCTTTGGAAGCGGCCCGAAGTTGCCCTCGCTGGTGGAGAAATGCGTCCAAAGCGGCGTGTTAGGGCGAAACAGCGTGCGCAGCTCGCCCAGATCACGGAGGAGCGGCTTGCTTTCGTTGAAGTACGTCAGGCGCGAGAAGGCATGCAACCCAGTCTCTTCGCCGCGGAGGAAGAAGTACTGCGATAGTGTCTGATTCGTTGCCGCGAACTTGTCGGACGTGATGAGCCCGCCGAACGGGGTCCCTGTTGAATCGGTGCCATTGATGAGCTGCAGCGAGGCCGTTCCGCCGGGCGTCCAGAAACCTGAGGGGGTGCATGAGCAGTCGAGGTAGGGACCCTTGCCGCGGTTGCCATTCAGAGGACCCAGGAGGTCTTGGCCGTCGAGGGTGAGGTCGGTGATGTGGCCGCTGGATTTGGTGAGGATGACGGAGAGGCGGTCGTTTGTGAGGGTTAGGTGGGTTGAATTCTCTCCGGTCGTGAGACGAGCCGCTGCGTGGCTCGCAGCGGCGAGGATGAGAGCTTGGGAGCCCCTCATGTTGGCGTTGGCGGACCTGTAGGATGAGTTGAATGACTCCGCCTACTGTTGCGCCAACCCGCGACTTCACTTTAAATCAGTGACGACTTATATACTAGTGGAGAAGAGTCCATGAATTGTAGGGTTGTTTCCATGAGATCATTTTTAGACAATGCAAGGTGTCCGTCTCTGCAACCTGATGCCCCCGTCATGAACTACCCCGTAAAGCGACATGGAATAATTTCGGGCAGATCCAAGACCGAGCGCCAAGCTTTCTAAGAAGCAATCTCCATGAGGGCACCAATCCGACGCTGTGATCTCCCCACTGTAGTCGGCATTGCGCTAGCATCCGCACGTGCCGAGAAAACAGCTGCCAAAAGCGAATGTTGTCAATTAAGCGACCTGTCTTAAAGGTTTCTGTCAACTAAGAGCCTTGGCAACTCTGGCGTTGCGATCGTCAGCTAGGTTCACCAAGGAGGAAAGTGCGCCGCCTTGATCTCCGGCCGACCGGCTCAGCCTTTGTTGATGAGTGTTTAAAAGATAAGCAGTGGCCAATTCAATCCTCTACAAACATTCGAAGCGCACAACCAATTACTCCATCTAAAATGAAGATGCCAAAGCAGTCCCACGTCAATTGCCTCTGTGACCGCTCCCTCAAGAGCGATGACAGCCTCACCAAACTTTTCCGAGATAAAAAGTATGATGTCCGCATGTTTCTGAGCAAACGCCCTTTTTCTAGAGCCCCGAAGAGACTGTGACTAATTGAAACGTGGCGGATATGTGGAAAGCAAGGACCAACTTTCACAAAGCAACAAGAAATCTTGTATCACGCTTACAGTAGAAGCCCCAGACAAGACACTGTTTGGATCGAAGCTGAGGCTCTCTCAAACTTAAAGTGCAAAGTGTCAAAGTACAGAGAGCTTAGCGAACGATCGGCTAGTACCTTTTCATGCGATACCGCCTAAAGTGACGCTCCAAAAGGTTTGTCGTCTTCAGTTGTCACCTAGGGGTGGATGAGAAACGTCTGGCAGACTTCCACGGGTCTTGTTCTTTTGTTGATTGACTGAGAAGTGGAGGCTGATCAGTTAACTTAAAAGGAAGAACGAGGCTGATAGCGTTGACTGGTTGTGGTGCAGAAGTGGGCATGCGCTGGCTGTCGCTGCCGCATTCCATTCGCTAATGCTTTGTCTGGTACCATATGTCATCGGAGATCCCACACTAATAATGATCTGACTGCGGGGTGACAAGCAATGAAACATTCAGTAACATGTTGCAAAAGTACCATCCGGGCCATCCTTCGTCCGATGGTTTTCGCCATCCAAGAGCTGGGCTGCTTACATGTGGGGAAGTGCAGGCAGCAATTTGGTTGCCTTCGTCCTCGTCCGCATCAACGACGTTCATGCGGACATGCTTGAAACCTTTGAATGCGACAATCTATATACCTAAGACTTCGAGATACTTTCCTAGGTACATTCATTTTCACTGATTGGATTCATAAGAGCTGGTCCTGCAATGTCTGAACCGACCGCAAATACAGAGGCCGGTGCCTCCCATGGCTCTCAACGTACGACAGCTTCACGAGCTAGAGCCCGAAGCAATCCAGCTGAAGATTCAAAGTGTTTGAAAGCCTTCGACACCGAAATCAACTATCTTCTTCAGAAAGACAGAAACGATGCCTGTGCAGAAGGCACTGGCCAGTGGTTCTTCCATCATACGGTGTATGAAGCCTTTCAACGTTCCAAAGAATCGCACCTGCTGCTCGTCACCGCAGAGGCAGGAGGTGGAAAATCCACCATCATGCGAACGCTCATTGATACTCTTCAAGCGACCGATGAGCCTCCACTAGCGTCGTACTTCTTCTTCAAGGATGACGATGACAGCCTCCGCGACTACGATGATGCCCTCAGCACCGTGGTTTATCAGTTGCTGTCGCAGGATCACACACTCGTGCAACATGCTCGGGCGCCACAAAAAGAGCACGGGGACGCAATTAAGCAACAGACCGAGGTCGTGTGGCAGATCATCACAAGAATAGCTGCTGAAGCGAAACGCGACGTCTATTGCATTTTTGATGCAGTCGATGAGTGCGCTGGAGAAGGCCGCAAGCGATTTTTGACCGACTTATCAAGTGTATTTGGCAATTCTCTTCAAACACATTCTCGATTAAAAGTGGTCATATCTTCTCGTCCGTGGGAAGAAGAAACTCAGTTGTTCACCGAACTATTGGGGTCTCCAAGGACCAGTCATCTAGTGGGCGAGAATGCCACGGTTCAGTCTGACATTCGCAGTGTCATTCGACTGAAAGTCAAGGAAATAGCCAAGGAGAAGCATCTCGACGGAAACACAGAAGCTTTGCTTTTGGAAAGGCTTATCAGGAAAAACGTGCGGACAAGATCGTTCTTGGCCGTTCGAATGGCGTTTGAGTTGTTGCGCTCAGATGCGAGAATGAACCGAGAGGCGACAGAAGAGATCATTGACGAAATTCTTGCCGGTGTCCCCCAACAACTTGGGGACCAGTTCAACAACATGTTGCACCACAGCCCAGACAAGGAACACGCTTGGAGGCTTCTCTGCGTTATCCTCGCAGCGCGAAGAACAATCAAAATTCCAGAGTTCAAAGTCATTTATGCTCTCACTCAGAGATCATGCAGCAACCTTGGTCTGGCGAAGTCGTATGACGAGCTCGATCTAACAGCCAACGACGAGGAATTTAAGAGCATGGTACGGGCTCGATGTGGTCTGTTCATAACCTTCGGCAAGAACTCGGTCTACTTGTTTCATCAGACAGCGAGGGAGTTCTTGATGACCACAGAAGACATGGCTGTGGCTCCGCCCTTCGATCGATTGGCGCAGAATCCAGGCAGTCTTGACGACAACGAAGTAGCTTCTTGGAAAGGCTGTATTTCGAAGGAAGATGCCAACCTGGTCTGCGCCACTGTCTGTCTAGACATCCTGAACATGGACATATCCCGCCAACGAATACTTGAAATGTGAGTTTCTAGTTCTTGACCGGATGGTGAACGTAGGACACCTCAGCTAATCGTCTCTCTATTCCAGATTCGACACCCTTAACGCCGGAAACGATATGTTTCAGGACATACAAGATTTCGTTTCGCCACGCCCATTCTTCATGTACGCAGCGTTCAACTGGCATGAACACATCATCCTCAGCGGTGACGGCGCTTCAAAGACTCTGCTGGACGATAAATATTGCGCAATTCTGGATATTGGCAAGCCAAAATTTTGGGCTTGGTTCCTTCCCCTCAATGAGTACATCAACACCAGCACTGTTCATCCAAAAGCAGTCATCTCCAGTGTCTGGGCACCAGACGAGAAGAAACGTCGGCACAGCGTCCAATATGGACTCTTTCTGAGAGAAAGCTGTCTGCAGAATCTTTTTCCAATGGGTAGCAAGGTCCATGCTCTGTTCAAAGATGCGGACCCGGTGCCAAAGTAAATAGAACCAGGGAATACGATATTAGACTCAAACACCACTAACCCTTATCGATAGACCGCAAACCGAAGGTCCTTATTGGGAGGCTGAAGGCGGTTACGAACTTGTAGATGCGTTCCACATGGCCTTCGGGGAATATGAAATGATAAGTGCGAATCAAGCAGTCCGGGCATTGGAGGAAGGCGATACGGAGCGAGGATCAATGCTCTCAGCAGATGTCCCGATATCAACAATGATCTGGACATGTATAACAGATATTTCACCGAACGCTTTTCGCACGACTTTGGCTTCCATGAAGGATGTGAATTGGCTGCGCGACGTACCAGAACACATCTTATACCGCCGATATAGATGGAGCGGATGGTGCTCCCGGACTGGGAAGGATTTGAGAGAGGACCGTCAAAAGAGTTGGTCAAAACCCTGGCCCCCTTCGACCCCGACGATATATGTGGCAGGTCAGAACACATCACCGAAAAGCACCGACCTGTTCGGTGCGTTGGCGGACTGGATAGAGTCTTCAGAAAAGGCCGCAGTCTTTGCGCAGGAGCTATGGGAAGCAGGGGGGTTCTTGGTCCCCTGTTTGTGCAGCAGGCTCATCCAGGCCGGAGCAGATGTTGACTGTAAATCGTGGAATGACGGCAAGACCGCCCTGCAGATTGCAGCCACCCTTTGGGAGCACGACTTGATACGAATCCTTTTAGATTTGGGAGCAGACCCTACCGTATGCTCTTCCAATGGTTACACTGCGTTGCATTGGCTGCTTCATCCCGACAAAGCCTTCAAGCAGCTCAACGAGGCACTGAGAGAGAACCCAAAGCGTCAACCGCGCCATCGGAAATCTCGGATTTCAGCATCGGTAAAATCCCTAGCACGGTCAGCTTCAACCGACACATCAGCAATTGACGTACTATGCGGAAACGGGAAGACGCCCCTGATGCTTGCTGTAAGAGAATCCCCAACAGCGACCAGGACCCTCTTGAACGAAGGTGCAGAGCCTGATAAGCGAGATGGTAACGGCCGAACTGCGCTCATGCACTATTTCCTGTCTGGGTTTAATGGCCGTGCAACCTCCACCTTGAATTACCTTCTGCAAGCAGGATCGGATAGTCTTGCGGCCGACTCATCCGGGAGAACGGTGCTCAGTTATTGGGCACGACGCGTTACCAACAAACAACTTTCTTACCTTTACCCCGGTACCAACTCTTACAACAAAGCTTTCCATGCACTAGCCACCTTTGGCTCACTCTCTGAGCGAGACGTCATGGTCCGGGAGCTAGCCAAGGAAGTTATGCCCCTCGTGGTAACGGCAAGACTTGGGAACGCTGAGTTATGCTGGGCACTGTTGGAAGGAGGAGCGAATCCCGACAAGCACGGAGTTCCTATGAAAAGCCAATTAAGTATAAACGGCGGGAGCGTGTCTTCGGACTTGGAGGACCTGGTCTGGAATCCTGTTCTGGTCGCATTGTGGACCAAAGCGTACGTGACCACCGCAATCCTGCTGGCATACGGAGCGAATGTCAAGTTCCAGGTTCCCACGCGTAAGCGAACCAAATGGAACCGATGGAGAGTTAAGAAATCAGGCATCACGCCGCTACATCTGGTTGTTGGCGGAAATGACCGCTACACTTGGGATGGTGACAGTAAGCTGGCGCTCTCCAGTGGCGGACAGGCTGAAGGGTGTGCGTTTGGTGCAGCCACAAACCCAGATTACCCAGTCACGCACCGATCAGCCATGGAGTTCTTGGCCAAGCACCAAATGGATCACTGGGCGAGACATCGCGCGAGAGAGAACGCCGAAGCGAGTTCAGATGTGAGATATTCCTCGCATATATGAACACAAAGATGGCGCTGACCTTGCACAGTCTGAATATGAAATCAAACGAGCTCCGCCGTCAAACGATAGCAAGAAAGCAGAGATGGTCCCATTTGACACTCTCTTTGGCGGAGAATTCCTGCCGAAACCTCATCATGCACTCGATTCACTTCTTGGGGTCATCATCAACAAGAACCAGACAGCCGACGAGAGTCGTGCGGCATTGGCAGAGTACATGCTGCAGAATGGTGCCGCCGTAAATGCAACAAGTCAGGAAGGCATCACCCCATTGTTCATCGCCGTCAGCCAAGGTAGACTGGATTTCGTGAAACTTTTACTGCAGCACGGCGCCGACCCAAACCTTGCAAGCAAGGGGGGCTGCAGGCCCTTAATGATAGCAGCACGGAACGGCAATGAACCCATCACCGAAGCGCTTCTTACCTCAGGAGCCGATCCGAATGCACAGCTTGACAATCTCCCGCCGGGAGAGTGTACTTGCGTCGCTTTCGTCGCGTGGAACCGTTTTTCTCATGACGCCTGTTACGCACCGCTTAACTCTCTAGCGATAGCGGCAGAGCGTGGGCACATCGATGTCGTGGAGACCTTGCTGGCACAAGGGGCGGATGTGAATTTGCCTATCGTGCATCATGCACACGGTAGATTGCCAACTAAACGCGAGCAGAGGCGCCGTGAGCTGGATCACACGCCAGATTCTTCGGATGCCGAGTCAGACTTAGACACAGAGAGTTGGGAAGGACGCATTAGCGTCGGAACCGCGCTGACATGGGCTCGAGGGGAAGTGCGGGATCTACTTCTGCGACATGGTGCGGACGCCGCCATAGAGAAGGCGCCACAGAGATGCGAATGTCCGACCATTCACAAGCGAAAACAGAAAAGCGGTTTTGGTCGAGACTCTGATGACGACTATCCCACAGACGAAGCGAGCGGCTCTGATACAGACTTGCCATGGCGAAGACGCCAGTCTTTTATTAGGAAAGACAGCGACGGTGACAGCTCTTAATCTTGGTGGGGCTACGGCAGCCGTAATCCAGAGCATAAGGAGGACTTCTCTGGTGGTATGCCCAACGGAGTTCTACAAGTGGGCACTCTGGCAGTATAGTAGATAACAGAAGAGCCGTACATTGCTCCATAAGACTACTGGGAAGGAATGTAACAAACCGAACCCGAGTTCCACCTTTCTACAATAGTAGCAATGAGGATATTGAGATCGCAAGGATCTATGAACAAGTTGAAGGCTTTAACGTCATATTCGGTGTAATAGGCGCGAAGACTCATCATTACTCACGGCCAGTATGCGTACACACTGTCACTCCGGAGATCTGATGCCCACTTCACCACTTAATTCCGTAGACGTGGAATTGGATTCGTCCGATGAATAGTGACATCGATTGGGCTTTCTTTGAGAAAGATGTGCTTTTCGAGAGGTCCGGGTAATGCTTAGCAAGATTATCCAGCCATGGCTCAGTTGAGACTTCTTCCACTCCTGGGCGAAGTCCTGGACAATGGTGGCTAGTGATATGCATCAGTCGTAATTATCTTTCAGAAGACATCAATCATATTAGTTTAATGGTCCACATCGTCGCATCGACCTTCCACATCGAGGTCGACGACAGGATCAGTAATCGTCAAAATGCCACACATCAAGTCAGTGCCGACGGTGGAGCTCACCGAAAAGTGGACACACCGGGGCTGGAAACGGCATTCACAACCCGGCGCGGTGCCCGAATGATGTTTCAATCCATGATGTTTCAATCCATTTCTGCGCGGCATAGCTAGACGCATCGGAGTTATTGTGAGACTCTACAGCTCTAGAGCCAGATTGCGATGAATCAGTTGCTGCTGGATTGACCATGAAGAAAGCTCGGATTCGCTTTGAGATGGAGGTATTTAACGATGAACGTCACGGCTGTTGGGATGAACCACAAACCAGAACAAAAGCGACACACTCCTGCAAACTACAATCATTCGCAAAATGGACGTCACGACTAGTCCAGAGGCCTCATTGGCTCCAGCGCATCTTACTGACAAAGCGGATGGTCTTGAGACACTGTCTAGAAGCCTACCATACTTGTTCCTTTTGATTATCCTCTGTGTTACTCCTCTCGTTCTGAACAGATCCAAACTTTCAAAGTTTCCGGACGTTACTGTCCCAACGTCTGTATTTGATGTTGGCAATACGAAAGCCAGAAGACAGTTTGTAACAGACGCAACGAGACTTATGAAAGATGGGTTTGCTAAGGCAAGTAGCCAAGGAACCGCTGTATCTCAAGTATGCTCTGACACTAGATGCACACCTGTAGGTTGGAAACACCACACCTTTCCGTATCATCGCTGATGTGGGCGAAATGGTCATCCTCCCACCAGAGTTTGCCGACGCTATCCGCAACGATACTGACCTCGATTTCATGACATTTGTCAATGGGGTTTGTCGTACTGTAGCCATATCTTGGGAATTGACTAGCTGACCGTTTCTTAGCAATTCCACTCAGAGATCCCTGGGTTTGAGGTTTTTAGAGAGGGAACGAAGACCACTCTGGTGACCGATGTCGTCAGAGTCAAGATAACGCAATCTCTTGGTGAGCAAACTACATTGGCAACTAGCACAATGAGCAGCGCGTATTGATTCCAAATAATAGGAAAGGTTACCGAGCCGCTGGCCGATGAGTGTGATCAGGCTAGCCGACAGGCCTTCGGGGATTCCAAAGGTAGATTGACTCTTCCCTTTTGCGATGATACAATGCCGCTTATCTCCTCATTACTGACGCATCGTAGAATGGAAGGAGTTCGTGCTTAAGCCAACCCTCTTGGATCTTGTTGCTCGCATTTCAGCTCGTGTGTTTCTTGGCGAAGAGGGATGCCGCAATCCCGCTTGGTTGAAGATTACCAAGGAGTACACCGTCGACGCCTTTATCGCTGGTGTAGAGCTCCGAAAGTACCCTCCTGGTATCCGTCACGTCATTCACTGGTTTTTACCCCAGTGCAAAGCTGTCCGCGCACACCAGCAAACCGCACGCAACATTATCAACGAAGTCCTACATGCACGCAAAGTAGAGGACCAACAAAGACTGGCGGAGGGTCTCAAGCCTAAGGCGCGAAACGATGCCGTCGAATGGTTCGAACAGATGGCCAAAGGCCGTAACTACGATGCGGCAACTGTTCAGATTGCTCTCGCCATGGCGGCAGTGCATACCACGACCGATCTCCTGTCTCAGACCCTGTACGACATTATGCAACATCCAGAGATTGTGACTGCACTCCGGGAGGAGATCGCAACGGTCATCAGCCAGGAGGGCTGGGAAAAGACGGCGCTGTACAAGCTGAAGCTGACGGACAGTGTGATCAAAGAAAGCCAACGCATCAAGCCGCCCAATGTTGTGAGCATGAACCGGGTCGCCATGAAGGACGTCAAACTTCCAGATGGCTCGATTATTCCTGCTGGGTCAAAGATTGGTGTTTCTGCTCACGCCATGTGGGACCCGTCCGTCCACTCCGATCCTGGATCATGGGATGGGTATCGTTGGCTTAAGATGCGCCAGCAGGAGGGACAAGAGAACCTTCACCAACTTGCCACGACCACCCCGCAGCACATTGCCTTTGGCCACGGAAAACACTCATGCCCTGGGAGATTCTTCGCTGCCAACGAGATCAAAATTGCGCTGTGCTTTTTGTTGATGAACTACGATTTCAAGTTGACTCCGGGTGTAAAGCCCAAGCCTGTAGCCGCTGGCATTCAACTTGACTCCGATCCTACGGCTAAGGTGCAAGTCAGACGCAGCGAGCCTCAGCTGGATTTGGTATCCATGCTGAAGATGGACTCTTGATAGGGACGATAGAGTTTGAGGGAAGATTGGCCATGGTGCATGACATACTAGACAATATCAATTCAAGTCTTTCCTCACGTCGCCGGTGTTGAGTAGTTCCGCAGTAGTGCCGTGGTAGCGGTCGTCAGGAATCTTCCGACATGACTAAATCTTCATTTCACATCATGAGATCGAGCAGCATAGCACCATTTGAAGTAAACTCTCATTGATGACCATAAATTAGCTGTTTGGAGGCCACTAACTAAGTGAAGGCCTTCATCATACAAGATTCATAGCAGCCGTAGATCGTGTATCGACCAGCTAAACGTTGCGGGGTGGACTTAACAGGTTGCACGCATGTTTGACATCTACGACCGCGCATCCCAATGCGTGTGCTACGTCGGCGAGCACAGCGACGAGACCGATACGGCGCTGGACTTTGTTAAGCCGATGGACCAGCTCAAGATCGAGATGAATGAGAAGGGTCAGTACGACATCGGGAAAGAGGGGAACAAGACTGGTCCAGATATCTATCTTGCGCGTTGTGCGGCTTTATACAAGTTCATGTGCCGTCCGTACTTCAGACGAGTCTGGGTCGTCCAAGAAGTTGCCATCTCGTCAGATCCCGCAGTGGTATTGGACAACCGCAAAGCCGTCACATTCGGGTCCCTCGACGCCGCCGCGTACAACTTGCAAGCCATGATTTCTTTCAACCCCGTTCTCAGAACGCAGATGATGAGGGCAGACCCGCAGCTATACCAGTTTGGTCTGTCGTACGACGAGCTCATCTTTATCCGTAAAACTTTCTACTTTAGGCATCTGATAGCCGGATGAAAACTCTACTCCTCATTCTTCTCACCCACCGTCAGGAAGGACAGTCCTAACTTTCTTGAGGCCTCCATTCTCATACGAGACTTCCAGGCAACCGACGGCAAAGACAAAATATTCGCTCTGTGGAACTTGGCACGGGATAATAAGGGACTCGACTTCAAGCTGGATTATTAAAAAACTGCCAGCAAGTCTTTATTGACTTCGCAACAGCTTGGTCAAGACAGCACGGAAGTCTCAATATCATCGCCGCCCCTGAGCCATGGCATAACGTCGATAACTACAGTCTGGTGCCGTCGTGGTGTCCCGATTGGACCTTCTCAGCAGCCACAAGCTGCCTCGTCCGTCGAGAGAGTATCCCCGTGAGGCCTATGATGCGGATGGACGACTTGGACGGCGAGCTGTACTCCGCTGATGGAGGAATTGGACAGCTTCGCGACTTTGAAAAACTCTTCAGCTTCAACAAGAGCATTCTCAACTATCGCGGCGGCATCCTAGACGAGATTGATGAAATCATCGAAGACCCAGGGAGGATCCCCTCAGGACACATATTCCAGCCACCGGATCCAGACGCATTCTACAAGTTCCAAGAGTAGACAGCAGCCATACCAAATATCTATGAAGACCGCGAAAACAACCCGTACGATGATCCTCGGCGAGCCGCCATCGCCATGTTCCACGGCGACGTGATCTCGGCCTGGGCATGCCGTGGACAGAACCCGGAAATGCTGGAAGTCCTCAGTGCTCGCCTCAATAAGACCAAGGAACAGAACGCGTGGCATAACGACGACCGCATTGCTGTAAAGTCGCGTCATATTCCGACGCACGAGTGGTCTTTCAGCTATGAAGGGCGTCCGTGATTTGATATCGTACAGTCTGTGCTTCGAGGAAGAACGCTCTGTTTCACGAAAAAGGGATACATGGCCCTCCTGCCTTCTTACATCTCGGAAAAAACCTTCGACAAGCCGTGGCGTTTTTGGCTGTGATAGCGACGTGTTCTGAGCCAGTATTGCTGCAAGAGGTTGACAGTGTAGATGAGAAGACTGTGTACAGGTTTGGTGGCACCTACTTCGTCCAGGGATGGATGGAAGGGGAAATGCTGATGAGACCCGAAGACTCGGCATCACCGGCTGGGTTCTGGTTCACGGACGAGGCAAGGAGGAGTACGTTGCATATTCGTTAAGGTCTTGTCGTTTATTGAGATGGCCTCTGAAGTACTACAATAAAAAGTGCGTGGCTACCTAGAACCCGCTTTCCCTTGCAGCGTTCCTACATCATGAACCTCAGGTACACGGCGCCTTTGTTTGATCTTTCTAATACGCACATCAGCCAGAGAACTAGATCTCGATCATGTGTGCTAGTTGCAAAATATGTCTGGGACACTACATCTATCTCTTCAGCACACGCTATCAAATCCTAAACCTTCCATCCAGGGGGTATTGAGTAACAGTAATACTAAGCCAGAGACTAGACATGGTGGGTTCATTCTTGCCCTGAACTCGAGCATATACAAATGCACCAGCCTGCGCCCTCACTCAACCAAAGCGAGCGCACTATTCACCCTATTGTTCCCCTCGAGACCCGCAGGAGACCGATTCTCCACAAATCTCAACTCGACACCCGGCCGGAACACCAAGCAATGCGAACTTCCCCCAAAATGGAACATCCCAATCTCCTGTCCCTTCAAAACTTCCTCGCCAGCCGTTACAGTCACCTCACAGCTAGACACCTCCGTCATACCCACAAACACAATCGCTATTAGCCCGATCTTCGGATTCCGCGCCTGGATATATACCACCGCCCGCGTCGCCACGGAAGCGGTGTACGCCTGCGATCTACACGGCGCCTGCGGGTCCGGACCATCTGTATCATCATTATCGTTCCGACGCGTAGCTATGCCCTGGTAACGGTTCACGCTGAAGTACGTCCCCGGAATCATCTCTAATTCGACGATCCGTCCGCTCACGGGTGCATGCCAGCGGTGGTAGCTGAAGGCGCTGAGGTAGGCCTGGTAGATCGTCCCGCCGGCGAACTGCGGCGCGAGCGCGTTATTGTTTAGCATGTCGGTAAGGGAGTACGGCTGGCCCTTTATCGTGACGTCTGCTTGTAGGGCGACATCGGATACGACTTGCAGCGGCGCCGACTCGCACGCGTTGACGATGACTGAGGTGTTGTCGTCGACCTGAATGTCAACGTTGCCACTGCTGCCCGTGACAGACAGCTTCTCTCCGCCAATATGTTCCTCATCATCAGGGAACTCCACATGCCGCACCCCCTCCCGAAAACGCCTCACAAAAAACGCATCCCACGATTCATACCCAAGAGTCTCCGTATCCTCAGGGTCAGGACAAACAAACAACTCCCTAAACCCTAACCCACCACCCTCCCCAACTCTTCCATTCGCCCTCTCCGCCATCACAATCTGCCCAGAAGCAGACACCCAAGCCCTCAAACACCCCCTCGAGTCTCCCGAAGCAAGAAACTTGCCCCAAGCACTTAACACCTTCCCCATCGCCTCATTTACCTCCGGCCTCCGAAAGAACTCGTAACCGGCCGCCGTGCCCATGGGATAATTCAACAAGGCATTAATCGGCGCCGCCACGAACCCCATGGCGTGCTCGTTTCCCGGCCTGTCGAAGAATTGCGGCCCGGAGCGCATGATGACGTTGACGACTTGCAGGAACTGGCGGAAGGACTGGACGGCGGGTTGCTCTGTTGGGTCGCGAGGCTGAAGGGCGGCGGCTTGGGTGAACATTTGGTCTGCTAGGACGGCGAGGTAGGGATCGTTTTGGACGACGGTGCGGAGGTTGATGAGGCTTGGGTTTAGGTAGTCGACAACGGTTGTGGTAACGGTCTTTGAGTTGAGGGCGGGAGTTGCAGTTGTTGTTTGATGGATCTTGTGGGCGAGCCATTTTTCAGGATTGGGGGCATCTTGGTGGTTTGATGGCTCGAGGCTGGGTTCGGCGTCCTTTTTGGACTTGAAGCTGTTGATGAGATAGTAAAGCATGACGGTGATGTCGATAAGGTGCTGCCTTTGAGAGTAGATGATTTCAATGGCCAAAAACCACGTAGCAAGTGAGAGGCGATGATAGGAAAGGTTGCTTGGGAACAAAGATTTATGCGAAAATTGCGACAATTGACGCATACTGCTGAACAACACGATCCTTATGAGTAAGATCCTGTGCCCTAGCTTCAACTTTACTGTCTCACAGGCAACTAACGTATCTGGCGAACGGCATGAGACACAATCCACATGTCTTACTGCGGGAGCGCAGGATGCCGTCAGATCGTCCAATCGGAGCACAACCGCAGTCATGAGCTGAGGCTGGGGTGACACAATTTGCACAGCTATTGACACATCTGGTGTCAATCTTTCAGGCCGGTCACGCAAACGTCTCAACACAGCTTCCAAGTTCCTCTCCCTTCACCGCCATGACGACTGAGCGGTCCCCTTCCTTCGATACGAACACAACACAACGAGGCCAGGTTCCGCCAGACTCAGTGCTCACAAAAGTTCCACTCCATTGTCGTCATCACCCCCATCCCCTGCTCAGCAATCGTCGTCCTCTCCTCCATCAAATCAGCCCGTGTCCTCTTGGCCTCCTCGATCCCAATCGGAAAATCCATATTATCAAACACCACATCCGTAATCTCGGGCGGCAACGTTCCCAACCGGTCTCCCTGCGCCGCGCCCTCCTTCCAACACCCCCTTTGCTGCGGCGGCATATTCGCCGTACCAATAATCGGAACCCTCAGGTCCACGAGGAACAGCGCGAGGATCTTGCGGTAGCTCGCCTTAGTCTTATTAATAAGCTTAAACGTCGTAACGCAGTGCTAGTAGTGTGATCAGGCTAGTCGACAGGGTTTTAGTGATTCTCAAGGTAACGTGGTTCTCTTCATCTACGATGACATTTGCAGCGCCGCCTGGACAATCATAGCTGATACTTGGCACAACAGAATGGAAAGAATTCTTATTGAAGCCGCGCTCTTGGACCTTGTCGCACGCATCTCATCTCGTGTGTTGCGTTGTGACTCTTGCTGATGAACTACGACTTAAAGCTGACGCCGGGCGCTAAACCTGTGCCTGTGGCGGCTGGGATTGCACTTGACTGATCCACATACACAGGTGCAGGTCAGACGCAGTGAGCCTCAATTCGACTTGGTTTCTATGTTAAGCAAGGACTTTTAGTGTGTGTCAGACTAGAACGCATCACTTCAAAAGTCCTTCAGTCGGTCGGACACAGTCCGCAATCCTCATGATTACTTCCTAACAGCGCCTGCAGAAACCTTTATGGCTCTTTTTTGACCGCAAGGGCCAAAAGAATCAAGATCAATCAAGAGAACAGACGAAAGGGTAGAATTTGATAGTATACATGAGGAGAATTTCAAAGCCAGCCATACATGAGCGCAGTGCCTGGTCATCCAAGTGTAATGTCAACCGCAGCCCTGCCTGTAAACCATCCCTTGTCTTATACACCGAACCAGCCTACTCGTTTCCATATCGCACCATGTCTGGCTAACATCAATCCTTCCTCCTCGATCATCAGTAGACACCATACCTCATCACAAGCTTCTTCCATTACATCGAAGAATCCGACAGCAACGACTTGCCCTTGTAGGTTGAGTTTACTTGTGTTCTTGTCCGCCGAAATAAGCAGTTTACCATTGGGCATACTAGCCTTCCATTGCTTTGGCTCCCGTTTGACCGCTGAGATGTAGTCTCTTACCGCTACCTTTGATACGACAGCCTTCGCCACTTGCCCGATCAAACGCAGCTCGCAAGACGGCATTTTCAGAGCTTCTACATCGCAGGTTGTGTCTATCGTCCAATTGTTGCCAGCTCCCGGACGTACCTTGATAGACTCCTTAGCGAACAGCTCTTTGACCCTTCTAGCGTCGGTTTCATTTCGAATGTGACCCTCGACAGATGCCCACGACCAGGAGGGCGCACGAAGAACAGGTGCAGGTGCAAAAGCGGTCGGCTTGGGGCGGGTAACGGGTTCGCAACGTTTCCCGAGAAATGAGTGCATGGACTTCCACAGCAGCCCTCTTACGAGGTCGGCTTCCCAAAGGCCCGCGAGGTAACGAGATTGCAGGACCTCCTTAGCGAGCTTTGCAATGGACGCGATAGCAGCAAATACGTCATGTGGGTTGGACAATTTTCGCTGTGTAAAGTCGTAGAGACTCTGATACCACATGCTGAGCGTCTTTGCGATGTCGGCCTCCCTGTTCTTGGCTGAGGAGACGAACCCCGGGGCCAGAAATGTGGGCACTGAGCCTAGGTGCTTGGACTTCCCATCCTCCCAGATTTCCCATGTCCGGCATTCATACAAAAGCTGAGTCTCGCAAAAGATGACTGACCGATTGGAGAGAATCGTGGAACCGAAAATCGGTGTTCGATATGTCGTCGATTGTCAGCTTCGCACAGACCTTGCAGTACGGCATGGTTGAGTCGGTGCGATCTTGCACGTCTGCCTCAGCTTTGAGCCAAGTAAGAGTGAAAGTATGGCAACTTTTCAGACAAGGCTGGGGCGGGGACGCGTCTTGCAAGCGGATATAGCGGCGACGCCAGTAATTGCATGTAACTAAGGAAGCCAACAGTCTGACCTGAATATGCGATTATCAGCAATGAGCACTTTGGTCTATTTAATTCGAAGCAATCTACCAACGCTGTGATGTTCAGGTACAAGGGCTACGTCGATAAACATTGAGTTTGTGCAAACCGGCATGCAAATTATATGTATTAAGTATTATAGGTCCAATCCAACACAACAAATATTGAGGCCATGCCATCTCTACTACTGCATGGATATCTCGGAGATGCTGGGTCCCTGTTATAACTGGTTTTAGCAATAACCTCCGCACTTTATAGAATCAAAACTCACCATCATTACTAGCGTTCTCTGGGTTATTTTCCACTTTCCATCTATTTCTCGCTCCACTTTGTCGACATATCGTCCGTAGCTATATAAGACCTTGTCTAAACCAAAGGTCTCCGAAAGATTTGTTGTCCCCGCCATGAAATGAGATGCAGTCAGATACGTCAGTGCAACAGCCGTATTCTCTGAGCACACTTCAATGAGCTGAGTGCCGTAGCTATGGTGAGTGCTGGCAAACATTCCCAGTCCTTGAGAGATGGCTGCTGTGATGCTGTCTGAGCCAACGAGGTCGCCCAAGGGAGGTGGAAAACTGGCTGTGGCGTTGGCTGCGAATATACTGCCAAGTTGGCTCCAGTCCTTTCCATCGATGGCTACCGGATATCGAGCGAGCAGATGCTGGATGGAATGAACAGCTGTCAGGTACTCAAGGCTCCCAACTGGTGGTCGTTGACAGGTTTGACCGCAATCGAGAATCGGAGTGATTGGTGAGCCATTGCTAGAGGCAGTGACTATGCCAGTGGTGACCGAGGCAAGGGTGAGGAATTTGACCATTGTTGATTATTCGGCGCGGAAGAAGAGGGATGCATCCGAGCACTTCTTGGTGAATCCTATCTGGGAAGGTTCGCTGACTTTATATAGCCGCCCCTGTGTAACATCGCTGTTCGTAGCCGCAGCTGAACCCCGTTACGCCACTCCAATTGGGGCAGACTCAATAAAGGTACGCCAAGACGGGCGATGTGAGACCGCAAAGACAAAGGCAATTGAGGAACAGTCAGACTGGTCTGATCTGTCATCTCTGTGCTACTGTTGCTAAATTCCGAGGGGAAAATTTACTAGCATTTTGTTACGATCGAAGCACCCGGCCAGGCCGGCACTGCGTGTCACACGGAGGCGGATGAACTCTTTAAAAAACCTTCCCGAATCGAGGCCCGAGAGTGGGTCTTGAGCTTTGTGTTCCGGCAGTCCGATGGGTAGTTGAATCAGCAATGGTCCACGGAGCGGATTTTTTTTCTTCGCACGGTACGGCGTTGAGAAAGAAGTTAAGACAGCCGAGAATCTTGGACATGGAGGACGCAATATATGGTCCATCGTGTTTGCATCACCGGCATCCCCTGATTTCCTTTCGCAATACAAATTTACAGTCATTTAGTTCGCCCTAATGCTTTGTCAAAGTGCGGTCAAATCTTTGAAGACGTAGTGATATTAGATTAAGTCTTGATCTAAGATAAGTAGAGGCCAAAGGCAGTCTTAATATCCAATCTTCATCGTCCCATTAGATTACCAACTACTGCACGTGAGCAAACCAAACACTGCCAGGACCAAGACAGTAAGTATTGTTATAAACACTACAAGCACATGTCCAACATTTACTGGTACTGGGCGCGGTAGGTATCCCAGTAGCTGTAGATGCGGCTCTGCTGTCCGTTGGAGAATCCGGTGAAACACTCGCTGGTGAGAAGTTAGCTTTAATGTTTAGAAATGAGCTTGGTGGTTACTTACTCGTCGGAGTAGTTCATGTAGTTGGTAACAGAGTCGGTACCGGCAGAGTTGGGGCAGGTATCGCGACCGATCTGGCAACCGTAGGACTCCTGTTGTCACTTGTTAGCCGATGATCTCTCACTCCGGCATGCTGCACTGGGGATATTTACCTCGGCCTCGTAGGGGGTGTCATCAACAGAGTCGCCATCACCACTGCAAGCGTAGCCCTGGAAGGTGTGGAAGACTGCCTTAAATTAGCTAATGCTCAATGTGTGCAGTGCTCGCCATTGAGTGATAACTTACGTCCAAGCCAGTGACCGATCTCGTGAGTGGCAGTGTGACCAAGGCTGTACTCCTCGTAGCTGCCTCCCGGGACCGTGGTAGAGAGAATGACAACGCCGTCACGGTTGAAATCAGCAGATCCCGGGGTGATGGTCTGAGGGAAGCGAGCATAGCCAAGGTAGCGCGAGCTAGCGACGAAGTACACGTTTAGATCAGCGTACGTGCCCTTGCGAAGCGCAGTCTTCATCGCAACCTCAGCACGGTCAGCAGCCCAGTTGGAGTTGACAGTCCAGTCAGCGCCAGCCTCGACAAAGGAGATATCGTGGGGGGCATAGGCGGTGTTGAGCACGGCAAGCTGCTCATCCAGGGTGGCCTGGGTCAGGTAGCCGCCGCTCACGGACTGCGAGGAGGCCACAACGTGCCAATAGACATTGATCTGGATGGGGCCGGCGGCACGGGAGCCGTTACCGGCAAGGCGGGCGCTAGACTCCATGAGCTTGAAGTCCTGGGCGACCTGGAGGTCGACCTCAGTGGGCTCGTCGGTTCCGCAAGTTCGCTTGGCGAAGGCGGATGCCACCATGGAGGCGGCGACCAGGAAAGACTTGAGCTGCATGATGAAGAGAGTGCCGGGAAGATGAGAACGGAATGAGAAGATTGGAATGCCGATGGTGAGGACCATAGTTGTAATTCTGGCGGTCTTTCACGAGTCTTTATACATCTCGATCATCGGGACGCTGAATTCCACAGAGTGGCGGGAAAATAGAATCAAGCGCCATCTCCCAACTTCGAACTCCCTCTTCTGGTCGCTCCGCCAAAAGATAGACCATTCAGCGGTCGTGAACATCGCGTTCGTGGAGGAGATAAACTTGACAGCCGGCATCGGGTTGCATTCGCCCGGGATTTGACTCGTGAAGTTCAGCTACCTGCTCGATTCGTCCAAGACGTCATGCGACAGGACGGAGCTCAAAAGCTCAATTTTCACATCACAAATTGAAAGCTGGAAAATGCCATGCGCTGCCAAGAGGTTTTGCTGGTTAACCTGCCTTAAATGTGATTCTAAAGCCGCTGAAGAGGGTCCTGGTGCCTTGGCAATTACTACCTCGTATTACAATCTCCTCCCTGAGACCCTTGCTCATCAGAGTAGTTTATCTAAGCGCGTCGGCTGTGCGCGGTGCAGCATGCAGCGCCATTCGGTACCTGCCGATGCGCGGGATACGCGGGACATGGATCAACAGCAGGTAACGCGATCGTTGGGGATGGCATCGCATCTTGAACGTATTTACAGAGTACACTCAAGGCCGTCTTTTGTGGCCTAAATTTAGGTTGTCCACAGCCGCTCGTTTTGCGATTCTCTTCAAGGCAGTATCCTCCTTCTCAGTCTTATCTCGCTTGCAACCCTCCGCAGCTGGCCCGAGCACTGAGACCAGGGCATAATTTGGCATGCCGTATTGCCCTGTTAGCGGCCAAGGTCGCCGATCATATCGCCCGTTGCGAATCGCGATGTTGTCGTCTGTGTATTTTCTCAGAGGTTTCGGGATACCCTGATCATCATGTCGGCTTTGGTGTTCCAAGACTTTGATCAGGTCGACGAATATAGTTGTCGACGGCAGCTCGATTTCGAATTTCTGTAGCGAGCTGAGAGAGTCCTGCATGTCGTGGCTCACGATGCAAATCGACACATACTCAGTCGCTAGTTGAGAAAATAGTTCTTTGACCTTCGCTTTCGCGTCGTCGTAGTAAAGTGAAAACTCCTCGGTGGAGTCGTAGCGGTAATACCATGGTTTCGGTCGGAGTCTCTTGTTGACCTTGGACTTTTCCAACACAATGAACTTTTTCTTGCAGCACTGCCTTGTGGGGTGTTGCTTATTGGACTTGGAGCCCGAGAGTGGATTCGCAGTTGGCGAGAGGATGTCCAGCTCCATGAACGGCGTTTCCGTGACGCAGACATGCGCGCCTACAGGTTCGCAGCCTACAATGACGACCTGGTCGCTGTTCCAGCACTCTGCAAACGTCCCGTTTTCCTTGGCGCACTCTTCGACTCTTCGCAGTTCACCCTTTGTGAGAAGGTGTGGCGTTTGGTGGGTCATCGTCCTAGATAGCCGTTGCGATGTTGGTTTCGATAGATTTTCAGGCGCTGGGTCGAGGTGTAAATCCGCCAAGTACGCTTGTCTTCAGAATGTGATCTGGTTCAATCGGGGTAGAGATGATGCTGCCGATCTTCACTACAAATACAGAAGCAACTGTGGCTGTGCTTCTCCGTACTTCTAACAGCAAGAACACGAGTCGGGTTTTGCCGGGGGTTGAGTCACTCGGGGAGGCAGCGCGTTTCAGCCCGTCGTAGATTTTGTGGCACAGAGTGGCGCATTTCCATGAGGAGGTTGGCAATTCCCCTGCTTAATATCAATGGGTATTATTGTTGACTGTTGGCCGAGGACACGGAAGAGTGTAATGTTAAAATTCAGACCCCGTGCCGACTGAAACGCACGCCCTACGGCGTGTCTAGCAGCACAGGGACCAATGGTTTTACTAAACAGTAGTAGTAACTTACCACTGGGGAATCGTCGATTTCACCTGCTCCTTTTACATCATGTTTTCACGCTTGCGCAGTACCATGACCGTGAATTCCATCAATGAAAATCTCCCTCTAGCTCCATATTCCACAGGAATCCCATACCCCTTAAGAAGTCCTTAAGGTCTCTAGCTAGCTCAGTAGTTCTGAAGGATCATTGAAGGTGGGTGGATTGAGCTGTATATCAGAAGGCGGTGCTGGAAGTCTTAGCCATGCATGCTCAGGCTGGTCTCGGTCTTGATCCGTAAGGCCCGGGGCTTCGAGAGCGCTCTTGTAAATGATCGTCAGGGCCTCATAAATGACCCTCCCGTCATGTTGTGGCTTGTTTGTCTCAAAGGAATCCAAAAACCCCTTCAAAAGCTCCATGTCTTGCTGGGCTCCAGGCGTTTGCCTGTACAGCACGATGCTTAGAAGCAAGCCGTCAATGCTCCACCCAAGGTCATGGCACATGTCCCTTGAGGCTCACGATTAGTGTTGGGCGACTATGTGTGTTGTTCGAATCGAGACTTACAACATGAACGGATTGTTTTTCTCCGTGTATACGGAAAGACAGAGAATGTTTCTCGCGGCAGACGCGCACTCATTTACTACCTTTATTGTTATCTCCCGTATGGCGGGGTCGCTGAAGTATGGGATGTGGCAAAATATGGAGGAGTGGATGGCGATTATTGTTTGGAAGTAGGTGCGATGCAGAGAGGTAATCTGCATCGCATGGGGAATTGACAAGTCTTCTGCTACATTTGGAGGCCTAGCAGACGCAGGCAGGTCATTTGCCCACTGTTGAAGCTCTGAAAGTAGTTTTGAGGTGGCTTTCAGATGATTCTGGCTGCCTTTCGCGGAAGGAAGAGGCGATCGGAGGTTGTCGTATACTCTGTCCTGTATCTTCGCAAGCAGCACTTGCTGTCGTAGATAATTGAGGCTACGGCCTTCTGAAAGCTTGATGACTCCATGACTGTCAACAGGATGTTCGTCAGGCAAACCAATAACTAGCCTTTCAGTCAGAAGAGGGGGTTTGAAAAGTCGCAGTGATAGCCTTTGGTCCATAACATAAGCCCGATAAAAAAGCCGGTTTTTGTGAAGCTGGTCGGTCGACAGCGCTCCAGAGGAAGATGTGGCCACATGGTATCCAGCCAGCAGCATCATCTGCGTTACTGATCCAAGCACAGTTGCAGCTGGAGAGCTCCTGGACGTGGATTCAAGGTAGGCTGTCTAACAGGGTTTCTTTTAGTTCTAGTCCAGAAAACCATGACGTATGGTTCAATGGACGTACCATCAAGAGCAGCGTGCCCACTGCCAATGTGTCGGGTGCCTCCATCATGATACCAGGCAGCACCCGCATGGCGTTCTCCACAAGCCTTTCCGTCATCGCATTCTGAGCGCCATGCAACGTCCCCGAGGCGCATGCACAAACCATGCTGATGGCTGCGTAGACACTCTGACTTGGACAAGACTGCCCTTGAACATAGTTCTGGAACACGCCCTCAATCTCCTCATTTCGGAAGAACTGGAAGTCGCTGTTCACCGATTCTAGGAAGACTGAATAATGTTAGAGATGGTAGTAGCTATTCAGGGATGAGTGGGCCTACTTCTGAGACACTGCAGTGCCGTGTCTAGCATTGGTAAAGGATGCATCGGGCCCCCTGAAAGATTGAGACTTGGGAAATTTGGATGAAGCGATCTGCTGCACAGCTTGCTAAACGTTTGGTTGCCGATCATGTAATCTACGCATTTGATGTGAAGAACATCAAAAATGCAGCATGAGCCTGTGTCAATTGTCAGTCCGACTGGCCGCCATGAAGTATGTGGCTAATCAGCGACATACTCTGATATTGGAACTTAGCAACTGGCTGATCAGGCGGTCCTATCCTAGCCATCGGCAGTGCGTCGCGGCGTATGAGACGGTACAACACATCGGGACTCGTTACGTACGACTCTTCGCACAGAGTATCGAACCCCAGGTGGGCCAGTGGAGAGACGTGGAGCTGTCTCGAGCTCGGCAGGTGAGCAACATTTTCGACCGTGTTGCCGGGTGTCAAGCTTTGCACCATCTGCTCAACCTGCTGTAGTCTCCTGATCATACCAGCACGGGAGCTAGAACCTGACCTGTTCTAGTGCGTCAGAAACACGTCCATGCCTGTTGAGATTGGGCGAGCGATACTTTCTACTGGTGGGCGCGCGGAGTCGTTTGTGGGAGTAGACGCAGTCAAGCTCCTTCGCCACGCATGTCGAACATGCAGGAAGGGTTGAGTCGCATTTCACCTACTCGGCCCGTTAGCGGCTACGCTACCAACGGCACGCATGGCTCTGATGACGGTACCTTTCGCTGCCTGCACGGCGTGCAAGCCCATCTGGACCGCTCCGCCGATGATTCTGGAATAGGTGTGTCTGTCGGGGTAGACATGTTCGGAACTTCGGGCGGGCGCGGATCCTGAAGCTCGGAAGATGCGAAAGAAGGAAGGCGGATGGCTGAGCTTTCAATTGTCAGGCTCAGACTGCCGGAGCTAGCTTAATAATACAAGACGCTCCGAGACTTTACTGAAAACGAACGTAATTTCTCCATTGCAATTGTTTCCGCTAGGATCCGACGTCTATTGACTGGGAATTTCTCGGTTCCCCGCAGATGTTCCGGCTCTCCATTCTATACCGAGCTGGTGGCCCCACACATGTTCCGGTCCCCGAGTACCCGTCATATCGCCGCCGGCCACAGATATCAGTAATGTCTCAGCTAAGGCGCAATGATCCTATTGTTATTCCGAAGAAGAGGATGCGCGATCATCTTGCTTGCTTGGTAAGGGGAGCCGTCTCTGTCGCAGTGTTCTGAAGCGCGGTTGTAGGCCAGTGTAGTATATAATTCTTAGATCAATCAGGTAGTTAGTACCTACCTATCAATTCGGTGCACTTAAACTCAACCTGAAATCAAAGCGTCAGCTCTGACGACCTACTAACTGTCAGAATGATCTCGAACGCCATTAAGGTTGCCGTTTACGGCGCCGCCGGCGAGTCAGCGGGCCTGATCGTAGATCAGCTTCTCGCATCAACGACTCCGTGCTTTGTAGGTATTTATTCCCGTCATGTCATTTATGGCGCATAATTGACACATTGGTATTAAACATGGAAGCTAATGCTGCTGTTTAGGAAGTCACAGCTCTGGTCCGGCCCTCTTCAATTTCGAAGCCGGCCTATGCTAAGCTAGCTCAGCGCGGCGTCGAAATCGTAGCTATCAATCTAGAAGGGCCAGAAGTTGACGCTGCTAGGGTTCTAGAAGGCCAAGATGTTGTCATTGCGTCCGTGCCCCCCAATGCGCTCGATTGCCAACTCCCCCTGATCCGAGCTTCCAAACTGGCAAACATCAAGCGGTTCATCCCAACTGCTTTTGCGATGGCTCTTGACCCAAATGGTATCTCCTCTGTGCAAATCATGGTACGATGAAATCTTGTTTCCCGCCTTGGCGTGGTGCTCCAAAGACTCAAGGACCCCTCTGATTCGTCATGCATGTGCTTCACACTTTGAACAGCCGCTGACCTCGCTACTTACAGAAGGAGAAGATCTACCAAGAGCTTGAAAGATGCAAAATTTCTTACACTATCATCGACGTCGGCTGGTGGTACAACGGCTTCATACCTGAAGTGCCGTCCGGAAGAACTGATCATGCCATTGCACTTCCGGACTTCCTCAGGAACTTGGTCCCTGAAGATGGAAACATGAAAACCTATGTAATTGACAACGAAGACGTCGGAAAGTTCGTCGCTCGCATCATAGTTGACTCCAGGACTGTCAACAAGCGGGTTATGGCTGCGGGAGCAAGCATGTCTTTCAATGAAATGTTCGCCATTGCTGAAGAGCTCACGGAGGACACTGTCACCCGAAAGCATGTATGTTGTCAACTCCCGATCGTTGCTCCAGCGTAACCTGATAAGCTCTTTTCATACAGGTTTCGGCGGAAGAGCTCAAATCCATGATTTTCGGCGCAGCCTCTCAGCTCCAAAGCGATTCGAATAACTATCTTCTACTTGTCGGTAAGCTGTGGCTGGAATATTACTACTCCTCTTTCATCGACGGCGATAATAGCCCAGAGGGCGTCAAGCACTTGGGCTACATCGTGGCTGGAGATCTGTACCCCGATTTCAAGCCGACCACCTTCCGAGATTTCTTCCAAGAGACCTTAGATGGCAAGAGACGAATCCCATATTCTGCGAAATAAAACGTGACTCGGCCTCTTTGTTTCAGATTCATACAAAGTTGAGAGGCACTGGGGAAGCGGTTTAAAGGCAAGGAATTAGAGACATCGTTGCGAATGTCAAAATTAGGTTTTTATCGAGGCTTTTCAAATCCTACAATACAATAGACGTTATGGCGCAAATAGACTCCCAACACGGCGTTCCAGTTTACTATGAAGAGGGGGTCATCTTCTTTCATCCTTCATGGGCGAGCAGCCGATGTTGTGACCATGTTCATATGCAGGTGGACTAGCGCTTACTTGTGGCTTGAAACCCCTACCATCTTCAGGACTGGATACGCTTATATAATGAACTTAGCTCACATGAAGCGAACCTCTCTATATTAAGCGAGTTGCCCGCTTTTCGCCTCTGGCCATGAACATGCACTAAGTCATCTTTTGCTTCGAATCGTCGCAGATCTGTGCGGCGCAGCTGGCCCCCGAGCATGCCTCAACCACCCAGCGCAGAAATCATTGGCGGCCTTCTGTCACGAAAACGCACCATTCAAAGTAGAACTAAGGTGAAAACTGGATGCGCAACATGCAAGTAAGACTCGAATCATATCGTCGGCGCTAGCCCTAGAAATCAGGGTCCAGCCGGGGATACATCTTTGCAGTCATCCCACTGACTCGGTAGCAGAAAAAGGAAGATCAAATGTGACGAGAACAACCCCCTTTGCCACAGGTGCACGAGCACAGGCCGTACTTGTGACGGTTACGAGTCTCCATTTCGACTCGTTTTGACAAACCACACATCTGACTCGGCAGGTGCCAAGTTGGATATGGCCAGGATACAGTCCATCAGACCGAACATGGCTGAGATTGAGATCACTCGTGAAGACGTTCATCTTCTTGGCCGTTACTTCTCAACCAAGACCATATTCGACGTGGACCTTGCCTGCGATAAAGAGGCTCAACAAATCATACAAGCCAGTGTAACTGATCCATCAGTCCGATTGGCAGTTTCATCCCTTAAAATTCTCCGAAAGCATCTCGAGACTTGCGAAGATTTTGCCTTTTCCTCTTTAGGACAGAAGTCGGGTCGATACTATGACCATGGGGTTCAGCAATACTGCATGGCTTTAGGGGGCCTAGCGTCCAAACTGTCGTCTCCGGGCTCCGACGAAATAAGGTCGGCGTTGCTTTGCTGCCAAATATTCCTCAGCATCGAGCAGGTGCGCGGCAATTACTCAGCAGTAGCTCAGCATCTTGTTCAGGGACTTAGTATCATGCATGAATATCGGGCACGGCCATTGTTGATTGGGAGAGACAAGTTGATACCGGCAAGCCATAGCAAGATTCCTCTACTCGACGTCTTCGTCCTCAAACTTTTCATTGCACCATGCAAATTTGCAGATTCTCCGGCATCAACAGACATTAAGGAAACAGCCACGGGTGCATGCCCGGTGTTGTCTCACCAACAGTCTGGGGAATCTGAATCTGTCCCTGCTCGTCCCATAGCACCCGACATGCGCACGCTTCTTACCAGGATTGCCTCAAGGACGCTTGAATTCCTCTATAAGGTTTCGAATGTTGAGTCGATAGCAATGGCCCTCTTACTTGTTTCCGAAAAGGTATCTCTCCTGGATAGTTTGGAATCGTGGTACTCAATATTTGAGCACGTTCATTCGGACGCAAAAGCTCCGCAACGAGAGCCTCTGTCAGTAACTTTCTTACGCTTGTTCTATCGGACATTGCATATCGTGCTCCTAGGGACAATCTCCTGCGATTTAGAGTATGACGAGAAGCGACCGGCCGAGATTGAGCAATTGCGCCTTGTGGCAAATAATGTAGAGGAAGGATTAAAGACTTATCGAGGTTACAGGGGTGCTGATAGTAAAGAACGTGCGTCGGATCCAGCATGTTGATGAGTACTTGATGTGTTGACGGATTTCTGTCGACTCTCACAAGTGAACTTGGGCATGCAATGGACTTCAACAGCTTCAATGTAATAAAACCATCTGCAATATTTTATATAACACAATCGATCTCTAATTACCTCATTTACTACCATATCACTGTGTCGCCTTTGCAGCGGTCAGGACTTGCTGTATGGCTCGCCTGTTGATGACGCGGTTCCACCATGCACTCACGGCTTTTCGACCGAGGATTAGATCTGCATATCCGCATGCAACGAGCCTCTGGATCAGGGGTATATAGTAAATGTCCACAAGAGTGAAGTCCTCCCCACCCATGTAGTCGCTGTGTTGCAATGCACGTTCTGCAACGTCAAAAAAGGCTTCGATGGACCGTGTTGCTCCTGACACGACGGTCTCATCAGGAGGCAAGCCCATGAATCTCTGCTTCACAAACTTCTCAAACGCAATTTTACCTGCGGGGTCGGCAAAGTAAGACATCTCCTCCGACTGCGCTTGTTCAAAAAGTGCAGTAGCTTCCCTGTCGGAGTCGGGCGGTAGAAGCGGGAAGCAGTATTTCTTGGCGAGGTACTTGCAGATAACCCTACTCTCATAGAGAGTGAAACCGTCGGGGAAGATGACAACTGGGACTTTACCCCAAGGGTGTCTCTTCATATACTCTTCCGACTGTGCGGGGTGGTGTCAGCACATTACTTTCGGGAGATGTCGGTTCACGTACTTTTTGTTCCCCCTTTTGCAGGTTGATCAGGACAAGTTCGTAGTCCGTGAAGCCACCTTCAGCGAGAGTCAAACGGACACGATCCGTGTTGGTCGAGCCACGGGCGCCATATAGAGTGAATGCTGGCATTTTGGAGGAGTGTGATATTTGCGACAGAATTCTGCCGTTGTTGGTGATGAACTTCGACATGACCTTGGATACCTGGGGGGAAATTGTGACAAAGTTGCCTTGTTTTATAGTCATTTGCACCGAAGATTTGCCTCACAAACAACAACACTACACATGATACTCGAACCGCCATCATTACATATGGTTGGCCGGTTCGCTCACACTACTTGATCGAGTTAGCGCGGGCGCAGGCTACGTGCTGACAGCGCCCGCTTCCCCGATTTAATCGTCCGGCCGTGCCGCCCGGTGGGTCCCGTGTCGTCCGAGCCCGTTTGTAGTATCCGAACCGAGCCAGCCAATCGGCAGACACCGTAAATGCAATTCTAGGCATAGGTGTTGCGGTCTCATGACCATCTTTCATCAGAAATACAGTTCTCAAGAGTTGGATCTGTGTGCGACCGATCGTTGGTCCGTCAACGTTAAATACATTGACATGCCTATTTGTTTTGGTAGCATTGAAAAATCCAATCTCAGTAGTTTCATTTTACTTTCGAATCGGCTGCACGCTTAGACAGTAGATTACAAGCCCAAACTGATCCTCTTCTCACTTGTCATCATGCACTTCCTGCTTCTCGGCGCGACAGGGCGTACTGGCAAACATGTTGTGTCTGAACTCTTGTCTCAAGGACATACAGCAGTAGCTCTCGTCCGCTCTCCTGGCGGTCTTCCAGACAGTCCTGGCCTCACCATCGTCACTGGATCGCCGCTATCAAAGCCTGATATCTCATCAGCTCTTTCGGCTACGCCTCCTCTAACTCCTTCCGCCGCCATCATCACCCTGAACACAGTCCGCGAGTCTGACAGCCCTTTCGCACGTCAGCTTTCACCTCTCCGCTTCCTAGCCGACTCATGCGCCAATGCTTGCGAAGTCCTCCAGCAGGCCGGCGTCCGTCGTATCGTGGTCATGTCGACAGCTGGCGTTGGTGATTCTTGGTCGAAGATGCCATGGCTTTCGAAGGCATTCATGAGCTGGACCAACATCAAGTTCGCCCCGGAAGACCACGGTCTCGTGGACAAGGAGATCCGTTCTACAGAGATGGAGTGGACACTTGTTAGGGCAGTAAGACTCGAATTCGATGACCCTAAGTTACCGAGTCAGACCAACACCAAGGCGGAAGTGGAGACGCTGGGTAGCGACGGTGCCGGAATACGCGTGACTGACAGCGTCAGTGTTCGTAGTGCGGCAAGATTTCTCGTCAAGGTTGCAGTTGAGGGTCTCTTCATCGAAAGTGCAGTGGTAATACGGGATTGACAGCGGCGATGGTTTTGCAACTCTGAAGGTAGTATGAGGATTTATTCTAGATGATCCAGTAAGATCTTACTTGCCTCACCATTGTTGAATTATTCACGTCCGCTTCAAGCCACTGTCGGCCAAATCAACGCCGACCTCCGGTATCTCCCCTCCAATGTGTCAATTGAATCGCCTTTGATCAACACTACCAAAACTTTGGTCATTGAATTATATATGTCTCAGCGCAATACTCAGCATGAAACCGACCAGGCCTGCCACTTTCCCAGTTTCGACTTATCCAGCCTTGAAGGACACCAGTTAGCACTTCTCTTCATGACGCTCCAGACGTCATAATCAAACGTACTGAATACATCCATCCTGTACTTGATTGATACGTTGCCAGTTGGATGGCTCGCTGATTGACGCCACACACCCCGCAAGTCCCGGCGACGTCAAACGATCCGTGAATATGTCAATGGTACAACCTCCAAAGACGATGTTGACACTTTTGGCATCATAGTTGGCGTACGACTTGTTGATGCTAGTCATTGTGAAGCACTGAGCGAGGTGCTCGGTCCCGGTGTTGGAGCCGCCGCCGTAGTGGAATGTCGTTCCACCAGCACACTGGTCATGGTCATAGAATGTGACCGACCACGCAGAAACGGAAGTTACAATGAAGGACAACAATGCGAGCCTCATGATGGTCTTGGTAATAACTGACGACCGGGAAAAAGAGAAGGTTAACACAACGTATTGAGTTCCAAAGTCAACTGAAGTGCGAACACTTTGTATTGACATCGGATGAACGGCACTGGGATGCTGCAGCCAGCCCGCCGTTAAGGTTTGTAGGGCGGAACGGCCGACATTGGTTTGAGTAATACGCGCTTCCCGCTTAACCACATACCGTTCGGGTGTCCCAGATAGAGCACCTCACAGGCATTGGGTCTGACTCGCAATTGCGATTTCCTCGAAGTATCTTGCGCAACATGAAGCCAAGTGATGTCTTTAACTCGGCATCCTCCGAACTTAGAGCCACGGGAGTTGCCGCTGATACGCATGGCTCGCATTCGCATTTCATTGACAGAGGTCTCTTTCAACCTGAAATATTTTGACTCACTCTCCCGAGGAGGGTCAAGACTGACCGCCGAACTAGGTGCCTGGGCGAAATATTATGCTCCTTTCAGAACATGATAGGACTATTTACATACGGACGCCCTCCAACGAGAGGCCAGATCAGTACCATGATTGAATATCAGACAGCCTGTTGGTCTTGACGCTGAAGACGTCTTTGCCGATCATGACAGACAGTAAAGTGTCACGCAGCATGCTGACGTCCCGCCGTGGTAAGAAAGTGGCTTGCGCTTCGCATGAGAAACAGACAAAACCGGTGTGGCACGGTGTCATTGTGATGCTGTATGGGCTGCCGTCTCACTGGGTGTTTAGGCTCTTCCACCCGCAGGTTTGTCTCCTGCCAAGCTTCGAGCGACGGCAGACCGGCCGGCTCTTGCATCCAACGTCCCCACCATCACGGAAGTAACAACGCTATGCAGGGGCGCAGTCCAAGGTATGAGCTATTGGTGACCTGAACATGGAATATGCTCAAAGTTCAGGTGGCAGCCTGAAATGTTGGGCGACCCGGAGCGTTTGGTCAGCTTCTTTCGGTTCCGGCGCCACCGTGGGATATAGCTCCCCTGGGAGATTGAAACAAGGCCGGCGTCAAGACAGCCTGCCATACTTTGTTGCTCATGAGTAGTGGGTATGGGGCTGAAGTTTGGTCGCCGAAAGAGATTGCGCCGCTCATATCAGGTCAATATCATCTCTTCCTGCAGTCTGGCAACATCACAACCCATGTCCCCAACTACCATGTGGTAAAAACGAACCAGAACATTCCCAATTTCCGAATCTCGCCATCACGGTTGGCTAAGAGGCCTGCTACCTAGCACCAACAGCATCATAACCTAGAGCAAGGGGCACACTCATGGTTACTTTTCATTTTTCCCAATCTCATATGCAGATAGGCTGTGTTGACCATGAACGTCTCACACCGGGGGCTTCAAAGTGCACAAAATATCAAGTCCAAATTTCCCGCAATGCAAGGTTGGCTTTTCCATGCGCTCTTGATATCCTATCCTGTGTTCCTCAATGACGTGGGCCGGGGGTTCGCGGGGTTGACGCTGGGAGGGTGGGAATCCACCTGAACCTGCTCCGGGCCCACGGCTCAATCTTCGAGAATGGGAGCGTTCCATTAGTCGGGCAGAAAAAAGTCCCGACGTTGGCAAGGACGGCTTCGATCTTTCACCCCTGATGCCTGAACATCTCATCGCATGAGACTCTCGAGACCAGATGGCTGCTCCCTGCCCGATACTTGGCTATTGTGTCTTGGCTTCCGATGGTGATAAAGACCATCTGGTTTTGGCCTCTATCCCGGGATGGCTGGGGGCCAAAATGGAACACCGCATTGTAACATGAACAAGATGAACGGCGAGACTTCCCGGGTTCGGCGGATTGAAGAAAGAAGCATAAGCTATCATGCCATATTCGGCCAGGTAGAAACCCCGAAGTCCAGTTTCTGAGGCCGCTTACGACGTGAAGATGGAACATCTTCTTCGCACGCCGGCTTGTGTTGCTTCAGGGTGTCATGCAGGGTCAAACTTATTTACTATTCTCCCTGGGAGCTACTCGGCGTGGGGTCCGGAACACAGCCAACCGGAATTGTCTTCAGTACCCCGAAGGATCCCCAAGCAAGGATGCGGCTTGCATCTCCTTTCCCATTCTCCTGGGGATTCCTGATTTCCTTCAATACCAAGATCCATCTTCCCAGTCGCCTTGCAACCCTGAATGGCACCTTGATCGTCCAATTCGTCGAAGAACTGTAGGCAAAGTCTTCGCTCCGGTCGCGACATTCTTGGGCATAGATGATAGGTTGCAAATACCGGGATTGCAATTCTTGGTTTCATGCTTCGGAGATAGTCTTGCTGTGACAAATCAATCGACCTTTTCCTTTCAATAGTCTTCCTCGACAAGCCCGTAGAGCCAACGTCGCACCATCAAGAGATCTTGCACTTTGTGCAATGATCTTGGCACTCGATCCTTAGGTCCCGGGCGAACGGGGGGGCGTGCCTACCCCAACGCAACCCACCGCCGGAGCCAAGACTTACGGAGCGGATGGAGGGGCTGTGTGTGAGGCGATTGTGACAAATTACACTGGGCGTACGGCATCAAACCGGGTGGACAAATGGTCCTGTCTGCAAGACGAATGCAAGGCTTCACTCTGTCTAAGTACCATGTTGTGATATGGATGGCCAGGCTCTTGGAATACGATATAAATAAAGTCAATGGATCAACATGTATCCACGTGGGCATAGGCTTGTAACCGGCCACCATAACCGATCTGCCAAGTACGTGTGGTCCCGCGTGGCACCACTTTTGAGCCCAATGGAAGCGCACCCGAGGAGATCATTGAAGAAAGCCCAAACAAGGTTTCATCTTACAACGTCCATGCATCATGGGTTCCGATCCTCAATGGAACCTTAATCGGAAGGGCGAAATAAAGCAGCAGCCCAACGGAGATGAGGCCAAGGAACCACAAAGTTACAACACTGAGAGCGACAAATCGACGTAGTCAAGTAACAGTCTGCCCGATGGGCACAGCAGTCATCCCTGTGGTCATGTCCGTGCATTTGCCATTAGGGTAGCAATCAAGAGGCAGATAGGTTCTTGGAAGCACGGGAGAAGTAGGAACGGAAGCGGGAAACGTTCAAGTGGCCAACATGAGCTCGAAGGGCCTTTAACCCGCCTTGAATTAAGCTTAACATACGGTGGGGGGCATTGCCGATATCTGAATGGTAGATTGGTGGACTATGATGTGGCTATCGTCTGCCATCTGAGACGCAAATCAGGAAGAGACGGATGTTAGGTTGGCAGACGGTCTTTGCATCCACAATGCTCGTCTTCCGCAAACATTCACGAAGAGGCGATGGGCAATGAGCTGTAATCTGGTCGCAGGAGTCTAGGTGATAGCTGAACACTCAATTAAGAAGTCTAACTATGGGAGTTTAACAAACGTCAACAAATGAAAGGCGGGATGAGAAATAATAAACGCTAATAATTATCGACTGTTCAGCCTGTGATCTGTTCGTTTTTACCCAAAAGGCTGGAAACCGCTAATATCTCGCAAACTGGACTTCGGACGAAGTTGAACACACGTCTCCTTCTCGTTCTTTGTCTGGATCTTCGCTGATGTTGTCGCTGTCGCGGTTACCGTGGTTTGCCCGCGAATGGGTGTGAATCGTGATCTCCGTTGTTTTTGTCGGGTAGGAACTTGTCGCCGGCGACACATGACTTTTGTCTCCTTTCCCAATGCGAACCTCATACTCAGGCTCGTCAGTTTTGGTAAACTGCCTCGACCGCTCGCCGTTGAATGTTTCAAGAGCCACGTCGTTTGCCTGTCCATGTCCTTGACTGCGCACGTAGGCGCTGCTGTTCGAGGCCCCTCGTGTGAGTTCGACGAGGCGATTGAGAATGCTGAACTCGAGCTTCAGCTTAATGCTGTATACCAACGGCTTCCAGGCTGTCTGTATGTCGTAAAGATTGGTGAACTCGAGGGCCAAAATCGTCACGTCTAGTAGGACAACTAGTATGTTCACCCAGATCAGGTGGTTCATGATCTTGCGGGTGCGCAAATCGCCGATGCTGTTCATGAGACGAAGGCGTTTGGTTGTTTCCCAGACGTACAGGGCAGAAATGATGATCTCTTGTACGAAGAAGACGGTGAGCTGGATTTTTTCGAAGATGGTGTACGGATTCTGGAATGGTTCCGGGTTTGCCGAGTTTACCCCATAGACTAGAATAATGATGGGAATATGCAGCCAGATGGCGTCGGCGATGATCATGTACAACACCAGTCGTAGTCGCTTCCGGTCATGAACAACGATATGAAGGCGTGAGTATAAGACGACCGACTGGCCTGTTATCATGGCGCACCAGCCGATGAGAATGAGCGTGGCGTAGATGATCGGTTTCGTCGTGAGGGACAGGTGCCTCAGCAGGTAGCCGGTCCCACTGAATGCGATGCCCCATGTTGCGATTAGAATACTCCAAAAGTACAATCCGGAGCGTCTTTTGAATGATGTAAAGATTGAGACAGTAAGCTCAAGAACGTTGTAAAAAGCAATGCTGATGAACACGCAAATAACAATTGCAACGATGATCCTGGTGTTGATGTCGATTTCTGCCATCGTTGCCAACGGTCCATGAAGTCAACAATGACACAACAGAGCAATGTGTCCAGCAGAGCGAAAAGCCCTCGACTCTAGAGCTATCATTGTCGGACATTTAAGCATCACAAACACATCATTCTTCCTCAAAAAACAGGAGTTTCAGCTTGCTTGATTAGCGTGAGTCCGTTGGTGTTCCCAACGATACATCGCAGGAAGTACACAAGACCTTAGACCTAGACCTTCAACAGGATCATGTCGCGAAGCAACAGCTTGGCACATACATTAACTTTCTAGATGCCGTGGTCATTATAGCACTAACGTCCCTGGAGACGGACCTTTGCCCAAATTCGACCAAGTCGAACCACTGCCAAGACTCGGGGAACTACTCCGCAATAGCTAAAATTCGGAGTGGGGGTTCTGGGGGAGCTTTATTGGCACAGTCGCACTCCATCTTTTTGTCCCTTCACCGCAGTCATTATTGGACTAGTCTAACATCTTAATGCACCGGCAGATGCGACTATGCAATTTTAAACACGCAAGGGTCCATCAACGCGGGGACGTTCACGGTAGCATACAAAGCGCCTCGTACCCAACCTCTGGAACATGCTCCCCTCGTCACACACCACCAAACACAACACTCCTGGAAACCAACAATGTCGTCTTTGCTGGCTGTAGTCGCTGCAGGTCTTCTAGTGCCCCTGGGCATGGGACTTTGTACCGCTGCCGAAGTTCCCGCCACAGCCCAGATAATTGACTGGAAGAGTTTCAACGTCCTGCAGAATGTGCCCCCTCCTGCAGAGGCGAACGACTCAACGGTTCGTCGCTCTGGTCGTCTTGCGACCTTTTTCTTTGACTCACTATCATGCAGCTCTTCCTCTGGTCTGGTGTAACCAAAGAGTCACTTGAGGCCAAACCATTCCACGTCTACGACGCCGAGTTCTACGATGTTATTGGACCGAACCCCTCGCTGACCCTCATTGCCACCTCTGACACCGACCCTATTTTCCACGAAGCTGTTGTGTGGAATCCCCCAACCGAAGAGGTCTTCTTCGTTCAGAATGCCGGCGCTCCCGCTGCAGGCACTGGACTGAACAAGTCCTCCATCATTCAGAAGATCTCACTTGCGGAAGCCGAGGCTGTGCGAACTGGTTCACGGGCTAACGCGACTGTCACTGTTGTGCCGTCGCAACCCCAGGTCATCAACCCAAATGGTAAGCCACTTGATACTTGAAGGCATCACACCAGCTTACATGGATTTCTAGGTGGTACGAACTACAAGGGCAACATCGTCTTCGCTGGAGAGGGTCAAGGTGACGATATCACCTCTGCCTTGTATCTTATGAACCCAGTCGCTCCCTTCAACACCACCGGTGAGTTTCTTTAGTCACGCAAAGACGCTTTTCGCTCATTCCCCTAGTTCTCTTGAACAACTACTTCGGTCGTCAGTTCAATTCGCTCAACGACGTTGTCATCAACCCTCGCAATGGAGAGTTGTACTTCACCGATACCCTCTACGGCTTCCTACAGGATTTCCGTCCTCCTCCCGGACTGCGCAACCAAGTGTACCGCTACAACTTCGAGACCGGCGCAGTCGCCGTCGTGGCTGATGACTTCACTTTGCCTAATGGTTCGTCCTCATTAATGTAGCTGAAGGGGAAACACCTAACAATCAATAGGCCTCACCTACTCTCCTGATGGCAAGAAGGCCTACGTCACCGACACCGGCATCGCTCTGGGATTTTATGGCCGCAACCTCTCTTCTCCCGCTTCAGTCTACTCTTTCGACGTGAATGAAGACGGCACCTGGGAGAACCGCAAGACGTTTGCCTACACTGCCTCCTTTATTCCTGATGGTTCGTTCTTTGCCAATCTATTTTCTCTTCGCACACTAATTCGTTGTAGGTGTTCACACCGACTCTGTCGGCCGCGTCTACGCGGGCTGTGGAGATGGTGTTCATGTCTGGAACCCCTCTGGTAAGCTCATAGGCAAGATTTACACTGGAACAACTGCTGCAAACTTCCAATTCGCTGGAAATGGCCGCATGATTATTACTGGACAGACGAAACTGTTCTATGTCACTCTGGCGGCTTCGGGCGTAGAGCTGCAGTAGCGCTCACTTAAAGTATGTACCTAATTTAGTTGCCTAATTATGTCCTATATGCCGCCTCGTATCACCTGTAAGCCTGTCAAGTACCGTGCATTGGAGCGTAATTGTCTTTCCCCTTCGGAGATTGACTTTTGGGATTAGGACGTTTGATCCGGTAATTTACAGAAGGCATTGAGGGTTGCCTGCGCATCTTTTTCCGATATAGACGGCGGGTTGATTTTAGTCCTATTTCGATCAGTCTTGAAGTTCCTACATAGTAACTCTTCATGTGGTGTACCTCTTCGCCCTTTTCAGACGTGATTGTGAGAACCTGTCGTCTGCCATTTGAATCTCTCACCCTCCTCCTACATACCAATCCACCAGCACCCACTGTTAGTGCTGCGCTGGGTCCGCCATATCAACACTAACACTGCTAAACCCATCCCACACAACTAGAACCCTCGCCCGCGATGGCCTCGCAGCCAGCCGCGGGCCCCTCGC